GTAATTAATAGGTTACTCTATAGTCTGGGCTATAACTTTTTCCTTAATAATCTCGGTTATATTAATTATTATAGTTACTCTAAGTCCGGAAATAGAATAGAAGCTAGAAGAGATACCTGAAATAATATAATTATACTAGGTCTCTAGTTATTTAATAGTTTTTATCTAGAAGATCCGGATAATAATTTTAATATTTTTCTGGGAATTAAATAGGTCTCTAGTTAAGAAATTAGATAGTATAATAGCCTATCTAGTCCGGGTTAGTAAGATTAATAGAACTAAAGCTAAAGTAATACCTATAACTTTAGTAATAAGTTTCTAATAAAGTATAAATAGCTCTGGTCTATTAAGTAAAGCTTAGGGCTTTACTAAGATTAGAAGATAATAATTTTTCTTTTTTTTCTAGTTCCTGCTACTATTAGCTAAAGTAAAATAAAAGAAGCTAAGGGAGACACCTCCGGAATTTAATATAAATTAATTTCCAGAAAAGGAAATAGATTCTAATTTAGTAAACTAAGGCTTAGTCCCTAAGTTTTTCGGGGTTTTTATAATATTTGCCTAACTAATGAATTTTACTAAATTAGTTATAGGTATACTAGAGTTTAGTAAGCTTTTAATATAAATGGAAATATAAATATTAGATTTAATAAAAAGAGAGTTTATAAGATATTAGATAATTTTATTATATATATCTTATATAAACCTGTACTTATCGGGCTTATTATAGGCAGATATAAACTAGTTTACTATTACTATAAAGTTATATATTATAGTTTGCTAGATACGAGCTTTATATTCGAGTACTTTAAACTAGCTAGAGATAGCCTTAGAAGCAGTATTATAGGTATATATACTGCTACCTAAATCGAGACAAGAAGGGGAATTAATATTAAGCTTCTTCTGTCTCTTTAAAGTATAATTGAGATTAGTAGATAAGGAGGGATCTTGCAGGCATATAAAGTCTGCGGTTTGAGGGGCGAATTATAACGAATTCGCCCGGATAGAAATAGAAGACGATATTACTACCTAAAATAATATATAGAGTACTAGGAAAGATAGAATAAGGCCTTAGAAATCGATTAGGGAAGTTTTTATATGCCCTTAGGGCATGAAATAAAAGTTATCGAGCAAATAGTGGGTTTGGGAAAAATGTTATAGGTATTACATGGTGAGAAAATTCTTGACGATAACAAGGAAGGTAGATTTATTAATAACGGTATTCCTTTGTGTCATTACCAGGTCGGACACTGTCTATACCGCGTGTATAGACTCAAGGAGGCCAAATCCCAACTCGAGATTGCCCTTGAATGTCCTCACCAGTTCTCTGAGAAGTTCCGGGCTCGCCTCCTCTTAGGACAGAGTAATTATCAGCTATCCTTATTTGGGGAATCCAGAGCCGACTTTCAGTCTCTTCTTAAAGAAGGGCACAAAGATTCTGAGTCTGTTTTTCTCTGTCGGTTTTGGCTTGGGAAAACTCACTTTGAATTAAAAAATTGGGATAATGCTAGCACTCATCTCCTGATTGCTCACGAGTCTGGCAAAAAAGGATAGTCGAATGTTTTAGACTCCCAATACTTCCTTGCACGAGCTCAGTTCGAGGCTGCGCATTATACGGCAGCTTTGGGCCATTTTAAATCAATTTGCGACAAACAAAAGGACAACGTGTCAAGTATGATTTCGGATAGCCACTACTATCTCGGTCTTACCTTGTTTGAGCTAGGTCAATTCAAACTGTCGAGAGAGACATTGCTCGTTGCCCGGGCGAGACAAGAGAAGCGGAAATGTTCGAAAATGCTTGAACTTATATTAATAAGGTATTAACTTGTATGCTGCGATGTAAAGCTGGGTATTTTCACTATAGTACAATCTGAATTTGAGGGTGTTCTCCTTTTCTTTGAAAGCAGGTCTGCAAGCGGGGACCAGACTATTATGCATATATAGTACGAACTTGCCTTCATTGCGTATCGGCATAGGAACTGGAAACGGGCGTTGGAATTTTTCCAGGAGGCCCTGCTCAATCACGAAATAGTCCATGTCAACAGCAGCCTAGACGTATTGCAGTGCCAGTAATACTTGGCGGCAACCCTTCGCCAGGGTAGTCAATAGTCCAGACTATAGTCTCAGACCATAGTCTATAGATTTTTTCTCGGACCACAGTCTAATTTCAATAGACTAAACTAAGGCTATTCCCAACTAGACTAGACTATACTAAATTAACCAGACCGCAGTCTAGACCGCAGTTTATTTAGTCTGCACGTGATTCATACCCATTTTTTTTATTTTCTCCCCGAATACCTCTTCTAAATACTTAAACTCCTTATCCTATCTCTTAGCTTATACTATAACTTCAGATACTTAAATACCTTAATAATATCTATACTAAGCTTATTCCAAAGGCCTATAATTAGTATCTTAGTACTTGAGAATAATTATTTAGGGTTAGCTAATATAGCAGAAATTAAAAGTATATCTAATACTAGCTTACTTAAATTAGAATAATTAACCTATTAAGTTATTTCTATTTACTAAGTTCTTAGATTAATATTATAAGTATACTTAGTAATATAGTACCTCTAATATTCGTTCTTAATACTAGGAACTAGTTAGTAATATTATTTCCAAGTAATAAAGGCATTCTTTTAAGAAGCTCCGGAAGTAGCTAGAATTAATAAAGTTATAGAAAAGCTTAGAATAATTAGCTTATATTCTTTCTAAAAGCTTTCTATTATATTTCTTGCCTTTTTATACTATTTCTTTTTCTAGTTATTCTTAATATATTTCTACTTTATATTTGAATTAAAAATAATTATAGTAATATAAGCTAGGCTCTTATCTATTATATTATAATATTTCTCTATTTTTGCCTATCTAAAATTAAATATTAAAGCCATTATTTTATTATATTTATAAGCTTTTTTAGCCTACTCAAATTACTTAAGAATAAAGTTTATAGCTAGTAGGATATTATCTAGAATTAAAATAGAGAATTCTAGAACAAGAATAGTTTATATAAGCTAATTAAGGAATTTATAAATATTGCGAAATATAGTTTAATTAGAATCTAATAGCTTATTCTTTCTAACTATCTCAGATTTATAATACTTTATATATACCTAAATAGCTTTATAAATTAAGGAAATAATAGCCTTCTAAATTATTCTTATTATAGAATTTTACTATATCTTATTATTTTATATAGGGCAATTTTACTTATTTAAAATTATAAATTCCTATATCCTCTAAATATTACTTTAAATATTAATAATAATATTATAAAGCTTACTAATAAAGCTAAAAAAAAATTTATTCCTTGATTTTTTTTAAAGTTTCCTTTAGCTTTATAGTCTAAATCTCTTTATTTTCTTTTAAATTTTTCTTATCTATAATATATATAAATAAATTAATTACTAGATTAATTATATAGCCTTAGTATTAAAGTCTTTATATAATAGGGTTATATAAAATATTATATTTATAAAGTAATTTTACTTAAGTTAGTTAATATCTACTAAATTCATATAGAAATCGCTTACTAATTAAGAGTATTTATATTATTACTTATATTATTTATAATAATATAATTAAGCTTCTAAATAATTTACTAGTTACTAATTATATTTATAAGAACTAGAGCTAGGTTCTTTTCCTTATAATTACTTTTAATCTTCTTTATAGCTAGTATAATATACTTTAAAGCCCCTAAACTCGAGATATAATAGGTAATAATACTAAGAATTGGCTTATTATTTAAGGAAATTTATATATTAAATAATAAGTATATCTTTATCTTAGTATTTTTAAGCTAAAGCTTTATTTTATTCTTTTTAATTTGAAATTAATAAAGGACCTAAGTATAAACTATATTATAAGATATAAGAAGCTAGTAATTAATATTTTTATTTAAGTAAGAAAAGAAGGCTCGGAATTCGGGATATTTAACTAGTTAGAGAGGTATATTATAAGCTAATATAAACTTAATATAAAGAACCTTAATTATATCTCTATCTAAAGAAAGGCTTCTACTATCTAAGCTATTTAGTTTCTGATATTTCTAGGAATTCTCCTATACTAATTCTATAGCTTTTATAATATTAAGTTAAATATTCTTAGCCCTAGCTTCTGTTATTAAATCTTTTATAATATTATAAATCTTTAAGTAATTAGATATTATATCTATTTCTTTACTAGTTTTATAATTAGCTATATAGAATTAATAGTACTATTTCTTCTTTCTATTAGTATTTAGAAATATATATTATATATTTATTCTATTTCTTATTTATTTATAAACCCATAAATTCCTCTAATTCTTCTTGTTTTACTTCTTTAGAAAGGGAATAAATATATTAAAGAAACCGGAAAAAGTAGCAGAATTTAATATATCTTGGGAAAAGAGATCTATTTTATTATGAGAAATATTAGAAGTATTAGAAATATTAGAAAATATAGGTTTCCTAAAAGAAAGCTATACTTAATACTTGGGAGGAATATTTTGGGTTAAATTCGATTATAGATATAAAGAGAATAATAGGTTTTTATATATAAAAAGAGCTTATAGGCATTCCAATTTCGCTTAATCTTTTATATATAGTCTTAGTAAATTATTAATAGAACTTGCTCTTTAGTATTCTATAATAAAATTATAACTATCTAATAGAAGATTAGGTAATTTAATTCATTTTAAAGCCCTAAATCTAGGATACTATATTAATTAAATATTATTCTAATAAGTTAATAATTAAGTATTTTAATAAATAAGATACTAAGGGTAGTTCTCTAATAAATTAAGCGAGCTGCCCCCCTTAGACTGAGTTCAAACTGCGGTCCGGACCGCAGTCCGGGGTCCCGAACCACAGTCCGGATTAAGTAAACTAGACTAGACTATGGCCCCCTAAGACTACACTAGTCCAGTCAAACTGCGGTCCGACTGGACTAACATTAGACTATTGCCTACACTGCGGCCTTCGCGAGCTACAGAGATATGATGAAGCTTTGCAGCTCTACCAACAGGTTCTTGAGAAACGCAAAGAAACTTTACAGGCTCCACACCAGACAGTTGTCGATGTGCAAATAGGATTATGCGAAACTGGCTTATAATCAATTAGACTTCCATCTGGCAACGGAGCACTATTCAAAGGCGCTTGCACAGCTAGAGTCTTCAGACCAGGCTCAGAAAGCGGTGCACCACCCCCTTGCTTCTTCTTATGCCACTCTTGCTCTAGCCCTATCAAAACTTGGGCAGGCCGATGAAGCCAAGCAGCAGGCTGTGAAAGCTCTAGAGCGTGATCGTTCTGAGGGGCGCCAGGATTGTCAAGGACTCGGTGGCTTTGTGGGAGCCTTCGGTGAACTCCTGCTTCAAGAGGCGACGACGAGTTGCCAGCAGCTGCCATCTTCCGCGGACGAGAAGTCAACGACTCCGGCCTAGCAGCATTCATGCATAAACGACCAATCGCAGCAGCGACCAGTAGTTGACTAAAGACCTTCACCGGCAGGAACGCAACCACAGACACCTGAGCAGCAAGAAAATGGCGAATTACCGGTGCCTGAAACCAGGAAGGCGTCATCCCCGGTGCCACCAGGTGCCAAAAACCACCCCCTCCGCCTAAGCGTAAGCCTGCACACCTACAGCAGAAATTCACTGGCTCGAATGGTCCGAAGCTGCAAGCAGATGGGACAGCTTTCGGCTTGCATGACTAAATCTATTATGAATAGAATGGCATATTAGTTACCAATTCGCAGTGCCTGTGCCTTGAAGTGTTCTCGCCGTTCTCTGTGATGCTGCCGCACTTTAACTAACGGTGATAAGGCTATTTTCTCGGATAGACTGTCCGCGGAGAGCAATTTATTTGATAATATAATGCATTCCCCGATGAAACAAAACCAACTTGGGTTTACATGCAAGAAGCAGTTGCTACACAACAATTGTGAGGATAATATCTCTGATTCGGGTATCTCCACCCAATATTGGGCATGGGTAAACTGAGTATCAAATCCATGGCACAGAAGGGAAACTTGGAGAATGGAAAGAGCATCCGTGCTGGCGCTACCATCCTTTACAGCTCGTATGGAATGTGCAATATTATCAGCGCAACCGCTCCAGAGAAAGGTTAGAGTAAGGGTCTAAAAAGCTATTATAGAAATTAAGGAGATTTATTTAGATTGGTTTTAATATACTTTAGATACTAAGCTCAAGGCATTTGAGAATTATTTATTATTTTAGGTTATATTTTATTAAAGACTATTCGCTCTAATAGTTCTCTTCCAAGACTTTTATAATAGTAGCTAATAAGGGGCATAAGAGGTGTTTTTAGTTCATGGTTTAATTGCATAATAAGAGGCCTGAACCGGTCACCTCCAAACCAAAAGAGTAGGGGGACGCGTTTGTGCCCGCGATCCTCCGAACCTCAGCCGAAGGGTTTTATTGCGTAGTGGAGGGCAAGAATCGGTCCCCTTGAATCCAAGTGGTGAAAAGTCAGATATAGACCCTTCAATTATAAAAATAGGCCGAGCTCGTAGGGTCTTTTCTGTACACTCTTCTTCAATCTCACCAAAGGGGCCAGCTCTTCACCATCCAACGGTGTATCTGCCGCCAAAGCTAAAAGGAAAACGGCTGGATATTCGGAATCAATGATGTTCATGATTTGGGGGAGCGGCGAAAATGCAAATGAGTGCAATAGAGGAGAAGGGGAGTGTAATTTGGCGTTGGCCTGCCATTGGAGCTTTCAACGAGGGCTCGAGCCTTGATGTAATTCCCGGCTCTCGTTTACAAGGAATTTAGCGAACAAGCTCCTGGTCAAAAAGTGCCTTAATTTCGAGTAGGAATTATCGTCACGGCCCTTCGCAATTGATACTAGAGACTCTCTACTACTGCTAACAAAAAACTGAGGAGGATCAAAATACAGCTAAAATCTCAGCTCGGTTGTCTGAAATGTTGGTGGGATCAGAGGCTGCTTTTGTTTGGAAATTAGGGGACTGGGCGCCATTGGGGGGGGGGGGGGGGGGTCACTCGAAAGTGACTGGTTGTTCAGGGAAAGTTACCAGGACGGTTGATGGTATCAACCAGCGATTTCACATCAGCTGTCAAACGAGGATCAGGTGACACAAGGAAGAGAATCAAAATTATCTATATCCATCATCACCTCACCGTAGCTGCGCCAAATGCACCAACCGTCGCGGGGGTAAGCACTCAGGGGGCACTCATAATGCGGCTGACATCAATGCTGCCCCTCGACGAGCCGTGGCTGACCATTTCACAAATTGGACTCCCAACCTTCAAAAGTAATCTACTTCGCCAGGTAGCGACAATGAAACTAACACGATCGTACTGCAAAGCGAAACGGGGAAGAGGACGTGTGCCGATTCAATCGTGCAATCGTCATGAGCATGGGCAACGACATTGAAAAGGTTTGGGCCAAAGCCCACTGTGAAATCGAATCCTTTCCCGACCTCAAAGAGCAATAATACTGACCAAGGAAAATATAAGTGTGTATAGCAAAAGAAATCCCCCGTCCAATTTGAAGGCAATCCGATATCGAACCTCCCCTTCAGCTTCATATATGGCGGTACCAGAATGACAGGAGGGTCGATATCGGACGGTGATGAAGGTATCTTACGTTTCGTGATAGTCGAATGGGTATGGGTACTCAGGACGTACTTCGAAAAGCCTTACGGTTTCCCGTTTCCGTCCGAAAGCCATAATTCGACTTGGTGTCAATCGAGGATTATCTTTGTTGGATCCCATGAAAAGGCGACATTGCGTATTTGAGGTCCCGGAATACTCGGAGTCGTCCAACAGACCGGGAGAGCTGGCAACGGGCGTGCCAAGCCCGAAGAGTCTCACCAGGGTCTGCGTAGAGTCATTGTACTTCTTTTGGTACTCCCGTGAGTTCGTCGCCGGTGCCACTAGAAGATTGGGAAGTTAATAATTGACTACTTGGAAGAAGGAAACTAGAGAGGAGAAAATGAGGGCCAGTGGAGCGCAAAAGCTGAAACGAAGACAAATGGGGCTCGAAAAGGGGGAGAGACAAATAATGGGCATCCTTACATGGCGCGTTTTTGAGGGGAAAGTCCGAGATGCGTGAATCCCAAGTATACAATGGGAAACTTTCAGTGGTCTTGAATATGTCATAATTGCTTGTATTGTTAGACGGGTCGTTAGGGCTCCCCAAGTAATAACAGTATGTACGTCCGTCAAGGGTGGTTACGGCGGCCACAGGTCGGTATGGTGACAACGTTACAATTGCCGATCCTTTAGCCGGCATGATTTTGAACTCCTCGGGCATGAACGCTACTTGGCGGGTTGAGCTACTCGTGCTGTTCTCGAATGTGTCGCTGTAAATTGTCCTTGCGCGGAAAGCCTTTCGTGGTGTAAGGACAATCTCCAAATGGGCACCTGAAAGAGACAGGTGGATACAGTAATGGGTGGCAACTGGCTTGATGTCTACGCAAGTCCTTTCTCAAACCAAAGGGGTCTTGCTGGCAGTTGACAACTGTACAGGCAAATTGCTTATCGTGTTTGGTCTTATGGTGCCGGCTTTGAGGAATTTTAGCAACCAGTCATATCAGCTTGGATGGATATCTTACTTGAGCATATATTGTTTCTCGAATTCTTGATTGCAGAGAGCGCACGGGTAGATTGGCTGTCCACGTGGAGGGCTGCTTTGGGACCCGAAATTTGGAGGGCTGTTGAGCTCAAACTGCGGAGTTGTGATTTGCGATTGATCTCCTCCGGAGGTGGACCCTGTCGAGAGGCCGGGGACTGGAATGTTACTTGATGATTGGAAACGCTCCCGAGGACCAAACCCTGGGGTTGACGGAGGCTGTGGGTTGGGAGAGATAGTTCGTGCTGGTGCGTTGAATTCGATGTGATTGGGGTTTTGATTCGAGATTGACGGTAACGAATTTGTGGAGGAAGAGGAGGAAGCAGCAGGCGTTGGCGAGGCCCGGGTGCTTCCCGGCGAGGAGACCGCGGTGGAAGGACGGAGTGGGGGATGTGCTAGTCCACCATTCGGAATGGAGTAGTAGGAATGCAAGCAATAGGTGTCGATATTCTCGTTGATGGGATTTGGTTTTAATTCAACTTGCCAGGGACTGACATGTTGAAGGGAAAGATGTCCTTGATTGTTGTCTAAATTATGGTCATATGGGTCGCTCGGGATTGGTGGTGCGCGAAGACCAAGAAGCCTTCGCGCGAGGGTGACTTTGTTGCTCCTAGGAGCTCAGAGAGAACTGATCGTCTCTGTTCACACACACCTTGGAGGTGTGGCTCACAGATTGTTGTCTGCAGATGGAGGTTTTGCTGAACGAGACTCGTTTTTGCGATGCAAAAAAGATGGTGCAGAGCTCGCTGGCGTCGAGCCTTGCTTATATAAAAAGAGAAGGGGCGGAGCTACTGCAGTTGTAGAGAAGCGAGAGGCCTATTACAGGGATTGAGGAAAGTCTCATTGGGCAGCAGGCCGAGGAGGAGGCCCATCACCAGGAATTTGGCGAAAGCCCTCGTAGAAAATTGATGCGCCACAAGCTTGGGATGTGCCGTGTTCGGCGAGCAGGAGGAGGCATACAAACTAGGGTCATGCGTCGATATAGCTCAGTATCCTCCACGGAACCTTTGGAGGACCAATAGAAAAGAGCGTTAGGGACTTCCACCAGGCAAGTAAGACGCCATGAGCGGGCTTGGGATCGGATCGCCAGCCTTATGCGAGGCGCGGGCGGACGGATACTGAACTAGAACCGACGCTGGGTGTCCAAACGCTGGAACTAGCGAGACGGGTGCATCTCATCCGCATCGCAATAGATGCGCCATTAATCTCTAAGACAGATACATCTTCTGTCTATCCCTACACTCCTTATTTTCCTGTCAGAACCGTGATTAAGCTATATTCAGGAACATTTGTCTTTATCTAGTACTGTAAGGAGCAACGTACTGTTATTTCTACAGTGCCGTAACTGTTACGGGTACCCAATCCAGCTCCTTGCTAATGACGAAGATAGCCCCGCTATTCTATATTTAGAACTTCCCATGAACCCCCAACGATAGCTTAATGACATCACGTCTAGGCAATGTACATAATCTGATTTTATCGATATAATCACGAGGGGTCTTAAATTGTATTGATTTTATGGTATTAAAATCATCTATGTTTCTCGAGGCAAGCTTAATTACTCTTCAGCACGCAAAAGGTCAACAACAACGGTGGCGTGTGGCACCGCCACAAACACTTGCAGCAAAACGAAAACAGAAAAGGGGTGGAGAGAAGCAAAATGAGGTCGGGCCTGCTCCTTGGCGGGGTTAAAACCCAGCCTTCATGCGGATTCGCGCTCTATCAAAATGCATTTCACACTTCATTGCACATTGATTGCAGCACCTGCTACATCAACTCAGCAGGGGATTGTAAACCTTCGGAATAGATTCATCCTCCCCAAACATTTAAATAATCGCGCAACGACGCCTCATACTCCCGAAACAGACGGTGCATCACCATTCAATAACAGCCGAACCCTCTTTACGATTCGGTTCATCTGAAGCGTGCTTGCTGCAACCCCACGGAGCCGTAGACTCGTAGCAAGTTGGCCTGTCATCCGACCTAGAAGCAAAAATGTCAAGCCCAGACGTGAAGCTTTTCGGCCTCGAATCTATTTTTGTCAATACGGTTGCTGCATACAAGCTGTATAAATCGCGAGATTACTGTGATATGTTGCTGTGTCGGCCAAAAAGCCGTTAGTATTGGAGGAGAATGATAGTATCAGGGAGATGAAGTGAAGATATCCTTTTCTCGCATGTCAATACCTTTTTTTAATACTTGTATAAGGGTACCGTATATTGTTTCGTTGTCCTCGATTCCGTATGATGGGGGCTAACCTATCCAAAAGTATTGTTTGGGGAGTCTCATCACAAGATGCATAAAGTCGTGGATTTATAAGTATATAGGTACCCCCCTCATGACATTTTGCCGTGTTAACCGCTTATGTGTCATATTTTCACCAAAAATCTGTTCAGGTAGCCAGGAACCATCACCGGAATGGCCCCCAAGCTGCTCGGTGCTGGGGAAAAGGGTTAAAATATGCACTGATAACTGATGACTCGTTCCAGGTACAGTTTGGCACTAGATGGCGCACACCTCTATGTAAAGGATTGATAGGACTCAAAAGAAGCATAAAAGTGTTCTTCCATGCATCTTCCATGCAGGAACACAGGGAAGTGGAGTGGAAGCTTTGGTGGGGCACATCGCACTTTGGTGGCGCTCAAGCTCCCCCCTGTCTTCGGTGGCTTTCCAGCCATTCGTTGGCGATGTTTCAGCACGTGCAAGGCTGGACCCACGCTAATCACGACCTCATCTATTCTTCCAGGGACGCGACTTCTGCAACCTTCCAATCCAACGTCCCATGCGTGCAGGTGGTCAATCAATAATGCAGACTCTCTCGGATCATCGGTGGGCTCCCTCATAAGAACGGGCCCTTCTCCCCCCTTCTCCCCTTTCAATCCCACTCTCGACGCGGTCGATCATCGGTGCTCCTTCCCAATCCATCCCACGTGTGAAGCTTAACAGAGCTTCTGCGGATATAAATATGGATGGGAACCCCACGAGCTCAGTCGCTAGTTGGCGCATCTTGGATAACCATCATCATACCCGTCCTTGGGGTCATATTGTTGTTTCGTGTCGTTACCCAGGACTATTTCGCAATGCGCACCAATCCAAGATCCAACATGATGGCAGCTGTTGCTGCTTCACTTGCCCGGCATGGCAGTGCAGCAGCAGTTGACCTCAGCTGGCATGCACCCAATGCGACGAATATCAACAATCTGACGCAGGTCATGGCTGGTTCTGATATTTATGGGTGGGTTTACAACAACTCCCAGGTTCCAGCGGACGAGTATGGAGTCTACAACTGGTGTAACATGCCCCACGTCCGGAAGACAGAGTACAAGGTGCCTTCCTCGGAATACAAGCTGCAATACGTTGAAGTGGTAGGTTGTGCAATCAAATTGAGAGCAGGAAGCTTACAAGAACGCGCAGATCCACAGACACCACAAACGAACAGTCTACGCCTCCAACTCCTTCCCAGTCGAATCATACCCTTGGAACTGTGACGACGAAGACCTATTCTACTACGGACAACCGAAAGCTGGGAACAAGTCTACGCCGACGTATTGGCAGGGTTATCAGTCACCCACGAATCCGTTCATCCCAACCGGATTTCTGGGAACTTGCCAATTCCCTCAGATAACTGCTGCGGGTTTGGATGATTCTTGGCAGCATGGGCGTGATCTTTATGGTGTATACCATGATTTGTTGGGGTTTTTGCCAGATGATGCCAATGAGAAGGTTAGCTTCAGGGTTACGCAGAATGTCATCACCAGTGAGATTGCTGGAATGGTTGTCAACGGAATGTTCAACACTCAAAATGAGGTCCCTCTGCTGATCGAGGTGAGCATTTCCACTCTGGGTATTTTATCAATGCTAACAACCTTCAGGCCAGTGGATACGACTCTCTTGAGCCAACTTACTCCTGCTCGGTATCTTCAAACCTATTCAACAGTATCAAATCTGGCAGAAACTGGACCGCCCATCTCACGGCTGCTACCTCCTTGTACTCAACCCTGGACAATATCTCCGGAGTGTCTCCCACAGACTCTGGTTTCCACGCCAGCTTCGACCACTACTATGACAACCTCTCCGCCCGCCAATGTCACGGCAAGCCCCTCCCATGCAAGCTTGTCAACGGCGTTAACTCGACAACCTGTGTCGACCAATCCATTGCGGACGAAGTCTACAGACTAGGCAACTACGAATACTCCTACATCTACCGCGACGACCCGCGCAGTCTCGCAGCAAGCTCCACCGCCTACGGCGTCTGGATCGGCGAACTCACAACCCACATCCGGAACTTCATCAACGGAACCAGCAACGTGGTTTACAGACACAACGTCGCTCACGACGGCTCCATTTCCCGTCTTCTCTCAGTCCTGCAGCTCGACGTCATGGTCTGGCCAGGCATGGGCTCAGAAGTCGTCTTCGAGCTGTACAAGAAAGACACCACAACGCCAACTACCACGGCTTCGGTCATGGCACCAACCTGCAACCACGACAACTGTCTCCGCCAAGTGATCCGGCAATCTGCTTCGGCGTCAGCAGTCTGCCCTACGTACACCGCGACCGCAGTGACCAGCATCCCGACTTTCGCGTCCAACTGCGGAAGCGCTGCGAAGGTGTCGTCTGCTTGCTCTTGTGTCGTTACGCCGACTCCTACTTCAACAGCGGCACCGACTCCAACGCCGAGCAGTGCGAGCGGGTATTATATCCGCGTTCTGTGGAAGGGGCAGGTTCTCAGGAGTAGCAATCCGAGCCTCGGACTCATGGATATGGTGCCGCTAGAGACGGTGCTGGGGTATTTTGACGGGTTGGTGGGCGTGGGCGCTAGTTTGGTGGTAGGGAAGTGTAATGGCAGTATTGCTGTCTAAGGTGGCGGTATAATGACATGGGCGGTTCAAGCGAACCTGATAATTTTAATGTTAAATGACAAAGTTTTTCAGAGGAGAGATTGTGGATTATGTATTGTGGATCTCTTTCAGTTATGCTTTGTTTGTTAGCTCTGGAGTCAGAGTGATAGGTCATAAGAGGTAGGAGGCGAGGCGCATTGTGCCAAATACACCCGCGCTAGCTTCCCCGGAAACAGGGGGGTTTCTGGGGAAGCTAGCTAGGGGGTATTTGGCAATACTGCGTACAACATCTCTAGGGAAAAGAATGTAGCGAAGGAGCCACAGACAAGGGGTGAAGGCCAATTAAAAGTTCGTATTGTTTGCTTTCTGGTGCGGAACACCCCTGTCTCGCTACATTATTTTCCCTAGAGACGTTGTACTTCGGAGCTAATAGTAATAACCCGGGGCGAGGAGAGGAGAAAGGGGGTCTGAACCTATTTCCTTTTCGCATGTCGCCTCTTTCTCTAAAGTTGGAGTGATGGGTTATCATCTCTATCAAGATTGGTACATTTGCATCAAGTTGGTGCAGCTAATCTAATGCCTGGTCAGGTCTGATGGCGCGTGAAATAGATACGTCTATTGGAGCGGGCTGTGTGGGTTGGCAGCAGGAATGATTTCGGGCAGCGCGAGAGGAGTGGGTAGTGTGAGGAGGGGCTATATGGTGGCAGTTTGTGAGCTTGAGGAGGAGGTGAGTTACGGAAGAGGAGGAAAGTTGTGGGGACTTTAGTGAAGTATCCTCGCGAGAGAGATGAGAGAGAATGACGGACGGGGAATCAGAGAAGGAGAGCATGTGAGGCGATGGCAATGCAGAGATTGGGACTTGAAGGATAAGTGTTCGATTTGAAGCTCGTGGTGTACATCTGGTCCTCAATCCTCCTCGTCCTATCTCCAGTCAGCTCAATGTCCGTTGAAGTTGAAGGGCTGGGATAACATACCTCTTTCCCCCACGGCATCTTAATGGCTCGCAGGTAGTGCCTGTTCTGCCAGATGGTAATGCCTGCCATCACGAAAGCTGAGAGGCCGAAGATAAGGTTCATTGTCGAGTCAGTGCCGAGGGTTTGGGGAGAGGGAGGGATGAGAGGGTTTGGCATTAAGGTAGAGGTCGGGAGGAGGGTTGCAGTGTTAAGCAGCGTTTGCGAGGAGGCTGTTGGTGGAACTGGAAGGAAGATTTGAGTCGAGGTAGTTGTGCCTAAGTAGAGTAAGTACAGTTGGTGTGGGTTGGAGAGAGTCGAGGGCTTACTCTGGTCTGTGAGATACATGGCCGATGGAGGAATATTTGCTCTGGGTTCTTGAGGAAGGTTACTGCAGGGTAGTCGGGGTAGTTCCGTTGCCAAGCTTGGGACGAGAACAATGATAGTCAGTGACGAACAATGCGAATTGTTGACGGTGATGATACCGCTCCGGATGATGCTCGATGTTGTGGGGGAGATTGGTGCCTTGAGAGATTTCGTGCTAGATAACCTGTACATGGGGAGCCAAGACGCGCTCTTCGGGATGGGCTTCTGGATGTGCAGCATAGTCGATATAAGGATGGTGAGCTTGATCGCGGTCTGGTGCACAGCTAAAAGATGCATGGATTCTGCATGGATTCAGCATGGATTCAGCCACAACGAACCGCTCTGGAGATCGCCGAGGGCAGAGACACCCCTCGCCCAATCGCTGTTGGGTCGGAAAATCTTCCGAAAAGACTCCTGTCTTAGTTGCGCGTTTCTCGAAGCTGTCCTTACGAGGCTATGGTGTTAGCCGATCATTGAGCAACTCAGCAAGACATTTAATGGGGAGATATGATAGGGCCAGAAAGAGAAAGTTCAATTTTCTTCCGCGAGACTCCCGTAGGGCTGCTATCATATCGCAGAGCTACACCGTGATTGCGATGGTGGTGATGGCTGCCCAGGTGAAGTGTGTGCGACGATGCTCGAAGCTCACTCTTGCTCACCGCAAGCTTGTTCACTCGCGCTCTTTCCCCCCCTTGCCCAAGAGCCATTGGATGGTTGCCCAGGCGGCTTGTATGTCGGTGTAAGTCACGTGCACATCCAATCAGCCTCACCACCCAACCAGAGGGTTTTTGCGCGCTCTCAGTTCGCGATTGATGACTGATATTATTTCTTTACGGTGCAAGTGCATTGGGAGGAGGGCTGCCGGATGCATCCTTCAAAAGCAAAGCCAGTATGGTAAGTCACGTGCGTGGCTAACTTAGCGTATTTGCGCGAACCGACGAACCCTCAACACTTCACCAACTCCACTCCTTCCCACACATGACTCGTACATTCTGATGGCGAGGAGCCGACTTTCACGCAGCCTTAGACATCGAACAGCAAGTGCTGATTGCCCCATTTTGCCCATTGGGGGTTTTTGCGCGTTTGCCTTGGACCGTCACTGCGGTCCGCCCAGCTCTGCTGAGTTCTCACTGGCGAATTCAAGCAACGAGGCGCCCGCCTCCATGTCTCAAGTTTCCCAAACAATTGGAATGCAGACCTCACCGAGTCACCTGTCACTCAGCAGTGATCAACCAATACCAGTCCTCGCTTCATCGAACAAAAACAGGGGTAACGTGGCGCGGACTCATTGCCGAATAGTTGCTTCTGCAGCCTCATCCAATATGGAAGGAGCGGTCTTGATATCTTGGCCGTTCCTCCATTCTGCAGACCAACACTGGTGACTTATCCATTCTCTTCTACCGATTCTTTCGTCCCAGTCCTTCTACATCCTTAACATTACTGTTAATTCACAAGCATGCCTCCGGCAAGAGCAGGCGGAAGGCCGAGAAACGCCTGGAACGCTTCTCGACAGCGGAAGCTGGTGCGCTTGTACACCCTCAGCTTGTTGACAAAAGAGGAGATCCAGAAGGTCCTTGAGGCCCCTGACTTTAACCCAAGGCGAGCTCATCTGTGCTATCGACATGGCATGCCTCATTTGGTCTAGCAGCTGACCTCGCCAGCTCGAGTGATATCCAGAAGAAATTGCGAGCGCTGTTTCCCCTGGACTATGCGAAGGACCACCGCAAGTACCGGCCATCAAACGATGTCAATATGAAAGCGCGGCTTGACCATCTTCGACGATGCAAGCGAGGTCGGATTTCCAAAGAGAAGCGCTTACGCCATTATTCAAGGGGCACTTTTCGAACCCCAGCTTTCAAAGATCTACGACAGGACTCAATGGGCTCCTGTCGAAGCTTCGCCCATGCCTTTCGAGACTACTCGACTTTATCATCTTATGACATCCCGACCATACTTTCCCCCGACCTTGTCGATTCTGAGCCCGTAATTTCATCTTTGCTACTGCTGGATGGGTCATCGTCATCCCCTGCCTCAACAGAATCGGGATCGGACATGACGAGAACCACTTGCATAGATAATTTGTCTGGAAAGTCACCGTTGGACTTGAGAACGAGTGCAGCTTTGGACACAACCAGTTCACCCACAATAACCCATTCAAAACAACTCGAAATCTCAGCCACAAGAGCCAGAAGCATCCGTAGTCTCGGGAGACAACTGGCAGACAAATATTCGGAAAGTTACCTGAAGCACATCCACTCTATAATGCGATACTCTTCGAGTAACTCCTCGCGGTCGAGCCTGACTTCGTTTTCCAGTCGTGCGAGCTCGCTACTATCAAGGCATTCTGCCCACGACAAGTCAAATGCAGAGGAAGTCAGCTACAGCAAGCACCGGGAATGGACAGGGCCCTCCCATCCCTATAATCAAAAGTCTACATTGTCCACCCTAGATGAGATTGAACCTATGGAACTAGAAGTTTGGAACGAGCTAATTGATGAGGGGAAAGTTGGTCCTGGACCGCGGCCCCGATATCTGACTGTGTCACCTCTAAATCGCAAGTGCTGTAATTTCCTCGCACATATTGTATGCCTAAGGTGTGGATTCACATCTGATCACCGGTACGCAACTACTTGGGGGCAACTGGATTCCTCCAGCGAAAACTCATTCATCAACCGATATGATTTCTACGGAAACACGCCGCTCCATTGCGCAGCTGCTGGCGTTGTCCAGGATGGGTTTTGGAAGCTTCGCCATCGGTCTCTCCTTTGGCCGGGGGTGGAAGTTTCTCGTTGCAATACAATGGGAGAAACGTTTCTGCATATCCTGTGCCGAAGCGGCCCAAGAACACCAAAAGACAGTGCAGACTTCTTGTTGCTTTTAATGGATCTTTGTGTCACCGATTTTCCTTTCTCGAAACGCGACTGCCATGGTCGCACGATACTGCACATATTGTTCCAATACTCAGATGGTCAACACAGCATTGAATTTCTCGCAGAGATGTTCAGCATCATGAAACCAGATTTAGGGGTGAAGGATAATGCTGGATTTTGTGTTCAGGAGTATCTGGAACAGCTCGACCAAGGTGCAATATATAACCGGGGACTCAAAGCTTTGGTCAAGAGAACGAGTGCGCTCTCCCACCCACCCATCTTTCTCCCCAATTTCCATACCAACTGCTTTTCCTATTATGACGAAAAGGTTCTTAAAGCCTGGCTTGAAAATAATATCAAGCCTGGGAAAATCACATGGATCGACAATGCTGGGGACAACCCGCTGATAGCCATGCTCAAATTCTGGACACATGATACATCCAGAGACTGGTTTCTCGCGGAAGCTGCAGAGAGAATGATCCAGTCAGGAGATGTAATCCACATGAGAGACAGAGATGGCGACACTGCACTGGCCATCGCTGCACGGCGGGGGTTCCGACCAGTGGTAAGCCTCCTTATCGAAAATGGGGCTATTGTTCATAGCCGCAATTACCGGGGCGTTGGAATACTCAGACAGGTCGAACAATCTCTAGCTCAGGATCAAGCAAAATCAGACCCGGGTTTATGGTCTCGTCTTTGGAGCTGTCAAATAGCTTTAATCGACGCGGGAGCGATCGTTGATCCCACTGAGCGAGATGAATGGATGTCTCCATCGTCAAGGCTTTTGGTCGAGAAAGAGTTCGCGTACCGTGCCTCAGCTAGTAAACCATTACCAACGCCATACCCAAACCGTAGTGACGGATTATAATGGCGACTGCTAACATTGGGATCTGGTGGTGAGGCTTCTCTAATGCCAGCTACTTTTTCACAAAACATCTGCTTCCACAGTCTTAGCTCTGGATTAGCACAGTGAGTTCTGCTTTTTTTCCTGTGGAAATCACTCGATCAGTTGCAAGGGAGGGTTTGATGGCCATGTATATGGTTCATGAGAGTTGCGCTTGTCTCGTATCAATTCAGTGCAATGTTTAAGCGCTCAGTTTAAGTTTAGTCTCTGTGCCTCAGAAATCTTGTTGCCGGTCTCATCTCGTGGACTATGGGGTTTTCAGAGTTTTCAGCGCAGAGTAGCCATTCTGTCAGTTGCCATACACGTGATTCCCCCCTTTTTGGTTAGCTCAGCTGCAGAGGCATATAAACCCTTCGCTGAACCGTATTTCTTTGTACTTTAGACATCTCAATCTATATTAACTTTACCCTCATATTTGAGGCCTAATTGCATGCCAAATACTGCCTTGTTCATGCAATTGTCACATCCTGAGACCGACAGCCGAGAGCCTCTTTCCCCTTTCCTACCGCCTAAATGCACGTCACCATATAACAAGTCCAAGCACGAATGTGGCACAGAATGTGAACTCTGTCCCAGCTCAATTTGCCACCCTACCTGCGGCATGTCGAGCCAAAAAGTCCTCCCCGGCGCAACGGGAGAAACAGGCGCTCTATCCTTAATAGCTTTCCCGAATCTGGCGTATTCGTAAATTGCTTACTTAATTCGTCAATTCGCAATCTTGTGAATTGAGATCAGGAAGTCACAGCCCCTGTCCGACCTTCATCCGTCCACAAACACTATATTCCCGAACTCGTCAAAAGAGGAGTGAAGATCCTCATCGCTGATATTTCCTCCCCTATCGAAGAGCTGGCAACATTATTGAAAGGCGTTTATGTATTCATCAGCGCTATCTCAAGGATGGCGTTGATGGAGCAAGTGAGTGTTGTCATGGCAGCGAAAGAAGCAGGTGTCAAGCGCTTTGTTCCCTGTGGATTCGCTACAGTTTGTCCAGCAGGAGGTGTGAATCGTGTGATGAGGCTACGTGACCAAGCATGTCCCCTCCTCAACCACCTCTCAATTACACCAACCTAACAAGCAGACAAGAAGGAGGAAGTCCTCAGCCACATCGAGCAGCTGTTCTACGATACCCATTTACCGACGTTGGCTATTGGTACCCATTCTCCTTCCCCCATCTACCATCGGGCAAGATCGATGATTTCACCTTCCCTAAGATGTACTCGAAGATGCGTGGAGATGGCACCGCGCTTAATTTGATCACTGATTTACGGGATGTCGGAGATTTCGTCGCAAGGATTGTTGGTGATGGGCGGACTTTGAACAAATATGTCTTTGCATAGGGCGATGAGTTGATAGAAGGATATTTATGGCAGTATGGAAGATGTCTCTGGTGAGAAGCTGGAGAGGAAATTTGTAAGTTCCTCCATTGTTCCCTCCTATCCCGGCACAACTTCATTGACGCAGCAAAGATCTCAGGGCAAAGAAATGGAGGAAGAAGTGCTCGAGGCGAGGAAGTTGTTTAAGGAGGAGCTGGAGAATCGAAAGGCTTTGGGCAGGGTTGTGAGCGCGGAGTATGAGTTTAGCAAATATGTGCGTATGGATAATCGGGCTGTATTTGCGAGGTATCTTGGGTATTTGGATGCAAGGGAGGCGTATCCTGATTTTCAGCCGAGGAAGTTTAGGGTTTTGTAAGGGAGTTGGTCGATGGGGAAGCGCGGAGGCCGTATTCGGGTTTGCAGTGAGGTTTGCAGATAACGCTTTATGAATGCCGTTGACTTGTTTGAAGATATGCTAGTGAAAACCCGTCACATTCTTATCAAAGTATTATGAAATCAACCCATAGTTTAAGCCGAAGCCATTAGATACCGTCCTTGAAGTTCCCAGCTAAATTCAATTTATCTTCTTATCTGCTGGGGATATTCCAGTATCGAGCTGAAGTTCTGAACATTCAACTGAGCCCTGCTTGTTCCGGAGTCTCCCCGGGTATTCGAGAAAGTACTGTTTTAAAATGTCCAACCCGTAGAGGAAGGTCTGCTTCTCACTGCGCCATCAATTCGCTGTACATGCAAATAAAGTATTACAGTCAAGGAGAGCCGTGCTCATATTGTGAGGTACGTGGAACACCATAGTTTTCAACAGGCGTGCTGTCGACTCAGACTCCCAAAACAATGTGAACATCAAAGTGCTGAGAATGCTACCCCTCTCTTCCTTAGGTCTCACCATATATCTTGATGCCTAGCTCCAGCTCTTTTAAACAAGGGCACAATGTACGAAGGGCTTCGACATCAAAAGTTGCTTGTGGATCATGGATATTCAGATCTCGCAGCTTCAGCACTCGTAATGTTGATTTGTGGCGCTTAAGGGCTGGGAGAAGCTTTTGAGCATGATAGCACTCAAGTACAAGTTCTTCCAGTCGCTCAATCATAGAGGTAATGTCCATGAACTAGCCAACCAATTTATCTTGGCTACCAACAGGTGAGGGACCGAGGGTATCAGGTTGCTTTTTGTTTGGGGGGTGGGGGGGAACTTCGTCAAGCCTAATAGCTGGTAACTGGGCACACTGAACGCGAATTTAGCCAAGTCAATATACCGGAGTCTAAGCAAAGTTTCTAAGTTGGGTGCTGCGCATATCTTTCGCTCGAATTGGAGCGTCCAGTGGTTGTGCCAACTGGTAGGCCAACTTTCCTCGAGAGGGAGTAGCTTGAGGGTCACTATGTTCCGAGAGGGTATCTCCAGCAGAAGTCTAGGTCCAGGCAATCTCGGAGCCTTACCGAAGTCACAATGAACCCGGAGGTTTGGAAGACTCTTGGAACGCCCCCTGAAGCGTCAGAGATAGGCGGACTAAAACCTGTGGGATATTATAGGCAGGAAACTTATAGGGGATCTTCTGGGAAAACGGCCCCTGCGAAAGGATTAGGCACTGAGAAGACCAGGAGTTGTTGATCTTACTCCGGGTCTGTTAATTGTTGACATTTCGTCAGCAGCAGGACTGTAGGATCCCAATGCAAGTCGCTATCAATGACCGCATAAACTGCATATGACCACATATATTCCGAAGTTGGTAAGCATGTTGTATCTGGTTTTTCTTCCTAGAAAAGGATGGGGTCAAGCCTTGCTTTGCGGTAGCAGAAAGGAATGGCAGCCTCGTTGAAATTCCTCCACACTCCGACACTCGACGTAGCTGAGAAATATCGGTTGAGATTTCATGACGTTAGAAATAGAGGTCAGTGGAGATTAAAGGAAAAGAGAATTTAAAACAACCTGTTCGAAGATTATGTGCCATATCTGCTTCTGGTCAGTGTTGGGCTTTTGCAGATGCATCCCAAATTAAAGTATTCAAACGACATGCAAATCTACAAGCGTCATTGTGACAAAAAAAGCTATAGAAACGCTTTGGCGTATAACGACAATTAATATTGATATAGTTGGAGCGCTTTACCTCTGTGCTCAGAATATCCCCAAGGGAGGTGGTACAATGGCTCTCTTGGTTAAAGTTGGGTGCCGCCACAGAAGCCATCTTGCCAATGATTGAGTTCTGCATTCAACAACACCACCAAATTTTCTGGAGTCTAGAGCTTCCTAATGAATAAGAAGAAAATGCATCTTTTCTATCGAAAACAGTTGATGTTGATGGGGCTTGATGATGAGTTGACGTTGAAGTAAAGCTGCACGCTTACAAATCTCTGAATCAGCAACGCGTTCCCCTGAACCCAACGCGAACATTAACAACATCACCACTAACCAGCGACAAAATCCTCAACACTAAGCTTGTAACTTCAAGCTATCATCTTATAATCCCATGGAATCATATCCTTGATCATGGCGGAGCTTGCGATTGGCCAAACGGTCGAACTCAACGACGGCCGAACAGCGACCATCCGCTTCATCGGCCAGACTGAGTTTGCGCCCGGGGAATGGATTGGGGTCGAGCTGGAGGATAACGGCGGGAAGAATGATGGCAGTGTTAAGGGCGAACGATACTTCGAATGCGAGATGGGAAGGGGGATGTTCGTTAGGCTGGCAGCGATTACTTCAATCATCGACCAACCTCCCCCAGTTACGAAGCTGGCGGGAGTCAAGAAGGCAGCAAGGCCAAGCAGTGTTACCGGCTCTGGGCTGGGGAAGAGATTAAGCAACGCACCAGATCCGGCAGCTGGGAAACGGATGAGCATGAATGCTGCCAGTCCGAGTCCTGCGGCAAGGGGATCTCGACCCTCGAGTATGCTCAGAGTGAGCATCAAAAGTGATCTTATGTCTGAAATTCAGGTCTAACCATCTTACAGTCTCCAACGAAATCCCCTACGAAGCAACTTTCTGCAACGACATCGAATGCCTCTACACCACGAACTGGTACCCCTTCCAACGCGAGAAACCCCTCCGTTACACTGTCGAAACCCAGACCAAGTGTTGGAGGAGGTAGGACTTCGATGGGCCCACCGCCCCCGCCAGCAGCAGCACGTACATCAAGACCGTCACTGGCAGGCGGTCCAAGTATAGGGAACCGGACATCAGCACCCCCAGCCAGAGCTACAAGCGGGCGAATGTCACTTTCTGCACCCAAGCCAAGATTTCGTCCTGGGGAACGGGTTGGGTCGATTGGTAGCCAGTTGGGCAGTGGAAATGCAAGTGAGGGTAGTGGGCAAGATACAGGAGATGAGAGTAGGGGAGCATCGCCTATCAAGAGCGATCCTTCAGACACATTATCACCCAAGGCGGTGAGTCCTGTCTTGTCACGGACGTCTGCAGCGGATCGACAACATGCATCACCGACTTCGAATCGCAGCGGAGGATCTCCCGCGGCCCAAAGAGCAACGGGGTCAAGTACGGCTGCCAGCCGGGAGATCGAGGACATGAAGACTAAGCTTCGCCTCATGGACAAGAAGCGCATGGAGGACAGAGACAAGCTGAAGACACTCGACAAGATACAGGGTGAGCGAGACAAGTTTGAGTCAATCATCCAGAAATTGCAGACAAAATACCAGCCACAACAACAAGAGATTACCGAACTGAGGAAGCAATTGAAGGAAGCTGCTGCTCGTTTCGAGGAGGTTGAAAGTATCCAGGCGGAGCATGATGTTGTTCTCGAGATGGCTACCCTGGACCGGGAAATGGCGGAGGAAACAGCGGAAGTGCTCAAAACGGAATTGGAGGCTCTCAAGCAGAAGACCGAAGAGCTGGAATTGGAAGTCGAGGTCCTGAGAGAGGAAAATGCTGAACTTGGTGGGGAAATGAGTCCTGAAGAGAAGACGAGTCAAGGGTGGCTGCAAATGGAACGAAATAATGAGAGACTGCGGGAGGCTCTGATGCGATTGCGAGATATGACACAGCAAACTGAAGCTGAGCTTCGGGACGAGATCAAGAGTTTGGAAGAAGACGTCCGAGAACTGGGTTCCGTAAAGGAACACTACGAGGTGGTCAAGGAGAAGCTTGCTCAGTCTGAAGCTACAGTCGAAGACCTTCGTCAACAACTCGACAACGCTCTTGGTGCCGAAGACATGATCGAAGAACTCACAGAGCGAAACATGAGCATGAGTGAGCAGATTGAAGAACTCAAAGCCACGATCGAGGATCTTGAGAGCCTGAAAGAGCTCAACGACGAGCTTGAAATCAACCATGTTGAAACAGAGAAAGAGATGCAAGAAGACATCGATTTCAAGGACTCCATTATTGCGGAACAAGCACGCCGGGCACAACAACAAGAGGAAGCGATGGAGGATATGGAATACACCTTGTCGCGCTTCCGTGAGCTGGTGACCAATCTCCAGAGCGACTTGGAGGATATGCGAGCATCTCATGCTGTTACAGAGACGGAATCTGAGCAGCTGAGCAGCAGGTCACGAGCTATGATGGATCTGAACATGAAGCTTCAAGTTTCGGCAGCCAAGACCCAGGTCAAGACCATCGACCTCGAATTACGACGACTTGATGCTCAAGAAGCCTCGGAGCATCTCGCAATTGTCCAATTATTCCTTCCAGAAGCATTCCATGCTGACAGAGACTCTGTTCTCGCACTCCTTCGTTTCAAGCGCGTTGGGTTCAAGGCTAATCTTCTCCATGGATTCGTCAAAGAGAGAGTCAACGGACAGTCGTCTACTGGGCATGAGGACGATATCTTTGCTGGATGTGATGTTCTTGATAAATTGTCTTGGGTTTCTGCGATGTGCGACCGTTTCGTCAATGCCATCAGCCATTGCTCGACGGAAGAATTTGCGAAGTACGAAGGTGCTCTGTACGAACTCGAACCCGTTGAACGAGCACTGAACGGATGGATCGACGGGCTGCGAAGAGACGAACTCAAGGAGAAGCAGTGTGCAAGCGAACTGCAACGCACTATTGCACTGATGTCTCACTTAGCGGAGGTTCACATCTCAACTGGTCTGGCAAGCTATGCTGATGAGGTTCACATGCGAACTCTTGTCATGCAGAGCCATCTTGAAAATGCAGCAGCAGCAATGTCAGCCGCAAGATTCATGGTCCAGACCAAGATTCCAAGCCAAGGAGATGAGGATGAGCTTGCTCAGCATTTTGCCCGAAAGACTGACTCTGTGATCACACAAACTCGAAGTGCAAAGGTCATCATCAGCAAAGCTGTAAGGGCTCTGGAGGATCTCAAGATTCGGTCGCTGTCTCTTGCACCGGATACTCTCCAGGCATTCGAGCAATGCGAAATAGCAACCGAAGAATTGGCCAAGTTTTCTCGAGAAATCGGGTTCGATCTTTACACTCTGCTACACGAGGAAGGGCGAAATGAGGCTTTCACATACTTGGAGGTTCAAAGCAGTGTCCATCGTACGACCTTGGCCTTGTTCGCATCTAGCGAGTCAGACCTGTTCTCTACATACTCCAATAAGCTTCGGACTTTGACATCTGCTTTGGTGGAACTGGCCGCTTTGGCTTCCGATCTCGAGATGACTCAAGAATTCGAACGAGCTTCCGCACCTTGGGTTCTCAGATCCCAGGAATTGAAGTCATCAAAGACTATTCCTGTGGATGCAGAGGAGGAAATGCGTCGCTTGAGGGAAGACAACCACGAGCGTGCGAGACTCATTGCCATGCGGGATAAAGCTCTCGACGAAGCTTCTGTCAAAGTCGAACTCTTGGAGAGCCGAATGCGAGATGCTACCAAGAAGAATGAGCGCATCACCGAATTAGAGAAGAAGATCGAGGATGCACAGAAGCTCGAGGCTGAATTGAAGGAGTCAATCGAGTCCCAGAACAAGGAGATTACGACTGCCGAGGCAGAACGAGAGAAATGGAAGAAGATCGCCGAGGACACAAAAGCTCTCGGCGTCGTGGCACCGGGTTCGAAGGCGGGCCAGGAGCGTGCCGTTGCCACTGCGCGGGAGATGGAAGCTCTCAAGACCGAGATCGCCAACTTGCAAGCTGCAGTTCGCTACCTGCGGGAAGACAACAGACGTGCCCGTCTTGGCGACTCTCAAGGATTGGAGTGGCTGGAAGCACCTTTGACTAAACCCAAGCCCAAGGAGGAGCAACGCAAAGCTCTTGTACTCACCGAAGGCCAGGATGTTCTCAACGAACTTCTCAATCTTGGTAGCACCGCGAAGATATACGATCTCGGCACGATGCCAAAGAACAGACTTGCGTGGAGACCAGCTAAGGCGACGCCCCAATACTTCGTTGCGAAGCAGAGAGAAGACTACGAAGCGTGGAGTAGCTGGAAGGAATCTGTGGTCAAGAAGGGCCGGGTCCTGGAAAAACGAGATGCCAACCGAGGCACGGAGAAGAAAGCCAGGGGCAATTTTGCTGCAAAGGTTCAGCTGCGGCTCCCGGATTTGGAGGGCAAAGGTATCGGGCCAGGTGGAGAGGTGGAGATTGTCAACCCGGATGATTTTGAGGGATTCAGGGGAAGGCTTGGTTTCGTGTAATGTACCCAGTATACCCAGAGAGATACCCAGGAGTGCTCTTTTTGGCTATTGCCTGTACAAAGTACATACTCAATGTTAATACTTGTACTGGTGCTGAACAATTTTGAGCCCTTTTTGGTGACGTGCTAGATCTTCCGGTTCTGCCCCCTCCTGTCTTTCAAACATCCAATTTGGCAGAAAAGCGGAGGGAATCACGTGAGAGTGGCGCTAAAACGTTCTCCAGAACATCCCGGAAAATCCCCATGCAATGACTGGTCATGAAACAGTGGCTGAGCGCTGCGAAACATCCGAGACCAACAATTTTGTCCACCATGTCCTCTCCATGATCGCCAGCTCTTTCTCTTCATGATTTGCACACGATATCACGGTTTGCGATGAGGTTATTTCTGTTCCTTGCCGCCGCAGCAGCTGCGACGGCGGAGTATGTTCCAGGGCGAGCATTCGATCGGTTTATTACGATATGGCTAGAGAACCAGGTATGCCCGCTCTTCCCAGCAGCTACTCGTGCGCCCAGATCTAATCGACGGATAGGATTTCAATGCGGTAGATAAGAATTCAGATATTGCAGGGCTGGCGAAAGAGGGCGTTCTTTTGACGGAATATTATGGACTGACGCATCCCTCACAACCGAATTACATTGCGTCTGTTGGCGGAGACTACTTCGGATTGAATCATGATGCCTTTGTGAGGATACCGCAAAATGTGTCGACGTTAGTGGATCTGTTTGACTCGAAGAATATTGATTGGAGGGGGTACTTTGAGGGGCTACCAGGACCTGGGTATATGGGAGAAGGGAGTACGGCGTTTGATGGCTCGGGATGGGATTATGTTAGGAAACACAAGTTAGTGCTCTCGGAGTTCTGCCAGATGAATACCTGCTGATATTCTGAAGTCCATTCGTATCATTCGACAGCGTAAACCTCAATGGCACTCGATTATTAAAGCTCGTAAGCTTCAGCGAATTCGCCGCAGACGTCAAAGCGAACACGCTTCCCCAATACGCACACCTCTCTCCAGATATGCTAAACGATGGACACAACACAAGTCTCAAGTATGCCGCGAATTGGACACAATCCTTCCTCGCTCCTCTCCTCGAAAACGAACAATTCATGAACAGAACACTCATCCTCCTCACCTACGACGAAAGCGCCACATACCCAATACCAAACCACATTGTATCTCTCCTCCTCGGCGGCGCCATCCCCAAAAAGAAGAAGGGAACGACGGACGACACATTATACACACATTACTCTATCCTCTCAACACTAGAGAATAACTGGGAGTTACCAAACTTGGGAAGATATGATGTAGGAGCCAACGTCTTCCAGGTCGTAGCCGATCAGACGGGATACACAAACCATGCACCTGAAAATGCTGCTTCGGTAAACAATTCTTTATCTTATGGAGGATTCGTGAACAGCGACCCAGAGAAATATTTACCAATACCAGCACCAAATCTCAAGTTGGTAGGGGCAGGAGGGCAGGGAGTTGATGACAGTGTTCACACACACTGGAATACAGCTGAGAATCAACTGACACCCTACGATGGAAGTGGAATCTTGTACGATGGAGGGAACGGAGTGTCAGATCCCAATGCACCCATTTACAAAGCTCAAGCGCCAGCTCCGAATGTTACGAGTACGGCATCTCCGGCTTCCGGTACGAGGAATTCGGCTGCTGTAAGAGCAGTGTTTTTGGATATCAGATTAGCGGGACTCGGAATGCTTTTGAGTATGGCGTTGGTTGCGGTATTGGTTCTGTAGGGTTGTATAATACCATGATTGGGCAATGGAAGCGGCTACTATGATACCATTTCCCGCGATGTTAGTTAGGGAAGTAAACAGACATCTGCATGCATGCACGGCGGCGTTACGAGGCTTATTTCCGGATATGGAATGACTACGGCGTTCACGGAAGAATGAGATTGATTTTGAAGAAGGTTCATTTGCTTGTCTTGCTGAGTTTTGCTTGCTGTTGCCATGATCCATGTTCTATGTTCTCTATCTGTATGCGTTGCCTTGTCACTTCGCCTGCTCCGGTTCTGCTTGAGCTCTTTAATAATTCCCAAGAAATTGGAGTCAGCATGCTTCTTTCCGGTAGTTTGAGGTGTAGAGTGTCCCAGAATCTGTGGGGCAGGGAGTAGAATGTCTCAAGAGTTTATTGGACAATACGAGCAGAATGTCCTAAGAACTATTGAGACATTGCTACGGGAGATCAATACTCCGCAAAGTTGGGACTGGCATCTGCACGTGGCTAGGAGTTCCGTATGAGGCAGTTTTCGAAAGCGAAAGCGAAAGTGCAATGACTTTGGTAATCGTTCTTGGCCATCTGACCTGAGTCAACATATTCAATTTCTCCTCCCCTCCCACTCAGGTCCTCTTCTAAATCGCATGCACACAAGATGCTCTCAATAAATCAGCTTGATTTTGTACTATTCTGCTTACAAATGTCTCGTAACTTGACTACAATCAACGCGAGAGCACTGTGGCTCTGTCATCCATTTGACATCTCATTCCTTCGTCCTCGATTTCCGTTGTTACTGACTCGTAAAGCACATGAGCTGGAAACACATCCACTCATCTTTCCACCGAAATTAGAACATCGAGTACCAGTTGCGATAACTCCAGGAGTAATCGAAAGAAGAGCTCACCAACCTCGAAACCCTTGGATGTCGAAATCATCGATCTCCGATCAAGAACACTGAAAGCGAGGCGCCGGCGTATATTCTGATATCGATATCGCACGTGGTCCAGCCTCACGGCAATCGGCTCTCGCAGTGACCTTTATTATATCAAATAGTGAATTCTCACGTAGGCATTACATGGTAAGCACTCTTCTCCCGCCAACACACAATTTACATTGTGCTAACAACAACAGTGGTGACCGCTCATTGGGTTTACGGGCCGAACTTGCAGTTATTCTCGGGTCTTCGGATTGGTTATCGGGTTTGCATGACGAAACTGTTCTCTCAGGCTTGTGTTATCCACTACTCCGCCAATTTTTTTGTTTTTTGTAAATCTTTTGATAAGTTGGTGGATTTTTTTGAGCTTACTTATTTTGACGATTTCGCGACCTCGCTTAGGTGAATAGGGGAATCAACACTCACGTCTTCCTGGCTTCACCTGATACCGTTATGCATGATTATCTCCAAATCTCCGATTAACGTTCGTGTTATGAGTTAAAGGATTTCTCATTCCGAGATGTACAATCAAAGTCCCCCTTCCTTCTTTTTGACGGGCTATCATCGCGTGCGCAGCGTCGTATGCAAGCAACGCTTCGCAACTCAGATTTTCTCAACTACATCTCTTCTCCATCACCACCGCCTTCCTGCAACTTCCTTTCCCACTTTAATTCGAGAAGCCAATATTCTTGGAAATGGAAAACCTCTCCCTTCTCTCCCTCCGAAGTCACCCACAAGCTCAGCCCACCCATCACCTCCCCTCCCCTCCCCATCCTCCTCTTTTCCCCGCGAAATAAGAGACACAATCTACACCCACGCCCTCACTCCCCCACACACTGTGACCGCCGTCCCGCACCCCTTCAAATAAACATCACCCTCTCTCCCACCAACGATCATCAAATTTCAGCACCGTATTCCCTCACGGAGTACAAACCGTCATCTCCATCTCTAATCCGCGCAAACCGACAGATCTACAACGAAGCATTATCCATCCTGTACGGCGCAAATACCTTCTGTTTCACCAACTCCGAACACTCCGCGTCTTCGCCCTCCAAATCGGCACCAATTCCACCCTTCTGAAGAAAATCGCCATAACGCTCATCCATGTGCCGACACGGAGAGCCGCCGTATTGCCGATCTTCGAAGATGTATTTTTTGGGGAGCGGGCAGAGGATTGGGAGGGTGCGTTGATTAAGACGCAGAAGATGTTTACGCGTGTTGAGGAGGTAGTAATAGTTGTGGATCGTGTGACGTGCAGGAAAGGGAGTATAGGGTAGATGCGGAGCTGGTAGGCGTTTTGGGGTGTTGGGGAACCTTGGGACCGGTGACGGGGGGGAAGTTGAGGTTGGTTCTGAGGGGGTGGAAGAGTGGGGAGAAGTATTGGTTGCCTGCATGGGAGATTGTGGAGCGCAGGTGGGAGGGGGGAGTGGGGTGAGGAGTATAGTGAGAGTGAAGGCGAGGAGGAGGATGGTGGTCTCGGGCCTGAAGGAGTGGTTGTTGACCCTTGGAGGGCTGCGAGAGGTGCTGGTGAGACACGAACTCATGCTAAAGATGACGAGAGGTATGCTTGGTAAATGAGTAATTTTCCGATCAGCTCTAGTGCAAGATCGGGTTTCTCTTTGTTCCACAATCCAAACAGTGTACGCAATGTAATGGAACGGCAAGAAGAAATGGAAGAAGATATGGGATAGAGTCATATGAGATTGGATTGCAGCTTTTGTACGGCCGTGGATTTATTATCCCCTTTCGTCCCCAACCCCCACCATCTTCAACCAAAGTCTACCCGAGTAGCGCTCCATCCGCTCCAATCCCAACCCAAGCATACAATAACCTATTAATCCCACGAGTATTCATCCCTAATCCAATATTCCATCCTCGATACCCACATCGACACCTCTTCATTTCTTGTAATTTGACTTTTTCTAGATACATCCATGCTTCGAGGATGAGAAGCGCTGCTATCACACCTGGAAACTTCGTCAGCAAATGCTCTCCAATATATGAAGTTTTGGGAGGGGAAAGGGGAAGAAGGAAACGTACAGAAACTAGCCTCCCAGTCCCCGCTTATAGTTCCAGCAACAACAGCAGTGATGCACAAGAAGAGTATACAGAGGCTCAGAATCTGGAAGCTGGATGGTGGGCAGTATCGCGCTTTCGGAACTTTTTTGCAAGACTCTGGATCATCTATGGGTGAAGACGTTTGCAGCTGGCTGTCCAGTTGCAATACGTTTTCTCCGCAACTAAGGAGATCCGAGGTGGAGGGTGTTTTCATAGTTGAATGATATTGTGGGGCCTTGGCTTTGTTAAACAAGCCTGTGTGCTCTCTTCCGTTGAGGATGGCACTTGGGACGATTTTTTCCGAGTCTCGCTGTGTTAACTGGAGCAAAGTATGTTGAGCGCTGAAGAAAGAGCTGGCAGAGAAAGAGGGGAAAAAGGTTGTCTTTAGTAGATCAGAGGGAGGAATCATGATTCAAAGTCTATGAAAATCGTGCATGAGCATGATTACGAGAATAGAGACCGTGATTACTATCGAGCTGCCTTGACTCGAATCATTAACATCATTCAGCGAAGTGGCTGCCGCCATGATTACATGGAGCAAGGAGAATAACATTCGAGAAACGTCCAGACAGATTCAAAGTCGCTAAGATCTGAATAGAAGGAATCAACAAAGAGATAGCTGCAACCTGGAGGAAGGGAGTTTGTGAATAAGGGTCACAGGGTGTGCAGCATCAGAGAAAAGCATGGATGCTCCTGGCCGTGATTGTCACGAGTCGGCTGGACTGCTGGAAGGGGAGAGTCCAGAATTTATGCGTAGGTATGAAATGATTGTTTAAGGGAAGCGTGGATGTCAAACACGTGTAGAAGCTTGCCGATGGCCAAAAGTAGCTTGGGTCCAGGAGGGGAAGAGAAGAGGTAGCAAAGAGGTAAAAGGCTGGTCGGAAGAGAACATGACTATACTGTTTACTGGACATCTTGATGTATAGAAGAATACTGTAGCATCCTTTTTCGTGTATGTCTCTAAGCTCAACCCTGCTCTAGAACCCTTCATGATACCTCTGATAGCGGTCTCCAGCATCGAGCATGTGCACTGATCCTTGCAATGGTATATATTTCTCGCCCAAAGCTTCTATCCCGTGGCCCCCCCCCCAAAGTTACGTAGACTTTGCTTTCCGAGTCTAGAAATGCGTGCTGCAAATATCATCATCAAACTTTTGCAAAAAGAGAGCCGTCAGATGCTTTTAGTGTTCCCCAGCCATCGCCACTTCTCCTCAATTCCCCACCGCAGCCTTCCATGTCTGTACCAATGGCCCTCCAACGCCGCAGATGGGATCACAATCTGGCACCGGGACAGCCCTGGCATTCTCAGTCTTCTGCTTCGTTTCCTGCTCGTCGGCCTTGCAGAAGTTGTTGTCCCAGTGTGGACTGCCCTGTGTGCTATCAGCTCTGAGAATAAAGGCGGCGAAGAGGGGGGAAGTTGCCTTGGGATACAAGCCAACGTACTCGTAGTCGTGGCTGCTTTCCAGACCTGTGGAGGTTTGTTATTATTTTCGGACAAGGCCTCGTGCCAACGAGATAAAATAGTAGTGAAGCAGAATCAGAGTAACACCAAGACAGCTCACGAGTGGAATCAAAGAAGTTCAGAGTCAAAGGAGATTATATTCCTACAACAGTGCGCCACTCCAGCCGGCAGCACAATGCAATCCCCCACTCTCAAGTCAACCTCCACCCCGACCTCTGCATCCAACGGGCCTCTTCCCAGCAGCAACCGACTGTGTCCCTTGAAAACAGCATACAGCTCATGCGTAACAGAATGAAAATGATGCGCCGGGTAGTGGTTGAAGACTCCGCCTTTCATCCAGTTGTTCGGTTCGACGGCTCCACAGATGTTCTCAGGGGTGGGGTTTGCGGGTAGGACGGAGCGGTAGACCAGCACAGGGAGAGGAGAATTTGGAACGTGAGGTGTAGATTTCGTGATGAAGTATGCTTCAGGAGAAGAAATCGGTGTATCTGAAGGCATCGTAAAGTGTGTTTGAGAGCTGTACTGTACATGTGTTGAGATACATGAGAGCTGAGGTGGTGATAAGCTTTGGAAAGATTGCGGGGTAGCTGCAGCTTGGTGTTCGTCATGTCGATCATCTCATCGCAAGGGGGAAGCGTCCACACCTTGAAGTCTGAATGCCCTCTTCAAACCCCAGCAGCCAAAGTCCCAACTGGTTCCGGCCTTGTAGAGAACAAGATCTTGTACTTGATGATCTCGACAACCTCCAGATCCTCCCCTGTGTCTCCTTCCTTGTGATCACCATCTTGCCCCTTCCGTTTCTGAATGACAGCAATAGCCTTCGGCAGCTTCTTCACCTCGCCCGTGAGTCGTTGATGCTTGCCTACGTAGAGATACACCCTCTTCATCCACTCGTTGCTTCCCTCGTTTCCTTCGTATTCAGGAAACACCAGCCTTCCCACCGGTGTCTCCATCACCTTTCCATCCCCCTCTCCACCTCCGTCACCCGTAGACATCGCAGCCCCATCGCCATGGCCCGGAAGGTTGATAGTCCCCTGAATCTCCAGCAGCGCGAGTCCAGCTTTCGTCTGGATCACGTGAGGGAGCGGGTTGCTGATTGGCTCTTGTTCGGGAGCTTTGACCGCTGTGTGAATTTTGATGCCTTTCTTCTCGTCTTCCATGTTGATTTGATTTGTCTGACAACGCGTAAGTACAACCCATAAACGTTGTAAGTACTTTCGTCGTGACCCTGTGTAAGAGAGAACTTGGGATGTAAGGGCGCCTGGAAGTCTAGAACACTCATTGGTTCTTGTTGCGAGGCTAGCGTCGGCGCGTGTGGTTGTTCCATATGCCGAGGATGAGCCGCCTTGAGCATTCATCGGAGGTTGAGGATAATCCGGAGCCGATATTAACTGTGACACAGGGTGAAAAGATTAGATGAAACCAAACACTGTAATAATGAGCACTAATTTTGCGCTGATCGTTGCTGGCTGGCTTTTGTCTGGAGTATCTGCCTTTTGGTAAGTAGTTTTCTCCTATTTCGTCTACTGTGGCCGCAAATCCTCGCCAACTCATAGTTCCACAACTACTGGCACAATTGCAAGCTGTGTAGTTCAATTACCACTGGCACAATTGCTAACCATAGTCCCACAGGTACTGGAACAACTACAAAGGGTTATCTGTAGAGAGAACATCATGGTGTTTTGGTCAATCCGAGGCTTGTTCTCAGCATCACGTGATATGCATCGCTTAGCCCTAGTTGTGTTTTCCCTTGGCACACACACGCTAACCTTTTCACTTTGAATTTCAGTATCCCGTCTCGCAACAACCTCATCTCGACCAGCAACACCGTCAAGATGAAGCTCGTAAGTCATCTGCCATTCTCCAGAATCAATTGTGAACATTACTAACCTGTGCGCGTGCCAGAATATCTCCTTCGTGAGTCCCCAACGCTTTTCCATCGCGAAAAATTCCGTCACGAATCCACGAACACACACTGACAATTGCACAGCCGGCGAACGGCAGCCAAAAGCTGATCGAGGTCGAAGATGAGCGAAAGCTGCGTGTCTTCATGGAGAAGCGGTACGAATAGCTCCTCAGCTTCGAATGCACAGCAGCTGACAATCACAGAATGGGCGCAGAGGTTCCTGGCGACTCTGTTGGCGACGAGTTCAAGGGCTACATCTTCAAGATCACCGGCGGCAACGACAAGCAAGGTTTCCCTATGAAGCAAGGTGTCATGCATCCCACTCGAGTTCGACTTCTCCTCTCCGATGGCCACTCCTGCTACCGACCCCGCCGCACCGGTGAGCGCAAGCGCAAATCCGTCCGTGGCTGCATCGTCGCAATGGACCTCTCCGTCCTCGCCCTCTCGATCGTCAAGCAAGGCGACGCCGATATCCCCGGCCTCACCGACGTCGTCCACCCCAAGCGTCTTGGTCCCAAGCGCGCAACCAAGATCCGCAAGTTCTTTGGCCTCACCAAGGAAGACGATGTACGTATCACCACGTATTTCCTCTTCGCCTGTCCTCCTAGTTGTCCCACAGCTTGGAGTGCACAGAGTGTGAGCTTGACATGATGGGCTAACGAGGTGCTGCCGGTTTTTACAGGTCCGCAAGTTTGTCATCCGTCGTGAAGTCCAGCCAAAGGGTGAGGGCAAGAAGCCGTACACCAAGGCTCCCAAGATTCAGCGATTGGTTACCCCGCAACGTCTTCAACACAAGCGCCATCGCGTTGCGTTGAAGCGCCGTAACGCTGAGCGAACCAAGGATGCTGCTGTACGTTCTTCGCCTCCAACCCCCCTTCCAAATCTCAAACTGACGGAACCTTCAGAACGAATATGCCGCCATCCTCACCAAGCGTGTCACCGAAGCAAAGTCCGCCCGTGCTGATCTCCGCAAGAGACGAGCATCTTCCATGCGCAAGTGATCTAACTCTTATTTTCGATCGCATCACAAAATACAATACCAAGGCTTTTCATTCTCAATTCATCGAGAGGATAGATCTTGTGGAACTTTCTTGCTGTGACTGGACACTTCTGTATCTAGGGAGGCTTGAGACCCATGAATTCTTTTCCCGCATGGTAGCGAGAATGGCTTTGATGATTCAGTATTGAAGTGTGAGAGGAGCGTAAAATGGCACTACAACTGCATATTAGCATGTAGCTAGGCGTTATTGAGATGCTTATTTGACCACAGTTGATTTTGCTCATGCTTGTGACTGAAAATATTTCCATGAAGCGCTCGAGGTGCTTGGGTCTTTGCAAGTATTCATCCACGAAGGCCAAGTAAAGGCACATTCTCCTCTGCTATCCTTAAATGCTCAACAACCTCTTATAGAACCAAGCCACAAGGCTGACTCGATGCTCCTCAACTCCTGAATTTGCTTCTCCCCTTTACACATCATCACAAGCTCAAGAAGCACGACGGTATTCAATGACTCAGATTCCATTTCTCTGGAATATATCAAGACAAACTACTGCAATCTAGAGAATAAGACAACAATGTATGGCGGCAGATGACAAACTACCTTGTAAGATTACAAAGTAACCCAAACCTCAACGCCCATGCAATCCCAAGAAACCAATCAATTTACCGATATGCACTTTCCTTCCAATTTCCCTCAATCCTCTCCCCCTCCTATCTCTCGTAACAGAGCACAGGAGCAGCAAAAGCAACTCAATCTGTCGGCGCATGCGTAAACAAAAAACTCACACTCTCCCCATTATGTGTGCGTCGAATCGCCTCCGCCAATGTAGGACTAATATCCATAACCCGCAACAGTCCACACCTCTCCCCCTTATCGCCGAGAGGAACCGTATTCGTAACTACCACCCTACTCAACTTACTCTTATTCAGGGTCTCGATCGCATTCCCGCTTAATATTCCATGAGTGACGATCGCAACGACTTCGCGCGCCTTGTGCGCCATTACCGTTTCCGCGGCTTTGACGAGCGTGCCACACGTGTCCGCCATGTCGTCGACAAGGATCGCGATCTTGTTCTCGACGTCGCCAACCAGCACCATGCGTGAGACTTCGTTGGGGCGCGCGCGCTCTTTGTGGATGAGTGCAAAGCCGAGATCGAGGCGGTCGGCTATGGATGTTGCCCTTTAACAAATATCAGATTCCCCTTCTTTCAAGATAGACATGATTGGGGATTGGAGAAGGCGAGAGGTGAAATGAAGGAAAGGGAAGGAAGGAAGGGAGACAAACCTCTTCGCACCCCCGGCATCAGGACTAACAACCACACAATCCTCAACCCTCAAATTCTCCCTGATCCAGCGCAAAGTGCTGGGCTCCGCATACAGATTATCGACCGGCACATTGAAGAACCCCTGGATCTGACTAGCATGCAAATCCATCGTGATAACATGATTACAGCCCGCCGTCTGCAGCATATTGGCTATCAATTTCGCGGATATCGGTGCTCTGCTCTTGTCTTTCTTGTCTTGGCGCGCATAGGGGAAGTTGGGGATCACGGCTGTGATGCGACGGGCCGAGGCGGTTTTGCAGGCGTTGATCATTATGAGGAGTTCCATGAGGTCGTCGTTGATGTCGCCGGGCGCGGTGGATTGGAGGATGAAGACTGCAAACGGAGTGAGCATTTTGAAAGTGTGAGCTTGCAGGCTTGGAGCAAGGGAGTGGAACGCACCGTCTTCATCCCGAACACTCTCACCCACAGTGACGCTCGTCTCCTGATTCGAATAATTCAAGCTCATCGTCTTTGCGAGCTCAATGCCCAACCTGTACCTCGTCAGCCTTCTATCCTTCCACCCTTCTGTCCTTCTATGCATTCCTTCCTCCCTCCATCATCTCATTCCTCCTCCCAGAAGTCGGAGTGGAGAGACAAACCTATCAGCGACCTGCTTCGCCAGCTGCGGGTGGCTATTGCCCGTAAGCAGCTTGATGGAATTCGTCGCCATCTTGTCTGTCTGTCTATCCTTTCTCTCAACCCTTCAATTCTCAATATCTTCCCTGTTTGTATGTATCCCTTCCCGCTTTCCCTTCTCTCTCTCTTTTCTTTCGAGGATGCAAATTGGTTTCTGGCAAGGGTTTGCTGCAAAACAAAGAAACGAAAGAATGAGTTGGCTGGCGTTTTTGGAGGATAAAGAAGGTGTGGCGGTGTATTGCCTACTTTTAGAGAACGGCCACCTGGCGCGGTATTTAAAAGCAAACTGCTTCGTTGGTGCTGTCAGTCCTAAGCTGTTCCTCAAAAATTTATTTCAAGGTTTAAGGTTAGCGGCGGGGTCAGAACCCCGGCCGGAAAAAGCCGAGTGGGGTGCAGTGCACGTGATCTAAGCTCTCCAACAAAGTCCTTCGTCCTTTCACAAAAGCAAGAAAGAAGGCAAAAGATTGATAGTAGGCATTCTATTGCTACCCGTGTAAAAGACGAAGTCATCAAGTATGATGCATTGCCATGCGTGCCACCTATCTATTTTACATTTTCATTCGCCTCCCAACCCATCATCGGTGTCGAGATCCCCTCCTCTCACTCAGCAAGCCCGAAGCAAATTCACAAACGACCTGCACTTCGTCGTGAACCACCCGCGCAAGGAAATTATGACGAGAAAGATGGAAGACCTCATACACCGTAGAATGAGAATGAAAAAGAGAGCAATAACCGCCAACCAGCCAGCCATCCGCTTATTCTTATGCACGCCTTTATGGCCAGGCAATAGAAGTACCAGCCAACCCGTATGAGGCCAAATACAAATCAGAAGAGAAGGAAAAAATCAAGAAGCTGATGACGCCGTCGAAATGCTTATCAAGGCTTGCCATGCATGATATTCGTGATGAATGAAAAAGTACAATTTTGCTCGTGACCGACGGAGGGAGGCATTTATGCGAAACCGAAGTACTCGCTTCCGGCGGTGATGGCTGTGAGGACTTGTTGGCGGAGGACCTCGTAGCTTTCATACTCGGGAAGATCAAGCTCTGGACTACTGTTAGCAGATGAATTATACAAATATCAAAGAGGACATACGGTTGAAGCATGTGTGCGAGCTCGGAAGTCTATCCTTGTTGCCATAATCACGATGGATGTTGAACCGACTGAAGCCATTCATGCCCTCGAGTTCCTTGAAGCCGTTGAGAGGTACCTTGCTAGTTCCGGTAACGAACTGCAGCAACTTGGCACGCTCTTCCTTGTCGTATGAACGGACAGCTCGCCAGAACCATTGGATTTGTGGAGATGAGGCAGAGTAGTTGTGGTATTCAGCGTTGCTCTTCCAGTCGTCCACATCAATCTCAGGCAAACCGGAGATTAACAACTCCAATTCTTGCTCATTGAAGATTGCGACTAGTTCGGCGGGAATAATATCATGGAATCCTACGAAGGTTAGCATCAATTTTGGCGCACTGAGGTGATCAGCTTACCCTTCAGAAATTCATCCAACTGCTCCTTCACCGATCCAGTGAGCTTCCACTGAACCATCAAGTGAACGTACTCATGCTTGTTCTCTTCAGTGACGGCGATGTTGCGACCATTTGGAATGAAATCAATAGTTTCTACCACACCAAACTTGTCATTGTCAACCGAGAATGTCTCCGTGATGATATCAGTAATGTCGTTCTCCAGCATCCAGCCAAGAGACTTGTAGTAATCCGGGTCAAGAGACTCCATATCCTTGAGAGAGACAGCCTTGCCCAAGATGCGCTTGTAGACGGCTCGACTGAAATGGCAATCCAAGACACGGCCCTCGTAGAGGGCCTTGCCAATGATCCGACCAATGAACTTGAAGAACATCAGATGCTCCTCGTTGATACTACTCAATTGGTTGGGGTGGAAGGTAGTGCGATCTGAGGATACGGGAATGAATAGAGCGTAGCCCGGATCGAACATCTGTCTGGAAAGAACCTGGAACCATTCGCGAGTAACACCACCTGCATCGACACCCTCCTCACCATGGAATCGGATGCTCAGCTTGCCATACTTCATCTGATCGCCAGTTTGGAAGTAGAGTGACTTGAAGGAGTCGTGGAAGACTTGGTCACGGCGAACAGACAATTGAAGAGGTGGGAATGATTGGCGGCTGTTTGGTGCCTTGGCGTGGAGGCTTCGGCTGAAGTAGTTGCGCTTATTGTCGAATTCGAGGACCTTTGGATTCTTGACCAGAAGAGAGAAGGTACCAGACATGAGCTTGGGAGTATGTCTAACAAGGTCGTTGAGAATCTTGCGATGCTCCTCGGTGAAGGTAAAGAACAAGTTCTCCATGTGTGACTCGGGAGGCGGGCTTGTCAAAATCAACTCTTTCTGGGAGCGGGCGAGAGGAGGTGGTTCCTTCAAAGTAGTGTTCTTGCAGACAACCATAAGAGCCTCAATGAGAGGCAGAAGAATGGTAGCGACGTTCAGCATATGTTCTCGTTGCCTGATGGCGCTGAGGCAAGCACTCAATCGCTCCCACATGCGGCCGAAGGTAGGGTTTTCGTAAAGAGAAGACAATAGATCTTGCTTCTCCAGCAATTGCGAAGACTCGCCTTCAACCTCAGCCTCGGTTGGCTTGTCCTTCTTCTCACGCTTGGGGTCGAAAAGATGATCAAGTGCGGTGAGAACACGGAGAAGCTTGTTCTGATCAGATCCACCAGGCGAGAATTTTGCCAATGCAACGCCTTGTATTTCAGTACCAGTAGTGGCCTTCTGGATTTGGGGAAGAAGGTCTTCAAGATCAACCAAGATAATCTCACCCAAGCCTTGAGCCTTGGTGATGAGTTCTCGACCAAACACTGCCTTTGCGCCGGGGATGGCTGAAAGGTTCTTAATCGTGGAAAGGGTCTCGCGGAATGTCTTTGACGAACATTCACGAGCCACAAAGATGTTGATCACCAGCTTGAGGTTGTGTTCGGGGATGACCGGAGGAGTAATTGGGCGTTGTTTCTTCTCTGAATCCTTAGAGGGTTCAGGTTTCGCAACTTGAGCATCCGCTGAGGACTCATCACCTTCGGTTGTTGCAGGTTGTGCTGGAGTTGCATCAACTGCTACGGTGTCAGAAACAACGGGCTCGGTTTGTGGCTCCGAAGACTGCTCATTGTTCGTCGTGGCGGTCTCGGGAGATGCGATAGATGCTGCGGTATCAGTGACAGACGGAGCGGCTTCAATCTTCTTAACTTCCTCCGCCTCTTTTTGCTTGCGTTGTAGAGCTTGAAGAGGAGAAGTAATCATGTTGAGTAGTGTCGAAAGAGATTCCATGACCGAAGAGCTGTCCATGATGAGTTCGCGATCCAACAGGCTCAACAACGAATTGAGAGGATATTTCGAAGCCTTGTTCTCCTTGCCCTTGCCCTTTCGGCTGAGACTACGTTTCAGACCTCCAACATTGTCGTGTTCTGTCAAGAAGAATGCAGGGATATGAGGATTGACTTGATTGAGGTAAACCAAGGCCGTCAAACATTGTTGGACAACCATGAGAGGTGATGCCTCGAAAGTTGTTTGTGTCAACGGGCCCAAACCTGTGAGTGCCTTCTTCAATGGCTGTGGAGTCTTCGGTTGAGCATCCTTTGGCTGCTTGGCTCTCAGAGATAGGTGAGCAAAGCTTCGTTCAACAGCCGACATGTCGACACTGCCGTCTTGCAGAATGTGAAGAAGGGTACTGAGCACCTCGTTTCGATTATGCCGATTCAGGGAGATGTTTTGAAGCACCGAATTGAGCGTGCTTCGAAGACTACCATGTTGGAATATGAACATTAGACGCAACAGAGTCGCAACACCTGGCTTATCAAGCATCTGGACGATGGCACGACGTGCAGGTCTCGTGGTGTTGACTTCGCGGGCACCATCTGTACCGGGAGGAGGTCCTCGTCTAGCGAAGCCGCCTGGAATTCTGCCGTGCACCGGATGGTCCCGCATGGCAGCGCGTGCCTGTTCTGCGAGTTCTTGTGGAAGCAGCGCAAGTACCTCTTCGTCTTGTTCCATGAGGACCTGATTTCGGAGAGCCGGTGCCAAAGTGGCCAAAATGGTAGCGGCATCCATGTCTCCCGCACCCGCGCCGCCGTTTGCAGCATTGGCTTGACGATTGCGCTCTTCACGCTCGCGCCGACGTCGTTCTTGTCTCTCCTGTTGGATAATCTCATCTCGAATGTCATCTGGTAAAGCGTCTAAGAACTCTTGGTCAATCTCGGACGGTGGTGCGCCAGTTGCTGCGGCTTGAGATCGTCGCTCGGCAACTGCAGACATGATGACTTCTTCTCGAATTTCTTCGGGCAACTCCTGGAGGAAATCGGGGTCAATACCAAGATCAGTAATATCGAATGGACTACCACGAATCATGGTCATGATTCGGGGACGGTCAGCCGCAGGAGTCTCTTCGGCTTGTTCGCCTGTAGCTGGAGTGCCCTCTGTCTCAACACCTTCCATGGCTTCGGTTGTGGACTCTGCCTGCTCGGCAGCTTCGGTCTCTGCTTGATCGGGTTCTGGCCCGCGCGCGGCAAGTGCCTCAGCGGCGGCTCTCTCTGCAGCTTCTCGCTCCTCGGCTTCCTTCTTCTCCCTAGCCGCCTTCTCCTCAGCCTCCTTTGCCTCCTTCGCAATTCGCTCTTCCTCGGCCCGCTTCTTGGCTTCCTCTTCCGCCTTACGAGCCCTCTCGGCTTCAGCAGCCTTGACTGCCTTCTCGGCTTCGATTGCGGGAGGAACAAGCAGTGACAAGATTGCATTGGCAAGAATTCCTGCAGCGTCGAGAGTGGATGTGCCAAAGAGAATCTTCGATTCCTCAAGCCATCGAGCGATCGTCGACGTTGGTGTAAAGAAAGCAGCACTTCCAGGCTCAGCATCGCCTCGTCTCGGGAAGTGAGAAGGTCGCATGCCAAACATTGCTTGGATATCTGGTGGTAAATGATGACCGGGACCTGTGGTGATATGAAATTGGAGTGCTTGACCGTTCCGGGCATGACCTGGCATGGATGGTAAGGATCTGATCACTTCATCCAGGAGAGCGGCTGTTCCGGGGCCCTCACCAAATGGTCGTCCACTAAAACCAATGTCTAAAATCTCAGCACCTGGCCCACCCATAGCTTGGATCCAATTACCCATTGTGGGAAGTCGATTGGAGCCATCTCGGCCGGGTCCACTAGCACCATGACGTTGCAGTAGAGGGTTGATTCCGTCGTCGCCGGATCGAGACGCTGCCGCGCCTGGGCGATGGGAGCGGTAGGAAGAGCGGTAGTCGGGTGCTGTATTCGGATCAGTTCTGTCTCTTGGCTGTGCAAATAGTCGGAGGCGGTTATCATCTAATCTTCTTGCTATGTTGTCGAAAAACTCGACTATTTCTCGAGTACTTGATGATATTCTGGAACGATTTTGTGAAAGGGGTAACGTACCACCCAGCGGGTCGCGAGGACCGCCAGGAAACAATGGGAAAGGCGAGAACCCTCCACGAGGCCGACGATGAACAATGACTGGCGGCTCAACATCATCCTGCCATCCACCACCAAATGACACGGCACCGGGACCATCAACTGGGGTGACATTAGCTGGGCTCGACGAGAAAAAGAGGGAGGACAAACTTGGAAATTGGTCAAACATCATCTCTTCCTCATCCATATCATCCTCGTCTTCTTCATCGTCTGGAGAGTGTTAGATCTATAATTTGAGCGGCGATAGAAATCAACATACCGTCTTCATCATTCTCCTCGTACTCGCCGCCAACTAATTGGCCATCGTCCTCGGCCTCACGCTCAATAGCTTCGGCTTCCATGTGCTCCATGATTTCTGCGGCATCCTCTTCATCACCGCCTTGGAGAGCACGAACGAGATGTCGAATAGGACCTTCCATACCACCCATTCCTGCAATGGCATGCATCTGCTCCTCTTCTTGATCCGCAGCTTGGCCTTCGTAGTCCTCTTCTTCGCCCTCATCCTCTTCATCGTCACTCTCCCACTCGCCCATGTCGTCTTCCTCTGCGAGTTGCTGGACGTTTCCGGCTTCATCGATGATTTCGACGCGAGCATCATCATCTTCTGAATCGTGCTCGTCGCTATCATCGTCATCTCCACTTGAGCCGTCTTCGTCGTCTTCATCGTCATCGTCTTCCATGATAACTTCGACATCGACTCCATGATCGCCGGAGAGACCTTCGATTGGACCCATACCCTCGATTTCTTCATCCTCATCGCTGATGTTGTCTTCATCATCTTCTGGGCCATCTTCCTCGTAGTCCATCTCGTCATCATATTCGCCTTCGTACATCTCCTCGTCATCTGCAAAGGTTAGTTGGTTGTTTATTTGGAAGGAGATTACCAGCATACCATCATCAGACTCTGACGACGAATCTTCCTCACGCCCGGGCTCGAACATGCCCAGTGTTGAGTTGCGGAAGAGATCTGGGGTTTCCTCGCGCTCGTCCTCATGCTCGGAGACTGAAGTTGCGGATTCAATCTCATCCTCATCATTCTGGCCAGGGGTGGCAGAAATGAGAGACAAATCGCTGAGTTGGACCGCGGTTGTTGTAAGGGTCTTGAGAGGCCGCAGGATGTACTTAACCGCACGCTTGGCGTTAGGGAAGTTGAGGTCGATATCAGCAATGGACGCCGTAAGCGCATTGACGTAGCCCTTCTCGAACATGATTCGACGGAGCTGCTTCTGAGACATCGATGCCACGGCAGGGTCCGACACGCCCACATTCTCCTTGCCGGTCATGATATGGTTCATGAGGTCAGCGAGAGCGAGCATGCGAGCATACTTCACGTCAAGTGGTTCTGTGGACGAACTTGCTTCCTTGTAGGCCTTGAGGATATGGTCCAAGACAAAACGGCGCACGTAAAGAAGATCTAGCTCGTTCTCGCTGTCATAAGGCTCGTGGTTCTTGTCGATAGGTTGCTCCCCAGTCTTGGTCAACAGTGCCGTCAGAACTGAGTCAGCCCAAGATGAAGTGACAAGCTTCTTTCGCAAAGAGGTCGTCTCAACATGATCCAAGGTGCCAATTGGAATGAGATCAAACAGAAGGTAGTTGACCACGGCTGATCTAGGCTTGGATGGAGTCATGGCTTGAGGAGGAGCACTGCGCTTGAAGTTGATAAATTCAATCTTTGTGCGATTGTAAGATGAGAGGAGCTCCGTAAGGCACTGGAGAATGAAACATCGGTAGATGTAGATTGGATGTTCTTCGGCCTTGAAATCTTGCTTGGCGGGAGGTTTAGAATTCTTGGTGTCCTTCGGAGTGCCTGCGTCTGAGGGCGATGAAGTGCCAGCCATTGGGATGTCACCATTGCTTGTTGAACCGTTATTCTCTGTGCTAACTGGTGCCGCAACGGCCTCTTTGTCTTCCACATCTCTGTAGTTGAGAAGCTCACACAGCAGGAAATGGATCACTCCGTCGGGGTTCTCAAGAACTGGCAACTTGTGCTCATGTGCGGGCTTAGGAGCGTCGGGCATCTCGCTGTCGGCAGCTTCTGTGCTCGGCTTGATATCTTGAATCGACAAGTCTTCCGTGGCTTGCACGGTTGGTGAAACTGCATCCTCTGTAGTCTTGCTCGTTAACTCAGGCGCCTTCTCCTTCAGCACCAAGGAGTGATGTCGGCTCGGAGCGTCTGATGGTGTGTATGACCAACGGTTGAACTTGACCATCTCGTTGGTGACTTCTACGAAGAGTTCGGGGTTGCGCAAAGCGGTGTGCGAGAGCCCACGAAGATAGGTCTTCTCATCAATGACTCGCTGAGTACGCGTAGTCTCGAGGTAAGACTTGATGTCTGCCCGCATGATCTGCTTGACTGTTTCGTCATCCTCAATGATGTGTCGTAAGATCAGCATCAGAGGGCTTTGGAGTCGGACTGAACTTGCGCCGGCAAGTTGCTTTGCCATTAAGAATAGTCGCTGGATATACTTCTTCTCGCCGACGGCTTGTGCAACCGATCGGTTGCGTGTTAGGATGACCAAGATGCGCAGAACGGCAAGAGCCAGGGATTCATCCTTGCCGATCTTGGGCAGGATTGCAAGGATTGCATCAAGAAGCTGAGTTCGCTCCTCTTGCGATACCGAGGGCTCAAAGGGATCCAGAACTGGGGGTTCGGCGGTATCAGCCTCGTCCTTTGGTGGCGTCCATCTAGTCTTTCGTGGTCTCGCATCTTCGCTAAGAAGCATCTCGACAATCAGAAGGATGTGTGCAATCCAGGGCGATGGATCTTCTGCGGAATGACTCGGAGACAACTTGACAAAGCTTAACAAGGTGCTGAGGTTGTCCTTTAGTTCCGGAACGGCAGCCGCATAGAACATCTTGTCGCGAAGCATCAGTGCCAGCAGGTGAGCATAAGCAGCGATCTTCTTGCCACAGGGTCGAAGATCATCTTCCCCAGCGAACGACATGAGAGCAACGACCAACGTCGAACCGACCACGTTGCGCTGTGCTGTAGGGTCAGTAGACTTGTTAACCACCGTGGTGATCAGGTCAGACACCTCAAAAGTAACCTCGCCGTGAGCGTTGATGACATCAAGGCATTTGTCGATCAGATTATCACGGATAGTGTCTCGTTCCTCGTTCAAATCATCAACGGTGATCTGAGGACGAGTGGGTTCTTCGGTTGGCGGTGAAGGATGTGGCCCAGAAGATGAGCTAGCAAGAGGCAATCCTGACGCAGGCTCTGAGGCTTCACTATTTCTGCTCTCGAGTCTTGCCAATAATTGATCGAAGTTTGGAGGGACGGTCTCGCCAGCTGTCGCAGACGGAGGTGCAGGCTCTCTGGTCAAAGCATTGATGATGTTAGAAACGGTGGGACCTCCTGTCATGGAATGGTCATCGGGGGTTGCTGTTCCAGTGGAGGCCCCAGTACGTGGACGAGAAGACGTGGTCGCATCTGGAGACGGGGCAACGTCTCCTTCTGGAACCGGATTTCGGCCATTGTTTCCCTCGAGGACATCTCGACAATACTCGATAGCCAATGCTACCTGATTGTTGCAGCGGTAAAGGGCCTCGTTCGCAAGTTCGACCTCAAAATTATGACTCGTGACTGCTGTTTGGTACTCGCGATTGAATTTGAAAGGCTTGCGAGGGCCTTTCACAGCTGTAACGGGGGTTTTGTCGGATCGTTTGACCGCGCTTGCTTCAAAGTCAGCAGCAGCGATGGTGCGAATTACTTCGATGAGTTTCTCAGAGATGGAACTGGAACCCTTCTCAATAAGGTCAGAGCCCCATAATCGCCGGATGGTTGGAAGGATGGCCATCCTCAATTCCACGAGGAACTGGGGTGCAGAGAAATAGTCTACCCGGGTCCGATCTCTCTCTGATCTGGCCACCAGGGCCAGTGTTTGCATGGCTTCAGTCACGTTCTTCCCATTGGCGAGTCGACTGTAAAGTGTAAGGATATCCACAGCGCCTCTTGTTGCCAGAGACAATCTGAGCTCCTCCTCTCTATTGCTTTCCGTCTTTGGTGGTTGAAGTAAATGATTGGAGGGGTTAGAGCAAATCTCAGATGTGAAGGACTCCAGGATGCGGTTGAGAGTGTCGAATCCACCACGATCCTTGAAGGCTTGCAAAACCAGCGTAATCGTTTGTACAGCGCGGTCGTTGGAACGAGATCCTGCAGCAAGGAGCGAATTAGAAAAGTTAAGTAAGGTTGAGGTATTGGATTCTTACCATCGATCAACACATCCTTGATGACGTTAATCATACCCATCCAATAATTGTAATTTTCAGACGAGGATTCCTTTCCGGCAGGCGTGAGCTGGCCGATTACAGTCTCAGCCAACGCGTCGGCAATGGCGGCGTAGCCTTGCTTCTGGAAAGTATCTGGGTTGCGCTTCATTACTAATGCCTTGCCAAGTATCTGAAAGAAAGGAGAGATAGTTCGTGGCATCTTGTTCAGGAGATATCCGATTGTCTGATAGTTCTTGAAAAGGGGGCTTTCCTGCTCGGTCTTGGTCAAGGCTCGCTTTGCATCCGTCGATGGAGAGCCGGTGCTGATCTTCCCTACTGAAGCATCGCCGTTCGGAGCATCCAGTGGTGAGGGAACAGCCTGGGCTTCACTGCCTGACTGCTCATTGACCGGCGTTGATGGCTCAGCACTCACGGTGTTCTCGATGATAGGAGGCTCGCCAAACCCGGAATCCTTCATGCGTCTGTGGTTCTTCCAATTGTCAGGAACCTTTGTTACAAGTCGAGCCTCCTCTCTAAGAGAAGCGCCGAGTAAGGGACCAAGGCATTGGACAAGACGGATGTAGTAGTCGGCAACATTGACTTGGCCGAAGCTTGTGCTGTTACTTCTGTGATTAAAAGCAGCGCTCTGGAAGTAAGAATTAATATTTGTGACCAAGGAATGAATATTGACCAAGGCTTTGGCGAAGTCTGTGCCTTTTGCCAGCAGCTCCACATCAGCTGATTGTCGGGAATCTTGGTTGACAAAGGGAGCGAAGAACAACCCCTCTCCTGTGTAGCTAGAGAATGGTTCAAGGATGTCTGCCGCGGATTGTGCTCTCTTAAGCAGGGACGGCATGGTAAGATGCGGCTTTGTTTCTGCTAGGATAGCAACCACTTGATGGATTGTTCGACTGGCTGCTCCATCACCGAAGTCATATGCAAGACATGGCGAGTCTGCTAAATCAAGCACATACTCAATGCCACCTTTGGAGCTGAAGTCGGATCGAACAGACGAGTTTCCGAGCATTGCAGATAAGAATGTCGCAACAGCAGAGATGTAAGGTGTCATCGAGGCATTCTTGCCGAGTGGCTGTGCAGCAACCACATTCACGGACATAGAATCAGCATCTCTCATCTCTACATCGGTACCACCATCAACCGCCTTGCCTTTGCCTTTTGAAGATCTGTGCTCAGAGTGGACATTGAGTTGTTCATCGGCAATAACAGTGTTTCCAAGAGCATCAGTTGTCCACAACTTGGCGCCAATCTTGTTCTCTTCAGCCTTGGTCTTGCACAGGTATCCAACGCGAGCAACCATGTGCAGGATAGAGTTCATGATCGCAGTCTTCAACGGTGGATGATGTCGGACTAGCTCGTCGAAAGTTCCTCCAAGATTCTGTGGCAGATCCTTGTTGGCATCCATGACCTTGACATGCTCGGGGCTCTCGAAAATTTCGAAGAAGCTTTCCAAGGCCTTTGAGACTTGAAACATCTTCATACCGTTGTGGTTGAGGCAGATTGCACCAAATGCTTGAGGAATGATGTTGATAGTATCTGATGTTGGCATAATACCCCGAGCTAGTGGCCCATCGCGAGGACCTTGAAGTACCGAGGACAGAGGACGAGTGACAATAGGAGCGCTCTCATCGTCACTGTCATCGTCATCAGATGGGGCCAAAGGAGAACTACCTTCGACCGATGCGGGGGCGTCCGGGGTGTCTGATTTCTCATCCTTCTTGGGTTCAGGAGGCATGACGATGGGTGTTTGGGTAACCGCTTCAAGGAGGGCTCTGCTAAGACCAGCTTCCGCGATAACAGCAAAACTCGTGGGCTCATTATTGATGAAATCGTTGAGGATGCTGACTGCGTTGGTCCAAACAACCGAGCCAAAGCATGGCCCGTTTGAAATGATCTGACGCAGACCGCTCAGCAGTTGAGAAGAATCAATCAGATTTCGCAACAATCTGTCGAAATTGCCACCAAATCCTCCAGCACTGGACATCATGTGATGAATAAACTTGAAGAGCCACTTTAGAGTTTGCTGTTGGAAATATGGAATCTGATAGTCGACGGCTGCTGAGCGATATTCATCACGGATGCCATTTCCAGACGCAGCATTCTCTGATGCTGTCTTCACTTCGAAGACGATCAGATCGGAAACGGCATCAAGGCCTTCTGCGCTGACAAGAGTTTGGTATGCGTCGCGGGTACTGTAAAGGACGGTATCCAGGAAGGACAAAACGCTGGGATGATAACGCTCAGCAATGTTGGTGCGCATAGTGAGGACCTCGACCACGATAGGCATCATACCAGCTGTGACCAAATCACCGCCGGTTCGAGGGTTGGCGGCAAGGTTCGAGATCAAAGAGAACAGAGCCTCACGCCACTGATCTTCCTCGGTGAGCTGATTTCCATCGTCGTTTCCGTTGATCTCAGCAACAGCTTTTCTAACCACGTAAAGGAGCACACCATGGTTGACATTGGTATTTAGAGCAGCGCAAACATCTGAGAACTTGCTCTGATGGCCAGCTAATGCGTCCAATGCGCGAAACGCCAGGGTTTGTAGTGGCCTGGGGACGGCAATGTCTCCTTCTGGTGCTGGATGAACTAACTCTGCAAGTTGATACGTAAGTTGCAATCGACGAGGCTCATCACTGTCTTGCTTTAAGACGGTATCTTGGAAGGCTGTTTCCGCGTGGATGTACGCCAAGTTCGTGACAGCCAACAATCGAACTGCTAAAAGCTGCCGCCTAGTGTCCAGCGATGTTGTCAGGGCATCTGCTACGCGGAGCTTTGAGAGAAGCTCGTATTGCAACTCTTGTGGCAAGCCGGATATGTTCTCCCGCAAAAGCGTATGAATGCCTGTAGACTTGAGCTTGGATGACGAGATCTCGATTACTTTGAAATTAGGACGTGGGGTATCATCGGAAGGGAAAGTTGAAGAACGGGGTAATGTCGGTGGAGACTCATCCGAGGTTGTTTGTCTGTTTGTACGCTGACCGTTAGGTCCCAGGTTGGATGATCGACGAACCGGGGTGGGAGTGATGGGGAGTGCTGGAGATGGAGTACTTGGGGTGCGAGGTTGATTGCTAACAGAGTCGACTTCAGCAGTAGGCTTTGGATAATGTGTAACCTTGACATCTGCCCACTCATCCCAATTGCCCTCTGGAACAGAAGCGCCGGCATCAGTCGCACTACGAATGCTCTTAGGGCTGCTACTAACGCCGCTTCCACCCTTGACGATTGAAACGAGGTCATTGGCGTATACGGTTGCTGCGGGACCCTTTTGAGCAGATGAAGGGATGTTGAAATATGTCTTTTCCTTCCCCTTGGCACTCGGAGTGGCTGGTGTAGTTGGTTGCGTAGCTTCAACAGATGTTGTGACAGTCTTTGAGAAAGGCATAGCCAGCTGGAGAACCCTATCCAAATCGATGTTGTAATGGTTTGTCAAGATGGCATTGCTCACATGTCGGACAGGGATGTTCATGCGCTTCAACGCAGCCTGATATCTCTGTGCCAATTCGGATCCTAGACGGAGCGTGCTCTCGAGAAGGGTTAATGAGGTGGAGTTGAGGAGGTTGTTCAGATGTGAGCTGCTGGCGTAGATACTACGATTACCACAATTCTGCAGCAACATTCTTGAAAAGTCCAATATCGACTCAACCAGCTCTCTGTCTCCCTCTTGCGAGAATCCCAGCTGCTCGGTACTGCGGCCATGCTTCGATTGCTCCGATGCGTCTCCAACGTCAGACTCGAGCAGGGTGCATGCAAAGTCGACAATTTGAGGTGCTTCATCGAGCTTATATGTCTTGCAGAACTTTTCGAGAATCTCGTCGAATCTATTGAGAAGCGGAATCCAATGATACAGGTCGCCTCTCGGGAATGGCCATCTTGTTGGGAAGGTCGAGAGATGTTGTGGCAGGAGGAGTAAGGAAATGGAAGTAGCCTCTGTGCGGAAGTCCTTGATCCACGGTGACTACACCACTTGTTAGCATAAATGTAACGTGTCCAGGTAGATTTCAGAAGCTTACCAAAGACTCAGTGTGCTTCGTCTGCATGGACTTGGTTATTCGGACCATGATGATGGCAGGAGCGGGAAAACCGCTGAAGAATCAGTTTTGACCCCCCTCCACGGCCTCCGCGTCTATCCTAGCTGTCGACAGCTTGGCAGACAGTAGAAGGAGCGTCCACGATAGGACGACTCCGAATCTGGCGTAGAAAACGAGCTTCGTTTGCACTGGTGGAACAGGCCGTCTTCAAGAAGCTTTGGGAGTGGCCGAGCCGGATCTGCAAGTCAGTGATGGCGAGGACGATGGTTCCCTACCCGTAGATGGAGTTCTTCAATATTTTGCCAATGAGGGACAGATGAGAATTGAGGGAGCTTGGTGCGTTCGTGTTGGGGTGGAGGGTGAACGGGTTGTTGCTCGCGAACAATGAATCGAAAAGAGCGTGTCGAAAGGAACGGTGCAGGCGCCTTTGGAGTCTCTATCGATGGAAGATGCTTGAACTAGCTGGTAAGATAGGCCAGCAGTCAAAATATGGTATCTCGCGATGTTGGTTGTTGAAGGAGGTGGGGGGGTTGGCGGATGAAGAAAGGTGAAGGAGCTTCTTGAAGGTGCGGGAGCCTTTGGAATTTCGAGATCCGTCGCGGCAAACCGCGCGCTCGCTAACCGTAAAGTACGTCACTCTACCCGCCCATGCTTCCAACACGTATTTATTCGGGCAGTGAATTAGAAATTTGTTGATTTAGTGCCGGTAATTCGCAGGTGGTGATGTTCTATAAATGTTCTATCAAACAGGTTTGTTGTCTTCATTTGCAAGGTAGACCGAATCACCCCTCCCGACGCCGGTCCATGTAGGCAGATTTTCCTCCGGCGAAATCGCACGGCAGTATCTCAACCTCCACCAGGAAGCACCAGCAGGCAAGGCAGCCGCGTTGTATATTGTTAAGAATCGGTCCATCGTACTGCATAGTCGGGATCCAAGGAATCGCAGACCCTTCCCACAATCGAGTTCTTTCAAGTCGTCAAGTCCTCCCTCAGCCGGATAAATCTCAGCCTCGCGTCCCAAGAGACAATCCACAGTATATGCACATATCCCAAACCTCTTCAATGTAACACCAGCCAGCTAACTAAGTCGGATCCACGCCCTGATTTTTTCGTTCGATGAAAAGGATTCTTCGATACGCCTCCCGGAAGAACCCTTCAGCTTCTACTCACGAGGGGATACAGCAAAACAAGACTTCTGAAGTTCGTGATACATTCCAAACAGCCAAAGACTTCAGGGCTCAAGATAGTAAACCATTCGGTGCGAGGTTGAATGCGCTGACGAAGCCAGGCCCCGTCATAACTCTCTCAGCCTCGCGGCGAGGCTACTCGTGCTCGTACACGTGACTCCGGAAATCTCCAGCTGGCACCCCTTTGAAGAGGCGGAAGTGCCCCTCGCCCCGGTTTCTAGACATGCAGATGCCTGACAAGACTGGAGACAAAAGTGCAGAGCTGGTTAATTGAGTTGGAAGGATGAGCAGTCGTCAGCTTGGCTCTCGTTTCTGTCAGTCAAGCATATCTTTTTTCCAGAAAGCCTACTTTTTTTAAATGCGACTAACCCGAAGATTCACAACGCGGAAGCCAAAAGGAGCCCTGCACAATCGAGTCCAAAACACTCGACGAACCGTTGCCCCTGAGCCAACCATAATATGTAATCTGGACTTCCTCATCATCACGGGACACAGAAATGTTTTAACTTCAATCCGGCAAGATCGTCGGTTTCAAGATCCTTTCCTGGGCCCCTTGATTCGCTGGCACATTTTGGAGAGTGGCGCAAGGCGGCGATGCCCCTGGACTGTGGCTCTGTTGAGGATCTGAATGGGCCATCCCAATTCGCTGCGCGCCTGTGGAAGGGGTAGCACGAGAACATCTTACGAGCCGGCCTTAATCTTGGCCATGTGTCTTTGTTTTCGGCCTCCCCTGTGATTCTGTGAATAATTGATTAATTGCCAATCTGCAACATGTCCATGCCTTCATGATTCCCGAAGTCTCTTTTTCTACACATTCTACACCAGGTCGATCTGTATAGGCTGCCCCTGTCAGCTAAGATCACTTCCTTCTTAGCGACGCGTCAAAAGAAGCAGGGCAGGACCGCAAATAATCTCGAGTCTCGATTCCCAGAATCGAGCTCACCGACCTCCTCCCATTGCATGCTCTGCAACGTCACTCAGCATCTCGACGACACCGATTCTGCACTCCTGTATTTCGTACACACTGGGTTCAGTTGCAGCTTACCTACAACCGTCTGCTGCAGCGTTTGGAAAGCGGGAGACCGCACCCTTTCTTTGATGGCATCGACCAGCTCCTGACAGCACCCCCGTTCATCGAAGCGCCATTGATGAGAGAAACCAGCAGCAATGTCTGATCACGAGCATAACGATGAGGGGGACTCCAGATCGAGAGAGAGGAAGGATTCGAATCCAGACAACTCAGACCGGGAGAATGTATGTCGCAATCCTGCTCCCTTGTTTGCTCTCAGGCAGCGTCACACGACCCATCACCTGCGTCTGTACTCCTGGAAACCTGGCTAATAATCGCTCTCTGTAGGACACATTCGAGGATGCGAACGCTACCGCATCTGCAGAACCCCCACGAACAGCATCGGCTGAGAGGACACGATCGTTGACCAAACGGAGATCATCCTCAACCCACACACAAGAGAGATCCGAACATCCCCCCATACCTGTTGTTCCGGAAGCAAATGGTGGCCCGGAGCACGATGGCCATGATACAAGACAACCAAAATCCCCTCTTTTGACTTCCCGTCGACTGTCTACTTCGTCCCTCGATAATGTCAGCCTTGATGAGGATGGGACCCCCTTGAAACCAAGTTTATCAAAAGGTATAATTCTGCATCTATTACACATGGTTTGAGGAACCAAGCTGACACCGTCATCTACAGAGAACTCGAAACCCGTTCCCCCTCCCAGGAATACGAAGCCCTCAATCCAAGGACTATCCGGCGTGCTCCCTTCGGTACCATGGGCTCCTCCACCTCAATCGCATCAAGGCTCCCAACTCCCGCCTCCTGCACCATCCGCAACAAGAAAGCTGACAAGTCCATTCTCCTGGCTGTCAAGGAACGCCTCAACCCCAAAAGATACCGTTACATCTCCCCCTTTACCTTCGCCGAATAACAGTGGAGAACGAAGGAATACCGCCTCGTCGATCGCAACGATAAATAGCAACCCAGAGATGATGCTGAGCAAACTAGAGGAGGGCCACGAGGGAGAGGTAGCAAATGGGCACAAGCGGCCAATAAGGAACAGCCTGAGGGATAGATTCAAGCTTTTACGGATGCGAGAAGAAGCGGGGATTACTGCATTACCTGAAGATGATAAAGGGGGAAGTGCACTGGCGGGCCTCATAGGAAGAAGTGCAAGCCTAGGCCTTGGTCTTGCAAGTCCGACAAGCGTCACCGACGACAGAGAGCTTTCTCTGAATGCCGCCCACTCACCGTCTTCACCAAATCCCTCTAGTCCTAGCCCTGCTACGGTCAATCCCGCACTAGCACCAGGTACAGCATCCGGAGTTTCAGCTGGACCATCTGCGATGGCTGATCCCTCGGCGCCGGTTGATTGGGATTTGTGGCAGGCAGTCGTTGACGAAGGCCCGGCAGCTGTTGCAAGGACAAGTCCAGAGGATCTGAATCGAGCCATTGCGACTGGTATTCCGAATGTTATTAGAGGGGTAGTCTGGCAAATCCTCGCCCAGAGCAAAAACGAAGAACTTGAGAGTGTGTACAGGGACTTGGTTACTCGCGGGACGGACAAAGATAAAGATAGGTTGAGTGGATCGAGCGGGGCACACAGCACGCATTCCAACAACAGCAAAGAAAAAGAAGAAACAGTGGCTTCCTCAGCATCCTCGATACATTCAGATCACTCGACACCTGCAACTACTTTAACAAACGGCTTGAGATCGCCATCCCCTCCAAAGGATCCAGAGATGCTGGCAAAAGCTCAAGCTGCTTCAATGGCTGTAAAGAAACAGAAAGCCAAGGAAGATGCTGCTTCGTTGGCAAAACTAGAGAAGGCCATCAAACGAGATCTGGGGGCTCGAACCAGTTTCTCGAAATTTGCGGCCAGTGCTGGGCTACAGGAGGGGTTATTTGGTGTTTGCAAAGCGTATGCCCTTTTTGACGAGGGTGTGGGATACGCTCAAGGCATGAACTTTCTGGTCATGCCTTTGCTTTTCAATGTAAGAGCTTACAAAAGCCCTCGAAATCATTTACTAACGATTTTCAGATGCCTGAGGATGAAGCGTTCTGCTTGCTGGTTCGCTTGATGAACCAATATCACCTCCGAGATTTGTTCACCCAGGACATGCCAGGTCTGCATATGCATCTGTACCAGTTTGAACGCCTGTTAGAAGACTTCGAACCGGCTTTGTACTGCCACCTTCATCGCCGCCAAGTCTCACCGCATTTATACGCCACCCAGTGGTTTTTGACTTTGTTCGCTTACAGATTCCCACTCCAACTTGTGCTCCGAATTTACGATTTAATCCTCAGCGAAGGGCTGGAAGCCATTATCAAATTTGGAATCGTCCTCATGCAAAAGAATGCTGCAACACTCCTGGGCATGACTGACATGGTCTTGTTGACAAGCTTCTTGAAGGATCGTGTCTTCGATGTCTACATCGATAAAGCACCGTCTGCTGGGTCAATTCTCGAGTCTGGTTTCTTCGGTAGCTCAGGTTCAAGCATCGACAAGGAAGTTTACCGAGCGGATCAGCTGATCCAGGATGCTTGTGCTGTCAAAATTACACCCGAGATCTTGAAGACGTATACTTTAGAATGGGAAGAAAAGACCCGATTGGAAAAGGAGCGTGAGGCTGAGCTCGAGTCCTTGAGGCAAAACAATGCATCTCTCACACACAAAGTTCGGGTCCTTGAGCAAAGAGTTGAAAAGCATGACGAGGAGCACGCTGCTCTTGCAACAGATCTTGTGAAGGTTCAAATTGAGAATGGCGATTTGAAAGATGAGAATGAATCACTCAAGGGACAAGTAGTGGAGTTGAGATCCGTTATTGAAACGCAGCCGCAGGAAGTGGAAGAAAGGCTGAAAACTGAGATGGATCGGTTGATGAAGAGAAATCAAGAAGTACACGAAGAGAACACGAAGTTGGAAGAGGAGATGAGCGAAATGGAGCAGACTCTCGTGGCTACAAAGATGCAATATGCAGAGGTATGTTTTCAACTCCGGGAAGCGATTTCGCATTCTAATGTATTCAGATCAACTCTCAACACGAAGCTCTCACTCGAAAATGGAATGATCTCAGAAAGGCTCTCGACTAAGCTCCTCTGACCATTAACGGCCACCCGAATTGTACAGTCTCCTCAATTCTCTTTGTATTCGAACAGTCAACAAAGCTCAGGCTATTGCTCTACGATTTGGCTTAGCGACGCATGCATGCTTACGAAACTGTGATATCCCCTTTCCTATCCTACGTCTCGGCATGGTTGGCATGGTACGGCTGGCGTGTTGATGTATGTTATGACCCGCCCTCTTTGGCGAACAGACTCGGTGCCTGGATGGCATGCGAGAAGTTGTATATAGTTAAGCAGTCCTTTGTGCGAAGAATTCAATGGAATAAAGCGATGAGCTACTGATTAGTCTAATCAGCACCTAAACTTCCACCATAACATGAAAACCTGTCACGCCCTTCAACTCCACCACAACTATGAATTCTGACAGTAAAATTATGAGCTAGTTAGCTTGACTTTCCCATGAAACTTGTGAAGCAAAGCCCGCTTTGTTTCCACCACGTTTTACCTCGCACAGGCCGCTCAGGCAGCCAATCCTGTCGAAGTTTCAAGACCTCCTCACACACTCGAACAACGCCCTTCCTCCTCGAAACGTTGCTCCCACAGGAAAATAAAGTTTTGCTGTGGCGGAGTGATCAACCGGGTGTCTGTGCCATGGCTCTAACCAACGGCTCTCCTTTCGAATCTTGGCTCCCGCGCTGTGATGTCTTCTCTTCTTCGGCATGGAGAAGTATATAGGCACCCTCTCCCCTTATGCTTCTTCTTCCCGCCATCTCAGTCCTCTTTGTTCTGCCTTTTTAATCTCGTGGGTCGAAGTTATTCTTTTAATCAGCAAAATGCATCTCACAACCCTCCTCCCCCTGGGCCTCGCCAGCATAACAATCGCACAAAGCACAATGTCCCTCTCCGCAGTGCTGACCGCCAACAACAAAACCCTTTCTACACTCAACGGTATTTCTCCCTCCAACGAAAACGAAAGAATGAACTAACTGAAATTCGCAGGCCTCCTCGCAGCCCAGCCCGCTCTCGTCACAGCCCTCTCCAGCGCTCAGGGAATTACGATCTTAGCACCGAGCAACGATGCATTTAGCAAGATCCTCAGCACTTCCGCAGGAATGGTAAGTCCCCAAATTCTCTTTGAATCGTCTCTTCCCTTTTCGCAGGGCCTGCTCGCTCTCCCCCATAGCCAGCAACAGTAAACTCCCCATAGCACATTATCCCTCAATCCCCAATTCGCACATCAGGACAACAAGTACTAATCCTGAACTCTGGAATTCATAGGCTCTCGAAAAAGACCCCTCAATGATCACAGCCCTCCTCCAATACCACGTCCTCAACGGTTCTGTGCCCGCCAGCGCCTTCACCACCACCGCGCAATTCATTCCCACCCTCCTCACCAACACCTCTTTCGCCAACATCACGGGCGGCCAAGTAGTAATGGGCATGCTATCCGGCAAGTCCGTCGAAGTCTTCTCGGGCCTCAAGGAAAAGTCCACCGTCACCACCGCAGATATAATGTTCAGCGGGGGCGTCATGCACATCATCGACACCGTACTCACCATTCCTCTTTCCGCTTCTGCTTCCGCGATCGATTCGCAATTAACTACTCTAGCGGGAGCACTCACAAAGACCAGTTTGGTAACGACGGTTGATTCATTGAAGGATGTGACGATCTTCGCGCCGTCCAACAAAGCATTCCAGGACATTGGGTCCGCCGCAGGGAGTCTGACGAACGATCAATTGAGCAGTATTTTAGAGTACCACGTCATTGCTGGCACGGTGGGCTATTCAAGTCTCCTGACGAGCGGGCTTGCGAATGAGACACTGCCCACGGTCTTAGGGGGTGAGGGCGTCGCGATCGAAAGTGTGGATAAGAAGGTTTTTGTCAATAGTGCGCAGGTGGTTATTACGGATATTATTGTCGCGAATGGGGTTATGCATGTTATTGATAAGTATGCACCGCCTCCTCTTTTCTTTCCTTTCCTTCCCCTTCCTTTCCTTCTCTTCTCTTGTTTGAGTTTTGCGGAGGGATTTCCGGATTTAGATGCTGACTGAAAGAAAAGTGTACTCAACCCCTCAAACACAACGGCCTCTCCAGTCCCCACAGCCACCAGCCAAGCAGTCGCTTTCGCAGGCGTCTCTGCTGCTTCAGATGTCCCGTTCACATCGGGTATTTCGGCCACGACGACCGCACCGAGTGCTAGCACGATGACTGCCGCGGCGTTTGGAGGCATGCCGAGTGGCGCTGTGGGGATGGCGGCATTGTTTGGGGCGGGTGCTGCTGTCGTTGTTGGGTTTTAGAGTTGAGGCGAAGGAGGGTAAGGAGGGGAAGGAGAGGAGGAAAGGACTGTGGGTCTTAATTCTTGGTTTGAGTTTTAGGATTGGATGATGGACTGTTTAACAGGAAATCAAGAAGTATATTTCGTTTGTATCCTCTCTGCTCTCTATATCGACATCGTTCTTTCAACTGTTAAATGATTGAATAGCAAATTATTCTAACTAATACTCTATGGCTTCCAACTGGGGGCTCTCATTTTACTCTTTAGCAGGTGATATCGTCACGTGAGAGGAGTCACTTCCCGGCATACCTTCGGAGCAAAGCATCCCTCAACGACATCTCTATTCCTCTTCTCCTCACTACCACTCTACCCACATCCCATTCCCTCGCCCCTTACAAGCCTCAACCCCAAACCCACTTTTACCCCGATGGATAATCCCTCAGCCGCCAACAAGCCCCGCACATATCAAGCTCAGCCCAATGTTGACAAAAGTCCTGGCGGCACGATCCCCTTCCTCTTCCCTCGCGAAATAAGAGACTCAGTATACTGCCACGCACCCCCCACGGCATAATCTGCACCACCTCAGCCGAAGAACCCTACTCCCTATGTAACTACAAGCCACCCACCACCTCCCTCCTCCCCAACCGGCAGTTCCACACCGAAGGTACTTCATGGCTTGCGCCAATGCAACTTATAACTTGAAGGGCAATTGCTGGGGTACTCGTTCGTCAAGCCCAACTCTTCAACCACGGACCCCGCTAAGTTCCACTTCCAACACAACTGACCTCCCCATCTCTGCCTAACTGGAAAGGTAGCTCTTTGGTCTCATTAGGAGCAATAACGCAGACTCTGCCTGATATGCTGCGTTTATGCTACATCGGAACGGACATCTCATTCCACGAGATCTTGTGCGCCACAGCGGATTCTTGGAACGGCACGAGTTCTACACCAGATCAGGCTTCGGTGTGGACCTCCAGTGACAGCACTGGGCCGGGAGCGCTTGCTGCAGTAGAATGGCTGGACGCGATTCGATTCCACTATTTCCATGGTCAAAATATCGTCCTGGCTGCTTTAGATAGTTGTAACTAAGACACTGTTACCATTCCAAAAAATTGATGTTGTTAGACTGTAATTGGGCATGAACTGATGGATACTGTCTTATCTCTCAATTGGAGGAAGAGAGGTGAGTGAAAGGCTGAACACCTTGTTTGTTTAAGGGAACGCCAGCCATGGATCCTTCATCAGCTCTTTCGCCGACTTCCTCTCCTCGGGTACCCATTGGATCATTTTCTTCAGGAATTGGAGGAATGGGGTCTTCTCATCTCCTTCCAGGTTCTCCTCTTCATTTTCCAGCGACGTTTGTTGAATCTTGATATCTGGGGTGAAGTTCCCTTCTGGCTCGTCAGCGTCACCTAATATTGTCCTCCAACTGCTGGCCACTCACCTTCAACGTCAAAGAACACCTCGGAGAATTGTCCCCTTTTCAAGAGATCCTTCGGCGGTAGGCCCAACACCGCAATCATTCTCGCTATGCGAGCCGGAGCGGAAGCTTCTCGATTTAGAGTTCTGTGAACAAATGTTTTCCTTCAAACAGATCCCAGACCTTCAACATCAGCGGGATTCTCCGACTAGGGAGTACTCTCACTAACCATCAAGCCAACGCTCAAGATATCGATCTTTTCGTTCCAGGGTATCCCAAGGACAATTTCCGGGGCTCGGTAGAGATCTGGCATGACTTCTCCAATGTACGTCTCCTCGCCAAATTGAGCATCACCAAAGCCGCAAAGAACTGCGTGTGATGGATTGTCTGGAATGTCAACTTGTCTCGTTGCATAGATGATACGGTCACCATCGATCTTCCGAAGACTTGGCTCAGCCCACTCTTCTTCCTCGAAGCTCTTAAAAATTGCATCGTCCTCAATGCCGAGCATGACATTACCCTCCTGAATATCTGTTATGCGGTGAGTACATGCATGGAGTGAACAGGGCTCAGACAAATGGATGTAACTCACTAGTGTATACAACTCGAGCTTCCGTATGCAGAATGTCAAGAGCCATAAGCAAATATTTGATGATCGGTTTAAGAAGCTGCCCATCGACCTTTCTCCTTCACTCATTTCCCGGATGTCCTTAAGGGTGAGCCCTAGTGGTTCGTGGACCAAACATTCATGCGAGTCATACTGCCCGGGAAGCTGAAACTGATCACGCAGGGAGCGAATGCCTTTCGCTCCAGGATGACTGGTTTTGATGGTGCGAAGGTGTTTGTAGACCTTTTCCTCGTTCTCTGCTTGGCGATGCTTAGCGACGAAGACCTTCAAAGCTACATATTCATGATCGCTCAAACCCCAAGTCAGATTCTATCGGACATCATAGGGGGATAATATGACATACACAAGATCCCGACAGAGCCAGGCGGTAGAAACAGACCCGTAGCCCAACTTTCCCAGCACTTGGTACTTGGACCGAAATATCTCGCCAATTCGGACAGGGTAAAACGCTTCCGGATCGTATCATGAAAAGGTCTCTTCTTCGAGTAGATAGGTACTGTCCAACTCTTCGAAGCCAGTGGTGGGAGGCTGTCGTGGAGGTTATTGAGCGTTTTCCTTGCCATTATCAATCAATGGATCCTGTCGGATGTGGCTTAGTCGAATAGATTTCTCCAAGGGCGAAATATAGACTGATGTATGACTCTTCCAAAGTCTGAAGTTGGTGCAGCAGCTGATTTGCTGCTGAGGCCCCACTGTAAAGTTAACCGAAGCCCCTATTCTTGGGTCCCTGTTGATCTCACAACAGAAAGCTGAAAATCCGTATTTACGGAGGAGGAAGATTTCGAGAAGCGGGAGTGTAATCAATGGTTAAATTTCCGCCTTCTTCAGGGAAAGCATCCGATTCATAATCGTTGATTAGCCTTTGTTAAAAACCGAAGCGCACTAATACTCATAGCGCCAGCTGTGAACATGAGAAGCTCTGCGAAATGAATGGCGCTCTCATCACCACGAATTCTCCAAACCTCACTCTATCTTGGTGGTGAACGAGAGAATCTCGTGCGGGAGCTCCCCCAATCAGAGTGACGACCGTTCCAATTGTTAGTTCCACGAAGTAGCCAGATACCGACCCAGAAAGAGACCCCAGCGATACGAATGTTGGTTGTTCCACCACTCAGCCTCTTGAACCTCATCAACGAAAGGCAGTAGAGGGCCAGATGCGGTTGTGCCGCGGAAAATGCATCCGTGTACTCCCGTTGAACCTGTGCAGGTGCCAACTCACTGCTTCCGCCATTAGTATAGAAGTAGCCACATCTCCATGGCATTTTTGTTAGGCGCCCGAGTCACAGTAGGATGGAGAGTTCAGGGCTATTGGTATGCAGTGACGCATGCTCGGAGGTATTGACCCTGTCACATGACCACATTTCTTTACATAAGTGGCCCTTTGGTGCCTAGCAGCCGCGCAGAACATTCATAGAGAGACTGCATTGTTCCATCGCCGCTCGATCATTCCTACCGGTCAATAGAGCCCCATGGGTAGCAGGAAACATGGCGGCTCATGGTCGTGAATGTGCCAGGGGCGCTGTACAATATTTTTCATGAAGCTCAAATGCCTTCGGATAGATCAGGACAGCAGGATCAAAAACGTGCCTGTTGGAGGCTGCTATGAGAGATAGCTGCTTCTTAGCATTCGAAATACAAACTTTGAAGCTATTAAAGACATTAACCTGATAACCTTTTCATCGTTAGGTAAACAATATGGTTAGGCCTATAGGAAATGATAATATCAAATTGCCCTGCCTTGAATAAATTCCATCTCAGAAATTCTCTATCGAAGCTGGAACCCTCTGAACATCACCTCCGGAGACAATACCGTACCACCAGAAGAATATTGCGACTGAGCATCTGCATCGCCTTCTGACTCATCTGTTTGGTGGTCGAGGTTGTCGCAATTGCCTTCAACATACTCTTGGGTCTCTTCGATTCCTTGAAGCGGCTGTTGCACAGAAATTGTACCCGTACACTCGACTTCCGGTGGAATATCTTCTTCTCTGTCAATTTCCTCTTCGTCAAACACTCCTCTTTGCCGAGCTCTTTGGGTATCGTGGGTGGTGAAAAGAAGGTGGATTAGGACCCAGGGTTTGAATGGTTGTATTGGCAACTCATGACCGAGGAAGAGAAAGAGGAAAAGGAGGCTAAACGAAAGTCTTGCAGGGAAATATTGGAGAAATATGCTGACCGAGATGGCAACTGCATTGAAGCCTTGAGATCTGCGAAACTAAGGGAGAGCCAGTCACAATTCGTTACATTAGGGACAAACGTTGATGATAAGCAGTGACCCAAATTGAAATAAGATAATCCTAACAGTTTACTGCAGAACAGGAAGGGTATAAACTAGCTAAACGCTCGAGAAAAATCCTATATGCACCCAAACAAGCGAACGTGAAGGCACAAATCAATGGAACCCAATTCTTCCCGTACCGCGCATATTTACCGAACGAGACCCAAATTCAAATTGAATCAAACGTAATCATCATCGGGTGTTTGCGAGTTCCTCTTCCCAGGGCGTCCATATTGATGGGTCTCGGGTTGCTCTTCCGTCTCTTCGGGCTCGCCATATTGCACACTTGTAGCCAATTTCAGCACCCCATCAACAGGCTTCTCGACCGCAAGAGCCAATGTGACCAGATTCGGATACCCAAAATCAGTAATGGAAACAAGGAGCAGGCCACTAAAGTTCAAGTCCTTTTCGTCAGCCAGTATCCTTGTAAGGAAGGAGACACGAGGAAATTGTGCAACACTCACAAGACAATGAACCCCAGAATCACAGCATGTGTCACTTCCTTCGGCAGGCCATGGGTAGTATCCACTTTCTTCGCAACAATAGCCAGCGAGACCAACAACCCCAACAATATGCCAGCGTCAATCGCCCCAGCCACGCTCTTTTTGATCCATTTCTCCTGCGCTTTCGCAGACACACTCTTCCACTTCGGATGCACGATTTCGATATGTATGACCACGACCTGGCTTCCGAAATGTGATCCCAGCACCGCGATTTGTCGCGCGATTGCGAACGACAGGAAGACAATTGATGGGGAGTAGGAAGGCCCTTCGACGATGAAGATGATAAAGGCGGGGATTGAGAGGATGAGCGCGAGGCTGCGCAAGTATAGGGTCGGGTAGAAGCTTGTTGCGAAGGGCCGAGTAGGAGATGTTGTCGCGATGCCACCGAGGAGAGCGGTCTCCTCGTCGTCGTATGTTGACTCCATGGAGTGTCGATTTGGATCGGCAAAGAGAGGGGCTCTGGAGGACGCCATGGTCGATCAAAGGGCTTCGCTGCGAGTGCGATGGGCTGTGCAATGCAATTGGGTCGAGAAGGCACGAGGAAACACCCAAAACAGGAATAATTTTCACCGTTGCAACGTCGTTGATTCTGCGCTGGATGTGGAGATTATGATAAGGTTGAGACAACAAGCTGTTGCCTGTTATCATACGAGGATTACAGGGGTTATGATGCCCCTGTTCTGAATCTCCTCGTGACAAGCGCTTAATTAAAGATCACCTTCAGAACATTCAAGTCTTGACCGTGTTCACAACCCTTGATTGTACTATATTTGCCTCTAACACATTATCTGGTAGCTCTAGATTCTTGATAGAATTTTCTTTTCTTTTCGTGGCAAATAACGTCACTATCTGAATATTTGGAAGTGCTGTGATTGAAATTGAAAAAGCTAATCCGCGGAAGATACCCACAACGCACTTCACTACTAACCGCTTCACAGCTTTCAGCTAAAGCATATTTGTTTTTTAAGATTTGTCAATGGTTACTTGGGGCACTAGAAATCTGCACCGAATACTGTGTTTCTTTCGTTACATTGTTGGGTGAATGAGTGGGTGCGGGTGGGGGCTGAAAACGCGGGGTAGTTGATGAGAGAGGGTGTCACTCACCATGCACTTAGTCTGGTCGTTTGCATTCCATCCTTGAATTGCCTATAAAAAGCATTTTTTGTCATTCTGTAGCTGAGTTTAATACATTCAAGGACTACCGTGTCTTGTATTTTTAAATATGATGCAGACGTTTTGCTTCTCAATCTGTTTTTCTGGAGTCCAATCAACTTATGAATTTGAATATCTGAGCTAGCTCTTGCAATCACAGATCCCCCAACACAATCTGTAAGATTTATAATTGTTTTCAAGTCGAGCTCAGACAGGCCTGCGGGCATGAATACAAAATTCAAGCAATAATTTAGACACTGGTGAATTTCCGCGCAAATGAAGCTTCATTAAGCTAGGTGCCCATGAGCATCACAGCAAGAGCATTAACATTCACAGTACGACACATTATGCCCACACATTGCTTGGAATACCCGAAAACTTTGTCGAAGAAACAACAAGAAGTTCTCTTACTGGTATAAAATGCCCCCATATTTCTCTCCTGCCTGTCAATCAAACCTTTCATCAAACAGGCCAAGCCTCCAGTCCAACTACGAGAAACCTCCAAGCTCTATTTTAACACAACTTCGACACAAACAACTCTTAAAATATCAACCGAGTTTCAAAAATGGCTATCATAAACGAAGCTTCGGTTCGGGATAACTATGACCATCGAGGCTGGATATGCTGTAGTGTAAGTGGTAGTTCATCCTCGCAATCTGCACCATTGCTAATAGGAGTGAGTAGTGCCGAGCCCCGCATACAATGCACCTTCATAACTGCGGCTGTGGGCACCCTATATGCATGATGTGCACCCTATTCTGAGATAGAAAGTGGGAATGAGGTTAGGGCACGAGGCTAGAGACTTGTGAAACCTGGTTTATCGATGCTCTTGAAACTTGGGGATTCCTGAGCGGAGGAATGGGCATGACTGTTGAGGCTTATGGAAGAGGCCTGGCCTCTGACGGACTATAATATAAATCGATGGTCTCATATATTTTACTAGAATGAACCTACATTCTGGGGAGGGCTATTCTGAAGCTCACTTCTTGCTGTTAAAGGGTGGAAGTGATGACCCGAGGCTTCAAGAGCTGCCCCTTTGATTCAAGTAAACAACGCTAGATGCTTCCGGCTTACACCTTTTCTCTCCCTTCTGATCTTCTGGATCGAGGAGATATGAGAGATAACCTGACTTACAAATGTAGATGAGTCATGGACAGACTCCTCATCAAGAACCTCCAAAGGAAATTGCTTTTGAATGGTTCCAGAAATAATTATATTTAGAAATTATGAGTATTCTTGCCAGTACATGATGGAACGAAGCCACCACAGTTCAACACTTTGCCACTCCGTTTCCACCAGGTCCATACTCCGCCGGGACTGTGGGCCACACGTCAATGCCATCCAAGATTGCAACGCTGATCAATCACATGTCAGTCAATGTTAATAGAGAATTTGAAGAATATTGGTCACTTACGCCATGCCACCAGTCAAGTGAGGATTGATATGACAATGCAACAAGAATGCCTAAGAGTCACATGTTAGCCTGCGTTATATGAAACAGAGGTGGAAACTTACTCCAGGATTCACGACGTGATATCTGACGACCATCCAAGTAGACGATGTAGCAGCGGGAAGGGTGTAGAACCCATCTCTGTACGGTGGGTTGTTGAGATTAAAATTCTCGGGAATGTATTTCATCGCTTCAGCTACATCAGTGTAGTTGAATTCCCCCTCTCCATAGCCGATAATATGGCCTTTGTTGGAATGCTTGTGGATCGGATGTGGGGGCTGTAGACCACCACTGATTGTCACCAAGAAAATCAAATCCACCCAAGTGTTATTTTTGGTTGTAATAGTTAACCCAGTCCCTGCAAGCTCGGTCGGGTCCCATAGTAGTGGCGTTTGCTCTTCAAGAGAGAGGGAGAAAGGGGTATCGTTGTTCAGGGTCCATTGCCACGCTGCTCCGGTGCGGTTCAGAAGAAGCTTGTATGTTTGGTCGACTGTTTGGGCTGGTATGACGGGTGGGAATGGCACGACGGTCTTGTCATCGAGGAATCTGACGTTTGTAGTTGTGTTGACGCCAGAGTAGTTAATTGATGGATGGGGGATCACGGTATCTGGGGATCCTATGTATCGAAAGATGGCTTGGCCGTAGACCTTCTGATTGAGACCAGATCCAGCTACGCGAAGAATGTAATTGTGTGCAGGTTTGTCCAGTTGAACGAAAACAGAGTGTCGACTGCCATGGGAGAACGTCATCGCCTACAGAGCTTGTTAGAGTAAGAACAGTGTGCACTGTGAGATACATACATCAACCAACTGTGGGACGACATAGCGGCCGTCGATTTCATACAGCCACATAGGGTGATCATCAATAGAGACTGAATTTGGTCAGTAATTTGGAAGGTCTTGAGGTTATGTAATTCAACGTACCAACCATTTCTTGAAGACTCGCAGTGCTAATAAAGTTCAAGCTTACCCACCCCTTGTGCGGATCAGCATTAATCGTAGCATTTCCCGGGTTAGTGGCATGGCAACCCTCGAACAGGGTTGGAGGGACAGCACTGAAATTGTGAGGGTAAGATGTCTGTGCAAGGGTGTTCGTAAGAGGAAGGCAACCCTTGTCAGTTAAGTTTGCTCCCCTGAGCAATGGGAGCACTGGAGGTGGGACGAGGCTCATAAGAAATGGTACTCCAGGACAGTTGACAGATCCTTTGCCATTGATCAGGATTGAGTCTCCGCATCTGGAAAGAAGTTAGAAGACTTGCTTTGAGTAGAGATCATTGCGATGTCTTACAGAGGATCAATGTCAGCAGCAAGACTGATGTCGTGCAATTCTTCACTGGTAAAATGACTCCAGTCTGAAAGCATCACAATTTGAGGGTTCGCAGCAGCTAACGCTAGTTGGTGAAGATCTTGCTTTGTATTTGAGATCAAATCAAATGGCATGGCCGTTCCGTTCGCAGGTGTGATATGAATTGGACCAAAGAGTCCATCTTCAAGTTGTCCGGCCAAGTGAGCATGGTACCAGTATGTGCCATACTGAGTAGCTTTCCATTTGTAGACGAATGTACTTCCAGGCGGGATTGGTTTTTGGGTGACTCCAGGGACACCATCTAACAATTGATCAGTTCGTGCTTTGAATATCCAAACCGACCTTCCTACCGGACCACGGAGATTTCAATTGCCTGTGAATTGTTAAAATTGTTGGCAGAACGGATGTGTGTATGAGCTTACTCAATGCCATGGAAATGTATTGTTGTTTCGAAGGGTAGTCTGTTGATTACAGTGAACTGTGGTTGTCAGCATGTTCTCTGAGCCCCTTTTCATCGCAGGTCGACCCACCTCGACATTGGCTCCTTCCTTCATTTCCAAAGTTGGTCCTGGAAATTGGCCATTCATTAAGATCATATCTCTCTCGAATCCATCTGGAGCCCCTTTCTCCCATGTCAACGTAATTGGAAAACGGACTGTTTCTTGACAATCAAGATTGCCCAGCGCGAGCAATGCAAAACTTGAAGCCAACAAACTAAGTGAAAGAATTGAAACCCTCATAGTGACAGATTGAAACGAAATGGAACGATTGAAATGTCTAGAACAAAAGATTTGGTCTTGCTGGGAACCCCATACTTATGCACCGAAGGATTGAAGCCACTGGGACTCAAATTTCACCGCAAAAGAAATTAGGCTTGGCCGTTTGTGGCTGGCCGTTTGCGCGTATCTTAATTGGAACCTAGATCGTTCCCATCAGTCAGTTCTTTTCCTGGTAGAACAGGGGCCTGCCAACACCAGGGTATCTGATGTAAAATTAGATATCACTGGATCTGTGGCGAATGAGGTGTTGCTCGCCAAGACGGCAGCGGCCGATCGTATTTTGATTCCCTTCCCTAGTTGGACAACGTTGCATCTCACGTGTATTGGGGCCAAAACCTATGCAGCAACATCCTTAGGTTAAGCCTCATTGGCTACAAGCACGATCGGAGGTATGACAAATGAGACGGACACCCAATGGTAATTACTAACTGTTCGGAGCGGAGAAAGAGGCAGTGCCGCGTTATTCAGTAAGAAAACGCTCAGCCCTGTGGTGTTGGAGGACAAGAAATCACTGGCGTTAGTGCTTACCTACCCGCACCACACAGCCTTACGTGAACAAAAGCTTCCAAGGAAATTAGTAATCTTGACAGAATAATTTCGCAAACGCTTGAAACAATTGCAAACTCGAAAACTGGAGGAACTGTCACGGATTTCCAGAAAGCAGACGGGTTGTGAAAAAACGTTGTAAAAGTACAAGGATCTGCTAGGCTCCAACGGTCCAATCTAAAATGAAGCTTTGTTTGGAGATCCCAATCACCGGGAACGCTAGTGTGCAGATCAGGGGTGATCGAGCGAATCAGGGCTTCGCTCTGTGTAACAGCCACGAATTGGCAGAATTTACCTGGAACGACTTGAATTTTGATGCAGTTTGCATTTGCATAAATCTAATATCTACTAAACAGAACAAACGGTGGCCACGGCGAAAGTAATCCACCAAGAGTCACAAGCTCTCAACGTTAATAACGCAAAAGAAGAACATGCAACAAAGAAAGAAGCTGGATTTTCCTTGTCGCCTGGGCCTCCCTAATCAATTGCAGCTGAGTCTTGGCTTTTGCCTCTTTTTACTTAAGATTTCAAGAATTTATGTATTTAACTCATACGATTAGCTAATCTTAACCTAAAGGGCTACGTAAAGAAAATTTACCCCAATATATTTAATACTACGAGTCCTCAATCAAGCAACCAAACGTACTAGCCCTTAGACAGTCTGAGATATCTTGATATTGGAAATATTAATAATTTGCTTGATCAGAGTATCGCAGGTTTGCAGTGCGGGTGAGCGCAGTGCGGCCAATACGAGCTGAACCTCTCCTTCTGATTTCTCCAACCCGTCCCTGTCTGAGCTCGCTCACCGTGGCGATTATTAAGTTAGTGAGAAATGCACCCGTAATCCGGGGTGAGATGTTGGGGCCAAATGTGGAGAAAGGGTGTCATCCTGCAGGACATGGATGGTGAGTCTCCAGCTGACAAAGTTGGTCCCGAGCCCATGTCCAAACTTTTGGGGTCTTGAAGTTCAGCGTAATAAGCTGGAACACAAGGAAAAAGGTCACTTCCATTCTTCGTAATTCTCAGCACGGTATAAAGTAACGACGGAACGGAGTTTGAGACTTCAAACTTGCATGGAAATCTTATTTCTAAAGCTGAGTGAGTCGGGGACTTCCCCAATCCTATTTGCTCATAAGTCTCGGCCAATCGCATCAGACACATTTCTGCTCAGAATCCATCTTTGGTGCCTCATTCAATATCTACCGTCCTTTAATTCATTCTGACCCAAATTACCAGCCTCCTAGCCAAGTGGAATGTTCCTCTCAGTGAGAGCCAAGATACCACCTCGCTGAAATTTTCGGGGAACCATTCAGAAGCGCTACAATCAGCTCTCGTTGTTCAAAAAGATAGATATCGGGGCGTAGTCTTCCACAAAGTCTCTCCTTCTCTGGAAGATCTTTTCTTCGCGGGAAGGATTCGCTGAATGGCTGGGGTCTTCACATTAAGTTTTAAGTAAGCTCTTCTTCCGAGTAGATGATTGGCAGTGGCTGTGTCCCGTCTGTCAAAATGAACTTGGCGCTTTTAGTCTCTTTGTATCCTATTTAGGCAATGTGGGCACAAGAGCACATAAATTAGATGGACGAGCAGTGGAATAATTCTATTAAAGCAACGAAAGCTAGCCAATGCCAAGGTATCACAAAAATAGTAGTATCCCTTCGTCCGGTGAGACATTACTAGCGTATCAGCCACAGCTGTGGCACTTAATAAAATTCCTGAAGCCATATCCCTTCATCCGGTGAGACATGTCCAGCGCTAGCAAGGGGGGTGTGGCTGCACTCAAGCCTCTTGAAGTGTAATAAAACGAGATGAGGCTTGCGTGCAGCCACACCCCCCTTGCTAGCGCTGGACATGTCTCACCGGACGAAGGGATAATTTTATGACCCGCCAGCCAAGCCAGAGCCCCCTGCTCACGCTAGTAATGTCTCACCGGACGAAGTGATAGCGAATTTTTACCGTAGTAGATAGTTGGGTCAATGGTGGGTTGTGGCTGAGGCTGCAGCAGTGACTTGCTTTTTATTCAGCTCTGCAGAAGTGAATTGCTGTTCAGTCTTGAACTTGGCGGCGGTATGAAGGTCTATTGGGCGCCACTTCACGACTGCATTTTTAGACTGAGCGGCTTCTCCCGTGTGACTTCTGTTGTAATCGTGCGTCAAGACCAGCACTAAAGCCCCTGCGTCCCTACGGGTTTAGTGCGTATCAGCGATACGGTCTTTTTTTTTTAGAACACTAATTTTCGGAATTTTGGTGAAAATCGAAGAAAAATATTTTCTGGTTTATATGGAGTTCACACTATAATTAATAAATGAAATTCTCTTACTTTCACATCGTACATGCATATAGTAAAAAATGGTGGAAATATTACATACTTCACCTTATTGGCGACCCGACCCAAAATACTACCATTCTAAGAAATCAATTAATTATACAACCACCACGTCCTAATTCGTATACCCAATAGTTGTCTCCACCCCATTAGCATCCAATATAACTATAATACCAAAGCAATCATCATAAAATAAAGAGGGAGAGGGGGGTGGCTTGACAAACCCAAGCTCTCTAACTAGCATCTCTACCCGCATATCACCAAACTTACCAACCCATGTCTTCAAAGCAAATCCCATACTTCTCCAACGCCATATAATACTCTTCAAAACACTCTTATAAATCCTCCGCCTTTCGCTCTTGTGCTAGTGTCTTCGCGCAAAGGGTTTTGAACCATGATTTATTGCGTTTGAGCCACCACTATGCCAAGAGGCAGTTCACTTGGTAGGTGGACGCTCTTTTCCCCAGGATCTTATTAGCTGCCGCCTGCACTGTCTTGAGATTAGATTTATGGCCTAAATAGATCAAAAATCCGATAAATTGCTTTAGGGCCTCCTCCTGATTAGGATTAAGGGCTTTGTTGAGGCCCCTTTGGCGTTTTGTGGTAATTGGCCAGCGAGACACACTTTCCAGAGGCGTAATTTGACCCTGAATTGACGCGCAATCGCAGATTTTTTGACGTGGGTTTCTGTCACAGAAATCGGAGGCCTGGGCCATCCTTTTCTCTTCTTCTAGGTCGTATTTCGCCATGGTGTTGATATTTAATTAATTAAAATCGATATAATGGTAAAAAAAAATGGACCGTATCGTTGATACGCACTAAACCCGTAGAGACGTAAGGGCTTTAGTGCAGGTCTTGGGATTCGTGTTGGTGTTTACTTACAACTTGCATCCTCACACATCACGAAGACACTAAATCAGGAAGCTGCGCACGAAAACTATGCCGCAAATTCGATATTCGTTTTCGTGATCATTGTTGCCTTGCTCAAGGCCGCAACTACTACACCAAATGAAATTCGTCCAATCGAAGTATGGATAATGTTACAAATATGTATCTCTTTCCTCGTCACGACTTTAGGATCGTTCGGGGTACGCCTGCATTTTCTACACCCCAAAGCCTCCAGTGATCTTTCCCAGAAAGTCAGGCTTGTGGATTGGAAGCGTTTATGGACTTTCCCAAGCAGACCAGTCAATTACCGCGATAGAGAGGAACTTGGTCAAACCGAGGCCAAACTCACAATAGCTCTTCCCGGTGGCCAAGATGATCGGGCCGTCATGCAGATACATGACCCTGCCTAGAACTCTGAAGATTAGAACTCGAGCAGCAGACTTCGCAGAACTTTCCGATGGATCCTATATGTGTTCCGGTATATTCTGGTGAGCTCCAACGTGGGTTTTACAATGGACTCGGTCTCTTTCATCAACCACCCATCCCTCTTATAGGGAGGCTCTGGATAGAGAATCTCCAATACTACAATTGTCGTCTGTACCAACAGTTGGTTTTGGTTCGTTTATATAGACAAACCTCAAGACGACCCATGCTCTCCAGTCATATTCTTCTTCGCGCCATTTCTACTCTCCTCTCATCCCAGATTAAAGACACTGTTCAAAGTCGGCTCGATCTTCATAATACTCCTGGCGGGGTGTTTGTTCGCCTTTGTATTTGTCTTCGCAAAGATGGTGTATCAGTACCTACTTGAATCTATCTGAAGGCGGATCATACATCTGGTCATCAAACGAAAGATTTCGACTAGCTGGAATGGCCTTCCTGACAAAATCAAACGAGTGATAATCATATTATCAGGGTAGGGTATAGTGCAAACTGCGGTTTCAGACTACGGTGCATGTTTCTATTATTAAACTACGGTGCGATTAAGTACACTAAACTAAGACATCTCTCCACTAAACTAAACTACGATTATCCTCAAAACCGCGGTTTAAACTGCAGTTTGACCAGTTTACACGTGACTTTACCCGATTACACCAGCTTCAACACCAAGAATTTTCTCTAACCACTCTGACTCAGCTTCCATCCTTTGGGAGTCTTTATTAGACCTTTAGAGGCATGGCTACGTAGTAGTTAATTAATAGGACGCGTTTTGATTGAGCGGAATTCATGAGAGGCAAGAATTGGAGGAAAATTCTCTCCCAGAGCCGGAGCGAGAACCCGGTAAATAGCTTCAAGTATTCTCGATTAAGTACATAAAGATATTTCCATAACCACCATACCTAAAATTAAGATTTTTAATTCATTTAAAAGCTCTATATTTACCGTTTCTAATAATAAAAGCATTATTTAATTATATTGAGATTTAACTATTTTCTATTAATAATAAGTCACTTAACATCCTTAGGTAATTTTAAGCGAGACTACCCCTTAAACTGCGGTTGCACCATGGTGTAACTGCAATTGCACTATACCTACCGCGGTGCAGTATATCTTCCACTAAACTAGCCTATAGCTATATTAGACCGCACCACTGGGGCAACACCGCAGTGGCACTAGACTGAGGTCACACTATTCCCTACCCTGCATATTATTACTAGCTAGAAGAAATTGCCTCTACACTGAATTTATCTTTATAGCCTTGGAAAAGGAAATCTGGACGAATGACGAGAATGCCCTTCCCACTTTGACAGATCTGTTAAAAGTCTATGCTGTTATATCGAGCGAGAAACACGCCGTGGTGATAGTGGCAGAGAAGAAATCCGCAGAGTTACCGGAGAAGTTAAGGTCAGCGAAAATCAAACTCCCCTTTGTCATATTTGAGTTATCGTAAAGGGGCTAACTAGAACAGTTCGCGTGTTTGGCTTTTCTGTCTCGTAGTCCAACTTTGGTCAATTGGCGCCATTGCTTAGTTTATTGTAGCAGTCGAACTCACAATCAGATGAATAACATCCAAGCAGTACACACGATCTCAATAACGAGTCACCTTATTCCTTTAGTAATTGGCGTTATATCCTCCCTCTTAGCCCTTCAGCAAATCATACTCAGTTGGATCAAACATGTGCTTATCTTGGGTTTCTTTACTTCCACTGATTGCAATATACTGATACTGGAGAAGATATACAAAGATTGGAACGAGATTGATTTCAAGATCACTTTCGGGCCATTTGGAGAGGAGGTGCAGATTATCGAACTCAAGAAGGTCCCCGCCTCAGTCAACGAAGCCAACCAAACAGAAAGTCGTGCAGCGGCGGACAAGACAAGCACATCGAGAAACGGGGTCCAAAGAGAAACAATCAATCATATCAGTCCGGCAAGCCCTCAGGCCTGATGTTTGCGCTACACAAATGTGAGACCATTTTGGAGGCGAAAATTAGCGCTTAGAAAGACAAGGAGAGGGTCGGGTTTTGCGCACCAGGGCCTCTGATAAGAAGATTGAACTGTGAAAGTGGTCCAAAAAATGATCTAAGGAGTGACAGATTGTCGGATTAGGTAGCAATACTCTACACACAGTGAGATTCAAAAGGTCTGTCGCTAGCAATACCACTATACAGATGGTTTTGTTTGGGTTCCCTAGGAGCAGCCGACTTAGACCACTGAACATAGTCATGTAAAGTTGTCAGTAGCAGAACCGAATGGTAAGTAAATCATGATTTGTCACTAGAAAGGAAAGCAGGAACCTGAGCAGTGGGTGGGGCGCGAGTGAGTAGCGCCTGAGCAGAGAGGCCACCCTGACTAACCGCGTTTAAAGCGAAGTCGAGAAGTTTTCGTTTCAGATTAACGTGCTAATCTGGCAGAGAATTCCATAGCTATGTGCTCTGTACATTTCCCTTCTACGTCGAACGAGGTACTTCGACAATGCATAATGACAATAGTAGGCAAAGCGAGAAACTGCATTGGTATAGCCGCCGAGTGGCTGAAAATCTCATTTGCATAGAGACATGAATCACTTAAAGTAGTTGTTAAAAGTGCCTCGCTCTATTAGAAACTATATTGACGTCGTTTGTATACTTGAGCTCAATCACTCCGATGACCATCCCAAAGACCGCCGCCCAAAGAAATCTCGAAATCGGAGCAGATTGAGTTGGTGATTCACAACTCCTCACTCCATGACCCTGGCATAGGCAAGTCATCGATACTCGCACCTTCCTCATCGGGGTCCTTCTCTTCCTCGTTAAAGTACCACCCACGGGCCTCCCTAAAGGGGTACTCGGTGTCGGTGTCGAAGAACCACCCTTTCTCAACCATTCTCCAATGTTCTTCCCCTTCAATCATAGCCCAGAAGTCGCCGGCAAAGGGATCTGAAGGCTCGGAGAACCAGAAGATCCAGTCTTCGGGACGGGGCCCGTATGTGATCTTAAGTAGCCTGATATCAAAATCGGGAGAAATAAGCACCGGGTAGGGGTTACTATCCTTGTCTCCTGTATAAGGCCAGCCCCAGAAATATCTGAAATCCTTCTTCTGTGACGAGATCGTTTCCCAAGCCCCGTAGTCCTGAAGATCGACCCCGCATTCAAGCAAACTAAACAACCAGTCCCCCAACATTTCATTCAGAGCTTTGAGTGTTCTTCCAACATTCCAATTCGGGGGAAATGTAACATATCTATTGAGAAAACCGTATATCATCCCTGTGAGAAGAGTATGGCTATCACTATCAATTGACTGCAGGGAAGCTCCTGCCGAGATGAGTTTGCGTACAAAGTGTCGATATAACAGAGAATCAATCTTTAAAATGTCGTCGCTAGTTTCAAGATCCTGTGTCTCAAGACTACCATCAAGATAGCTCTGAGTGTGGGCCGCGTTGGCCCCGTACGAACTAATTTGAACTTTAGCAAATCCGCTCAAAACCAGATGAAGAAGTGTCTGCTCCTTTTCATTGGTCCATTCAGCTATCTCAGCATTAATTTTGCCGTTGTTATCTAGTAAGGTTTCAACTACTGCGGGCACGTTATGCCAGGTGGTTGTGAGCTGTGCAGCAGCTACATCTAGCCTAAGGCGCAAGGGAGCCTTGCCCCATGGCGGATACGCTTGCTGTTGCAGATACTTCAAGTTATTCACTGGTCCATGGTAGCTCTTGAAGACGTCAACGTTGTCGATGAGGATTTCATCCGCTCCTGCGTTAAGAAGTAGTCGATATAATTCTAACAGGTCGAGTCCTTGCCAGAACGATAAAGATGCTCCCCTTTGAATCAGAAAATGCAGTGGTGTCCTGTGTTCGTGTTAGAGCAAGTCGTAGAGTTCGAAATAAGAAAACATTTTGGCCACTGCTTGTGATGAGCATGGTGGGATGCATTCATTTTGCGTCTAGGCAACGAAGAAAGTATGGCCGTCAGGAATATTGACATATACAAAACGACTGTAGATCGAAAATAGGACTTGAACAAGAGACCAAGTTGCAAATCCATTGACTGACTGGGGATAATGATAGAGATGAGATCTTACTCTTGATTTGAGTCGAGAGCGAGGGGATCAGCGCCATGGGAAAGCAGTAGTTTGCACATTCCAATATCACCATGAGATGCTGCTACCTAGAAAAGATCAGATCTGCAGGTATTGACACAACTTTGATTGACTTACATGGAGAGCCGTACAGTTGCTCGGATAATCATCTATTCTATCTGTGACCCATGCATGCCTCTCGGTTAGCATCTGCCGAACACTTGAAGTATCCCCGTCCTTGACCGCAGTGAAGAACAACGAATCTTCTGGCAGGACCCGATACATCTGCGGATTTATGCACCAACCGGAGAGGCTGCGAAATCCCCAAGAATCGACCTGACAGCTCGATAGCAAGTCAGGGAACTTATATTTGGCGTAAAATTCCTGCCTCTCTTTGCCCTTGCAGGTTTTCACTCGACTCCGGAACTCGAATTGTCCAGCGAGGAAGCGCATCCATGAAGATGAGGATGTCCAAACGTCGTATTGCCTAGTAACGAGGTCCTTCGAGGCCCCGTCCTTCGATTGTCGCTGGTGGGGCTGTAAACAAGTTGTGTCGATGGCGGTGATCGAAGTCAGATGATTGGATAGTCTTGCTACTATAATTTCTGGCTGTAAACGTGCCATAGCGCTAGCTAGATGAGTAAATTTCTCTGAGTGCAGGGTGGGAACGTACTTCGTATGGAATTGATAGGACAATGAGAGTAGCTGGATAGCATTCTTCATCCTACTCTTCAACTTCTTCACATCTTCCTTCTTTAGCACTATTATTGCAGAACCTAGTTTCTTTCGCCATCCATTCTTTCCTTGTATTTTCTGGGCCAGGTCATTGGCTAATCCAGCAAGCTCAGCAGCGCCTTCCTGGCACAACTCCAAGCTCTGCCGCACGCATAGATTAGTAGCTGACAACTGTGGCATATCTTCCCGTGATTGGTCATCTCCTATTTGTTGCAATATGAGGTTGAGGGAGTCAATTTGGCGGATGAGGTTATTGATCTCCACAGGCGCATCCCGAACCTGGCTCCAGCTTTCTTTGATCGTAATGATGCTTCTTGTTATTGAAGCAGGGAGTTGGGCGATGGCGATACCGCTGGCCACGGCACCAAATATTTCGGCCATGATGGCTACGTTCGTAGGTTCATTCAAGAAATCGCTCGACGAGGAGCGCGAGGCTGGGAAAGTGGTTTCTCGAAGTAGTAGGCCGCGGCTTGGTATGCTGCTTGATCAAAGTAGACACCTCTTGAAACATTGCAGATGGCCGCGAAATTTCGCTAGCTAAGGCTAGGCTTTGAGTGAGCAATTTAGGTGTGTAATTTGCCTGCGAAAAAGCCTCACTTGAGGCTGCACGGGATCGAAGGCAACTCACACACACCAACTTGTCTCTGGACAATAGATGGCGAGTTCTTGTTTTTGTTTCAGCCTAGTTAGGGCTTAGTAGTGTTATATCCGTACCGGGGTCTTGCGACTGCAGACACTGCCACCGGGAGCCCCGTCAGGGAGTCGAACCCCTTTACTAATATCGCACTACTATTGAGTTATTTCGGAGGACGAGTTACAAGGAGCTATTGGGCTTTCTACGCATCCTCCCTCGGATTTAGTGATTCAAGTACTAAAACTGTCAGTATTTCTACTAATACTCACCATTAGTTACAAGGTCCAATCTAGTGGTACAAACGGGTCTGCATGCTCCCTTGAACCTGTATCTAGAAGGCTTAACTGGGTAATTAACACATCTTCAGGATCCGATTCAGGCTCTCCAGAAACCTGGATAGTATTACTCGGAGGGATGAAGGGTAACTCTGTCTGTATATCTGTTTCCAGAAGACATACAGGCCCCTTTAGTACCCGGATATCATATGGGTCTTGCCCCTATAGATCCTCAAACTTTAATGGGTTGTAATCTCTATCAGAGTAGATTTTACTCATGCTTAGAGATCTATCTGTCATAATTCTCTTTCGCATCATACTTAGGAATATTGCAGGTGTCGACTCTAGGCCCCAGTACTGGTTTGGTTTACCAAAACTATGCGAAAGTGAAGTTTCCATAAGCACCAGGCCCCTGTCGAAAAGAGAACCTGCCACCGACGTCTAGTTGCGTATACCTTACTTCCTGGGCCAAGGGACATAAGAGCTATAAAGAGGTCTAGGGATACAGGATCCACCCAGGGTGTATCCTTCTCTAGACGCTCTGGACAATAGAAGCGTTCGCCAGCCAAACGCCCAAACCACTCAACCGCCCACTTAGAAGGGATCACCTACCAACCGCCCAAACCCCCTTTCCGCCCACGCCTACCCCACCAAAATTTCTCGATTTTTCAAAGTCTTTAGAAAATTCTAAAAATTTGCTAGATTATAGAGAATACTCGAAATATTGCGAATATCACATTAATTTTCGATTTTGTGGCGTTAAGGTCTCCAAAATCCAAGTTGAGCGGAAAGGGGATTTGGGCGGTTGGTGGGTGATACCTTCTATACCCCTGTCGGAACACCGAAAATTTATGGATTTTTCAAAGTGCTTAGAAAATCCTCAAAACTTCTCAGAACATGGAAAATGCCCCAAAAAGTCCAATTCCAATGTTGGTTTTTCGAAATTATAGTGCTTTGGTGGCCAAATTCAGGTTTGAGCAGTGAGTGGTGCGGGCGTTTGGCCAGTAATAGTCGGACTTAACGTCGCGACTAAAGGGGCCCAACCCTTTAGTCGGGGAAAGCGAGTTGTCCCGCACCACACCAAAATTTCTATGCGATTGCAGACACTTGAATTGCACCATACAACCAAATAACCCTTAAATTAATACGCAATTGAGGATATAATCTCTTATTACTCTAATGCTACAAAATCTGCATTTTGAGCTATTGAATCAGTCGATATTACTGATCTAGGTAGTAAAGAATACAGATCCACCTCCTCCCCACTAACCCCACTATTTATACCCTCTCTTGCCTCCTCCATTTCCCCATTTGATCCCTCAGTTTCCTCTAATATTGCCCGTATATATAATTGACTAAGAGGGTTCCCCTTTGCTCGGTGAGCTTGCTCAGATGCGAGTATTACAGGATTAATAGGAATATCTGTAAATATTTCGGGGTCCTCCGCTTGTATACGATCGAATTCAGCTTGCTTCTTAGCTACCCTATCGTAAAGCGATTAGTGCTTAATTCGAACAGCTTCAAGCTCGTTTTCCGTAGGTTCGTTCTGGGGATCGCGAATTGGTATTAGGAGTTCGGGAGGGATAATCGTATCGATTCCAAGAACCTACTTCTTTGCTTGTGCCTCCAGTTCCTTTACTCTCTTCTTCCTCTCTCTCTCTGCCGCTCGTGCGGCGATTCCGATTCTTTTAATAGCTTCCCTCTCAGCTAATTCGGCCTTTGCAAGCTGTTTCTTTGCCTTCTTGAGCTCCTCCTCTGCTACCTTCCTCACTTTAATCTTCTTCTTTGCCAGAGTATCAGAAGCGTTCATCCACCCCCCCTTTTGAAAACTAAGCCGTATATTTAGCTTAGCCTTATAATAATTAACCTGTGCCTTGCGAGCGTTCTGGGTATCTAGCTCTTGTAAACTTCCAAGCATTAGGTGATTCTTGGTAGCCTTAATTATAACTGCATACTCTTTGCGAGAGGAAGAGCTTAAAGCGTCTAGAATCTTGTCATTGAGATTATCGAGGCGTAGAACGTATTCGTTATATGAAGATGGAGGTTTTGGGAGGGTAGGTAATTGGTATGTTGCTTCCAATTCGTGAACAGGAGGAGGTATAGGAATTGGTGGGTTTTCTGCTTCCGCTTTAGTATCTAAATCAGATCCAAATTCCAGATTCTCCAAGCCAGTGTCTTTCCTTCTCTTTTTCCCATATTCCTTGAGCTTCCTTCGTATAGCTTTAAAGCTGACGGGCCAGATTCCTGCGTTCTGAAAGGCGTATTTAATCGTACGAACCGTAAATGTTTTCTCTCGTATTCCAGGGAGATCGCAAAAGAAGCACTAAATATTGTATTCCGGCTCGTACGAGCGAATCGCATTTATAATATTGACCTGTTAGTAGTATTTCTACTCCCTAAAGACGCTAATATTATATGGTTGAAGGAGGTGCGTTTGGTGGAAAGGAAATTATACGATTCGTATCTTATTATATATAGCTTTCAAGACAAAATCGTCCGCTTGGTGGCAAGTTACTTCGTTAATTAAGAGAATATGCCACTCCTTATTAGGCCCGCAATCATTGTGCTTAATAAAATGGTCTAGCCAAACCATACAGATCCCCTCGTTCGTATATCCTGTGGGAGAGACTGTAATAACCTCGTGGCCGGTTATATTTTCGTGGAACCAGGAAACCATAATTATGACTCCAGGTATAATTACTACCGGAGGAATTGCCTTGCCATTTGCAGATATATATTCAATTATCGTAAGAGATATGCGATTCTCTGGTATCCCCGTATATATCTCCTTGATTCCAATCGGTACGATAACCTCCTCTCCTGCAGGTATACAAATTCGTGCTCCTTTCTCGTCTATATTATGTATCTGATCCCCATGGCATATACCAGTTTCCTCTAATACCGGACGATATTCAGTCTCAAACTAATCGCGTAGGCTCTGTTCGGTATGGAGATCGATACGGTGGCTCGCAATAGGCTTCGTTTTAATCATATGAAGTTCTGGAGTGCTCTTTAGCCATTGAGAGAACCATTTCCAAGATGGAGCTATCTTATTGTCCTCCGTTCGTATCCACATTGCGCAGTTATATATTATTTGCTTTGTGGCTCCTTTCCCTCCATTAATCGCGTGCGATACCGCATACTGAATTAATGCCTCGTATTAATCAGGACGTAGGATCTTGTTCTGGCCTCCCTATTATACTCTCGCTGTTCCCATCTTCTTCCTCTCTCTCTGCCATGTTTTCTTTACTGTATCTTCATTTCGTACGTAATACGCGCGTGCCGCAGTCGCGGGAGTCTCTTCTGGGTTGGCCTTGAGGAATTGAATAGCTTTACGGAGCTTATCCCTCTCTGGCATATCGCGGAGGAGTGTATAGTTGGGGAGGTTGCTTAGGCGAGCCATTACTGTTGAATTTGACTGATTTTCAGGGTGATTTGGGCTGGTGGTGATCAAATTGATTGATTTTTACTATGGGTGTTCCATACAAATTGGAAATTTCTGGGATCGGTGCGGGACAACTCGCTTTCCCGGGACAACTCGCTTTCCCCGACTAAAGGGTTGGGCCCCTTTAGTCGCGACGTTAAGTCCGACTATTAACCCTTCTACGATTCGACAGACCGGTCGCTTCCGATAAGCAAGGCTGTGAACAATGTGGCTTCGGCACAGCACGAATTGAGCGTCTGAGTGTCTGCAGTTACGACAGCTAAGCTCGATTCTGCCGCGTTTTCCAGCGCTTACCGTGGCCTATTATTAAATTAAGGGTTCACTGGCCAAACGCCCAAACTCAACAAAATTTTCCCTATTTCTCAAAGTGCCTAGAAAATTCTAATAACTTCTAGCACTACAAAGAATATTCTAAATAACCCGGCTACAAGCTTAGTTTCTTTAAATTATGGTGTTGTTATGGTCAAACTGTGGTTTCGAGCGGTTTCGCAGTTTGGGCGTTTGGCCAGAGAACCCTTCTAACCCTGTACTGACAAACCCCCGAAAAACATGACATTGCGTATTTGCACATTTGCACTTTGCACTTTGCACTTAGCTTTTAAATTTGTTTAAATATAGTCATAATTTCAGTACCTATTAAACCATTCAACTCTTTAGCTAGATAAGCCGGCCCGATTTATTCCGGTTGGTATGCTAAGATAAATCGTGCCCGAATCTGTTCATTTCTTACTCGTCAGGTTACGACTTTGCGGGGTAAGTCAATAAATGCCTCATTTTTCTTGAGACAGGATCTTGGGCTACTCCTTCCCCTTTTAGTATTACCAAACTACCTCATAAAATTAGCAGTCTGGGAACTTCAAGTGTCGTACACACAAGACCGTTAAATATCCAAAGAACTTTTGTTAGTTCGTCTTAAATGTTCAAGCTTGTTGGCCTCCTTCTGGATTTCGCTCATTAATATACATTGCCCTGAATAGTTCCAAAAGTGTTGCCACAACCAAAAAGAGAGCTAGTACTCTCGGTCTTGATCGAGCTTCGAACACAATGTCACAATCGATTACCGCATCCTTAAAGCCAGACGAAGCAGCCAAAGAGAGCAAGAGGGACACTGAAGAACCTGCGCCGGCTTACGTTGATCACACCTCTGATGAACGGTATCAAGATACAATATCTCTACGGAATTACAGATCGGACTTGCAACAGTCAAGTATAGAAGCGACAGGACCTCGCTCCCTAACCCTGGACAAAGATCTCATCTTTCCGAGCATCATTCCGTCCACAGCACTCTACTCTTTAAACCATGCCCTGGATACCAAGAGCAACTCTATTACTCTCCGCCGCTCCGTTCCAAATACTGTGTATCCGCAAAAACTCACAGATAAAGATCTTTGGGAAATTTTCCGCCCGCCGATGACTCGTACAAAATTTCAACTTCACGGGAAAACGGAAAGCACATATCTTAGGACAGGAGAATTGACTATGAAGTCTGGATTGAGTGGGCAGGTCTGGGAATGTAGGTTTGAACCAGAGGTTGTGCTGAGAGGGAAGGATGGAGTGTGGAGTGATGGGCAAGGAGAAGTGGTGGCCAGGGAGGCTAACGAAGTTATTGCAAAAAACGGGAGCAGGAAGGGGAAAGAAAGGGAGGCTGTGGATAGTGTGAGAAAAAATCCAAGTCTGACGCGCGTTGAAAGACGAAATGGGGAGGAGGACCTTTTTTTGGTCGATCTTATGGTAGCGGTTTGGTGTGCCAAGACGTGGTGTGCGGAGACGTGGGAAAGCAGAGGAGATGGGCCGAGTATGAAAGAAGGTGAGTTTGCATGCCCGAACGATCTATTGAATATTTGGAGTTTATTGGCTAATTCTTGGTAGTTTTGCAGAAGGGAAAGGATGGTAACTGGGGTGGAAAGAGGAAGTATCACCTGTGGACTTGAGACCTAATTTTATTTTCCAGCGGTCAAATACCACTTCGCCGAGTTTTTTTGGTGACCATCTGAGATAATGCTAAATATATTTCCGTACATTTCTTTGTTATCAATGTTTTAGGAATTTGAAAAATTTGAAATTCTCAGGGCATCATGTGAAACCAAACCAAGTGATATACTCCTTACAAGGGAGATTATATCTACATTCCTTGAGACATTCCGAAGAGGGTGATCTGTAGCGGATCAAATAATCTTTAGTTTTGCTACTTTTTCCATACCTTTTCCATGCCTGATCTCAAGGGATGGAAACATCATTTCTGTTAGCATTGGTTTAGTTCTATTATCTTTGCTGAGGCCTTTATCTACTTTTTTATCTGACTGTATTGATTTTATTGTGGTCAGTTCTCCCGATGTCACATTAGTCTAGTTTCCCCACAAACGTTTCAAGTCAATTGTGCTAGAAAAAGCAATAAGTGGCGTTTGTTCTTCCAATGGGACCAATTGCTAGTTTCGGTAAATTCAGGGTCTGCAAAGGGTCTTTGTGGCGTACTATGACAGCCTCTAGTTCACCCATACATTACGTCGCTGAGTTCAGTATTCTTAGCGTACGTTCCGGAAGAGGTCTGTTCCCACGTGGCATGTATTACTTAAGATTAGTTATGTAAGATGTAGACGAAGCAATGTGCTGACTTTCAACTAAGGTTAGGGAAGGCCAATACGAAGTGAACTCAAGCAAGAAAAAACCGCATCAGTGAACTTGTAGTGTAGTTTTGATCATTTGCATGCCCCTGCCATGCTACGCGGACGTGCAACAAAGGCCATAAGGACTTACCCGTTCGTACCTCCCACTTACAGTAGTACTCTAGGTGGTTCGTGAGAGCGACTTGGACACGAAAGCGACTTGGCCAAGTGCTTTATATAGTAAATTTGTATAGGAGGTACATCTAGCTTGCTGGTTCGTGCTTGGATTTTAACGAGAAATACTAGTTTAATAATAGCTAGTATATTAATTTAATTAATTATAATTATCGGCTAGTAATTAAATTATAATTCATTTATATTGTGAGGTGTTTGTTGCTAGGCAATAAGACAATAGAATGAATCAGTGAGTTGTAAAACCACAGTGTCAAATTCAGTACAGAACTAATCTCTGTCCCTCCTGTGAGGTCCAGGGAAGCCTCCTCTAAATAGGAGCTCCCAATAACGTACATGCATTTAGTGATTCGTAAGCCAAAAGCCTATAATGCAACAGTGGTATGATTATGACGTTAAAGGGCTGTCGATCTCCCTGATCGACATCCGCGATATCCGAGGTTCGTCACATGCACTTTGGTCACGTGCGACCCTGCACACATCACATATATATTACCTGATTTACTTAAATATAATTAATTATATAATTATAAAAGTAAGATTTCTTTAGCTTAATTAAATATTACTTTATTATAATAAATTCGATAAATAAATTCTTTTTATATATATAAATTTGAAATTTAATTTTAAATCTAATTACTTAATTATTATAAAACTAATAAAATTATAATAAATTCAATTTTATCATTTATATAACTTTTATATAATAATTAAAAATAATTCAATATATTAGAGTATAACTAGTCTAATAATTAATTACTTTAAAAAAATTGATATCTAATAGTGGCCAAGCCGCTTCACGAACTACCTAGGGTACTAAGTGGGAGGTATAAACGAGTACCAAGATCCGGGCAAGTCTAGGGGGAGAGATGAACTGTGAGGAACTCTCCGATGTGGTTCAATTCACTCAGTTTCAATCCGGCTGAATTCGCCGCACTGCCCCGACTTTTTCGGGAAGGATTGCCGGGAGAGTGTATTCCAAGAAAATGTTTCGGAAGATAGGGAGATATTTCATGCTTTGGATGTAGGGGGCGAGATCTGGTGTTACTGAATTGGGTAGCAGCCGATGAGCTTGACGGGACTCGGTGAAGACTTCCATTCCGAAGCTTCCAAGCCCCCTGTAGGCACAGCCCGCTTTTCGCCGCCCCCCAAAAAGTGCTGTTCTATTGGAGTGTAGCGAGGGGCCTTGTAAATAAATCTGCACAGGATTCTCCACGCCGCACAGCAGCATTGCGTTTGGACCGTCTGGGCCGACGTGCTAAGTGATGCCTGTCGACTTCTCCATTTTTTCCCCATCGAGAAGGAGAAATGGGCTCAGGGAGAATGCGCCGTGCGCACCATGTGGCACGGCTTGACCCCGCTGTTAGTCAAAAGCGAGAGGCCCAAAGACTGGAGATCCACCACGGAGGTGTAACCCGGTTACTTGATTGAGGGCAAGTAGGGATATCGATCGGGAATGCTTTTTGTAAATTTTGAATCTGGGGGTTGTGTGAGGATGCTTGCTTGATCAACTGCGCCAGAATTGAGGACCTGGATCCACAACTTAGTGGTTCATCTGACCCACTTTTCCGTTGTGCTTACACCCCACTACGGAGTTGAATTCGTCTGACAGAATGATGCCACCTGCATGGCCCCTTGGATATACTCCATAGCCCCGAGAGAGCCCCTGACAGGAAACGGTTGTCAGAGAAAGCTACCATCCGAACATGGGGGCTAGAAATAATTAGCAAAGAGAAAGGCGGAAACAAAGCATTCCTTGGCGCCAAGAAACGCCTAAAAGATGTCCCAGAAAGTGCATGGAGCTAAACAGAGTCTTGGGAACACCGCTCTCAGGGATTTGGGATAACGGAGTTCATTAACAACCTTGTTGGACTTGTCATGGCAGTCAGGCCCTTGGAACCTGGAGGCGCATGTCTTGAGCCTGAGCACTAAGCTCCCCAGGGGCTGAGCTGCGAGGACTTCGTGAGATGCTGAGAGGAACCTTCGCCTAACCACCAATCGTGTACGGCTTGGAAGGAAAGGGGAATTTTGAGATGCAGAAACAGTGAACAATCAAAGAACGGTGAAAGATGATCCCAAAAGATTCTACAGAAGCTATACTGTAACCCAAAAGAATTTCACTAGAGTTGTGATGAGCTGGAAAGATCATTATGAAATAATTTAAGAATACGTGAAGATGAATCTGTTCCAACCTTGCTGAGAATGATACCTTCGACAAGTTAAATTTCTTGGTTCATCGTGACGCAATTGGCAACTTGCCAGGCCATAAAAAAATAAAAAAATCATCGCCACTGCAAAAGCGACCGCATTTCAACAGCAACACTTATTCAGCAATAGTGTCTAAATGCAATCATCGCAACTACTGCACCGCAATCCGAACAAACAGCAAGCGAGACCGAATAATAACTGCGCCGCCGTCATGGACTTGAACAACATGCTTTCCTCCCTCCAATTCCATAGCCCGACTTCTCCCTCCTCCCAAAGTTGCCGCCTGAGTTGCGTGCCATGATCCGGACTTGGGCACTTCCACAGCCACGGATGGTTACCATCTCCTAACTGACCTTCGAACAAATACACTAGCGATTTGGAATGCCCGACGACAATTTCCCCGACCTCCTGGAATTCTTCTTCGATGCGATGACCGTGCCATGCGGCGCACGCATGGCACATCAAGCTTGCCGCCAGTCGCGCGCCGTCGCCCTCAAGCGCTACTCCACAGCGTCCGAAGGTCAAATTGCGAAGCCTATCTACCTCGATTGAGAGTACGATACTTTGTGTTTCCGCACTTTTAGGGCAATGTACCAAATGCGATATGCCGACAAGAGCAATGCTGGAGGACTCAGAGCGGTGACAGGACATGCCAGAATGGCAAGGAAAGATCTGCTACCTTGCAAAGCGCTGTTCCTTTTCGGGTAGGGGTGCCTGGAACGAAAAGAAGGGCGAATCTGGTATCAATATCTGACGATGTTCCCAAAGTTGAAGACATAAGTCAAGGAGGAGCGTTTTTCTCTAAACTTCGTCGGTGGCCGCGACAGCATTCAATCAACGCCAAGGAAAAGAAGGATCTGTATGAGGGGTAGAAGGAGCTCGGAACCGACGATGAATCGAAGTTGGTTCGGATCACTTTGTTAGCACCTAAAGGAATGGACCAGAAGGCGAAGAGGGACAGGGTACGTTGACACATCTTCCAATTATTTGAAAGTGTTCTACTCACTCGGTGTAGACTGGATTCTGATCCCGCTTCCAAATCGCCATGCAAATGGCAGATCTTGGAGAAATATATTAGGGCAGCATCTGGATATGTCGTCAGTTGCATTTTCGACACGGGGAGGCTTGCACACCTTGGCGTGTTTCTTTCATACGCCAAGCATCAGAGGGAGAAGAGTGTTGGGCTATGCGGAGCTTATCTCCAGAGCTGCTCGACTGATTTTATTCAGCGCCATGGTTCGCTTTGATAGGGTACCCTTCTGCGAAACGATGGGTTCTTCTTGACAATACTAAAAAAAATTCCTTTTTAAAGGTGAGTGTAGATTACGTCTGGTGAAAACTCTAGAGCAATCAAGTCATTTATCTCTGAAGATCAGATTGCATTTAAGTCAGGCGTGGTTTCAAGCAGACTTTTTGATACGCAAGAGGCAGCAAGTCAACACGAATGGGAATATGGAGTTGGATTGTTTCGCATGAAGTTTCAGGCTTGAACGAACAAATGGGGTATATTGACGCTCGCTGTTAGGACCAGAAATACTATGTCGAGGGTTAATCAGGACAGTTCTTCAAGGGATTGTCGTGGGTACTCACAAGATCTTCCCCCCAGAAGTACAAATCCACAAGACTTTGTGTTTCAAGACTTGGGACACACCACTCTGTCACCAAGAGATCTGAGTCTCTCTCCATATCCAGCCTCCACCCAAGACGTTCTGCCGACACTTTACTTTCGCTTTTCGCTGATGCAACTCTAGCTCGACGCACTCACCCCATACTCTTGCATGCTCGGGGATATCGCCGTTCTCGTCAACCCCCTCTTCTTCAATGTCCATCATCCATTGACCAACCTTGCCAGCCAAGATAGAGTCATACATGGATTCCCTTCGATGAACCGCGAGGAGAAGAGCAATTGCTTGACGTCGTATTGAAGGCTCGCGGCATCTAGTGGCGACAAGGTGGAGTATGTTCAGTGTACGAATTTCAACACAGTAAACTTCGCCTTCTATCGGGTGTGTTAGGTATTGTTTCAGAGTGCTTGGTTGCCAGGTCGACGGTAGAATCAGCTGCGACAAGAGTAATTTCATTTCACTGACCTTGTATCAATTGACAACCTTCAGCTTCGTATTCAAGAGCTCTTCTTGCCATTAATAACAAGTACTCGAACTCTGGTAATAGTACATCAGACGTAGTTTGTGGAGCCTGCAAAGACATCGCAAGTCTGATGAGGAGTGTCGTCGAATAGACCTTGATGGCTTCGGGTCGAGAAAGCGGGTGCAAGTGGAGATCAGGCTTGCTGTCCAGCAGAAGCAGATCTATCTGTTCGTGGAGAGTATAGATTTGCCTGACGAGATAGTCCCTCATTTCAACGGCCGATGAGGGGATGGCTTCCTTCGGGCCATACTGATAAAAGTCTGTCTGATAGACTGTCCTGTATCCGTTCCAAACCAGAACATTTCGCGCGGCCTTGGCTTCATTAAGGGTAACAAATTTGGCTGGCAAGGGAACGGGAACAATCGGATTTCGTTGATCGAACATGAAGTAGGTGCGAGTCTCATCGGCACCTAGCAAGCACAACGCTTGCAAATCCATCAAGTAAAAGCCACTCATCACGATGTCTTCTCCCTCACCACCGTCCATCGTACTCGACAGGTTCGTCTTGGGAGGCACTGAGGTAGATAGGATGTGTCGGGCCCATGTTATATGTTGAAGTGAGAAGCCTCCATGACCAAGGAAGTTTTCAAAACAGAAAAGAATAAGACAAGAGATGAGAGTAGTGCGCACAGTGTGGCTCTGATCGACGCCTCCAATCGACTCTCGTAGACTTTGAAGGGCTTTCTGGTATTGCTCTAACGCGGTCTCCCTGTGAGTGCCTTGTGTGAGATCGACTCGATAATGGTTGGAGGGGGACCGCTTTGCGCTCTTGGACAAGGCTCCGAGAGCTACGAGTCCATGTCGAATAGAATAAGACGACTTGCTTTCTTTCATCGCATAATCCCAAAAGAGAAGATAATCTTGGAACTGCGGAGCCACGTCTTTGAAGAAAATTTGGAAGTATGCAGCCTCTTGGTCGTCAAGGTGGGGGACTGCAAATGGAGTAGATTGAGAGGGAGTTGGTGAAGCAGATGGAGACATAGATAGACTTCGGGATCGGATTGGTGCTAGACCCATAGTCCCGGCAGAGGGCAGCTTGGGGACATGCTCATAGCCATCGCAATGCCACCCTGATTTGATGCACCGAAGGCAACTCGGCTTCTCTTCGCCGCACTTGAGTCTTCTTATCCTATTTTTGGAGTTGGGGTCAGCATGGTGGCTTAAAGATATGGAGAGATGACAAGATGGCCATACTTGCAAGTGACACAGCCATTTTTACTCCTGGGCGTTGAAGCGCGTTTTCTTGCAGTTGTCGGCATCATTAGTCCTCGTCACCAAGCTTAAAAAACAGCGCGGAGGACCAGAGAGAGGATGGATGATGAACGTGAGATCAAATACCAAAAGGATTTGGGATTGGAGATGCCTGGATGTTTTGTTAATGATATTCAACATCACATAAAGCCTGTATTAATTGACTAGCCCGGTGGGGTTCTTGAACGAGCGAATGCTCCGGATGACCCACCCGCGCCAACCTACCCGTTCAATCCCAAGGTCATCCATGCCACGCAGAGGACACTGCCTAATCGGGCATAGTTGGGCACACTCACCCTCACTGGCATTAAAGGAGAGCTGAGGCGGCAAGGGCAGGGGATGCTTGTGATGGAAGGACATGCAGGACTTGGGGGCGAGAGCACGCCTCGCAAGGCGAACAGTCTTGGCTTAGGCCCTTGGGCTTTCAGGGCTTATCCTCAAGGGCTGTAAGCGAGCGATGGGGAGCAACCGGCACGGAAGCCTGGGAGGACGGCATTTTCATGTACTTCTAACTGCTATCGGTCCTGAAAGTGGGTAAAATGCCGAGGGTGTCCAACAGGCACGGGAATACCAAGTAGAGGAGAGAGACTCAGGGAAGGGCATGGGAACGACAGCCAGTAGGAACGGCACTTCTCTGGTGAGGCCTGCAAGAGGACTGGGGAAGACGTCCACCACTCAAATGAACGGAAAGGGCGGCGCCAAAAGGAGATGGGTGTTTTCTCAAGCAGCATGACGAAAGTGCCACCTTGGTCAGCATGCGCGTCCAATGCATGGGGTACTTGGGGCACTTCCCAATTGAGCCGTGTTTGCTGGGTTTGTCCCGGTTCTGACAGCGCTTGCCGGCAGTTGAAAGTGTTCCCAGGTCGGGGAGGAGCGGGAGCATGCAGAAAGAACCCCCTCTTTTTATGCATGAGAAGAATGTTGGAGGATGGAATAAGGTTGGAGAAGTTGATGTCCCAAAATAGTCTTGTACAAGCGCGGCTGTCTACGGGGTAGTTTTTAGCGGATCCTTAGTCATCGCCAAATAAGCGACTAGTTTGAGTCAGCGAGCATATTTTTTCCTCCACCACGCAGCCCACGTCTTCCAACACATCCCAAACCCGCCCCGCGCCGCCAGAGCACCCGGAAAGTCTGCCGCAAATGGCCGAGAACATATATGACGAGATCGAAATTGAGGACATGACCTTCGATTCAGATCTCCAGATCTACCACTACCCATGTCCGTGCGGCGACCGCTTCGAAATCGCCATCGCCGACTTGAGGGACAAGGAAGATATCGCCGTCTGCCCCAGTTGCAGTCTGATGATTCGGGTTATTTTTGATGTGGTAAGGATGCCGGCCGCATCGGCTCGCCAGGTGCCCCAATGGAAGATTCTATGATCCAGAGGCTGACCGAGTGTCCGAGAACGATTTGGCTGAGTCCGGAGACGAGGATTTGAAGACGGAAGGGCAGGTTCAAGTCCCTGTGAAGGCTTAAACCATGAAAATTAAGGTTCAAGAAGGATCTGCAACTGAGCCTGCGAACGACGTTGGATTCCTCGTCGGAGGGAGGGGGAGTGCAGGGATGCTCGTAGTCTGGGCGAATGGGGAATCTTGATATCTCCAGGTCACCTGCTTGCGGACTGCACAGATGCTGCAAATATGCAGGGCAAAACAAGGGCCTCAAACGACACGCTGCGTGATGTTGGGGAAACGGTGATAGAGGACGTACCAGAGTCTCGCTCATTCACCAATGCTATCGATCAGCCCTGAGCAGGGCGCTCCTGTTTTGCAACCGATGCGTGTGGAATCAAAATCCCAAGTCTGTACACATGCCTCGACCGTTTGTTTCCATGCTCTGTGGCGGCACAGCGCTAAGCACCCGCTGTCAGACGTCCTCACTGAGTCACTTCTACCCACCCCCGCCCCAAGATACTGCCAGTCTGCCACCCACTGCAAAACTTTATCGTCCGGGTCCGCTCCCTGCTGGTGGAATTCTTTGTTGGAAAGGCCCCTGCGCGCCGCACGAAGAGCGCTGCCAGCCTGTCAACCTCCCGCTTTACTGCCGTATCTCAAGTCACTCGGCGTCGATGTCTTTGCTTCATCAATCTATCTACCCAGCCCCCAAAATGGTCGAATTCGCCGAATATTCGATCTACCAAAGCCATAGGCCACAGAACCTCGTATCATCTGGCCTGGCATGGCCCACACGAGCCTTTGTAATCGACTCAGTCCTATCCTATGTCTTTCCAGAATGGTGCCTCGTGCGAGGACATGAAGGGCACGTGGAGCGGCCCCTGACGGAGTGTTTGGAGAAGTCAAGGTCAGCAGAGTCAAGGTTTGATGGCGGTCCGAGACCCAGATGGAGTGCCGCTTCAACAACCAGAACTGGACGGCCTTCTTCTCTGTTTGGTCACTCCGATCGGAAGTGTTTTCGATCTCTCGCCTCATTTTTCTTTGAGTCGAGCAAGTCACAAAGCGAATCCGAAGAGCATGCGGAACATGAGACCAGGGGTTGTGGTTTTGGGGCTCGCCTATCGTAAAAGAAGACCAGTCATTCAGGGGTCGACCACACAGTTGGAGGACCCACAAATTCTTTCAATATGAGACAGTATTGCAAAGCTTGCTGAGTCCCTCCTGTCCCTGAAACAATTCCGCCGAACCACGCCTGCAGGAAGATGCGTGTGAGCGACGCCGAGCCACGGCCCGTTAGACACGCACACTCCAGATGCACTGTAATGCAAAACTCTACCCCCATCGAAACTTCTCCCTCAAATTTACGTCAATTTCTGGTTGCTTTCAAGGAAACAGACGTGAACTCTGGTCAATGACCAGGCAAGGCAAACTCAAAGCGGAAGTAAATCCTAGTGGCGCCATAACCTCCACCAAATAGAGAAGAATAATGGACGAAGAATGGAACCTTTTTGCTCCCAGATCCCCAGAGCAAGCTCAACGATATGTTTGTTGCTTGTGGGTTTCTTCAATGTGACCTTTCCTTGCCCACTACCCCCCAACAGCAACTGTCTTGCATACACAATATCTTTCTCCTCCCCTGCTACTTCTTGATCACCAGCCCGTGCCCGTCGGACGAGACTGCCGTACACAGACCGCAGGAAGCCACCAGCAGCCAACACCCAGCCCCTTGAGCAGCACAAGGAAGATGACGTGAAAATGCCTGTCCATCACTCTGCACACACTCGGCATGAACCGCGCACCCCTCCCTTCGTTTGCATCTCACCTCATTTGCAGATCAATCGTGAATCCCCTCCCATATCAGCTCTCCTATCACCATACCCCAGGGGGTGGACGCCCCTCTTGCCAACAACAAGTTGCCAAGATCGTGAAAAGTTTCCCAGCGGTTGACATGCAGTGAGATTCTTACCAGAGGAACGGGTTGCCGTTACAGTATAGCGAGGGAGGAGGCGGCCGTCGGTCTTCGTGCCCGTTAGGGGAGAGAGTCTGCAGGATTGCTTGGGCCCCTGGAGAGGAGGCTGAGGCAAGGCTTGCTTTCTTTCGGTTGCGGAGCATGATGATTGGGCTCAAATTGACCGAACGGTTGCTGGAATGGGTACTTAATTACACTCTTGGAGGTCGGAAGAGTTCGGAAGGCGGGCGTCGTTCCTCGCGGGCAACCTGTAACCTGTTATTGGGGCTTGTAAAGGTTGTTTGCTTTACGATGTACGGCGTACCGAGAGTGTGGTTGTACAATGCGACTATTTCTAGAAGGGAGCGAAGAAGGGCGATCATGGAAGTAGATGCCGGCCCGGTACTACCAGGGCTTGGTTGAGGCTTTTGCCCTCCGGGGAATAGGTGGGAGCAAAGGAGCGAATTGCTTGGTGGCTCATGGTATTGCCGTTTGTCCTGCACAACATACCGCCAAACCATGCGTCGGAAAGGAAGCGGGCAAAGTACTTCAATGTAACTTTCAGGCTAAGAAGATGAAATCGAACTCCAGACCTACATGGTTCATGGTTCTTGATTCCTTGGAAGTAACGCGTCCCTGTAATTACGGGGATATTAGATCACGCAAACTTCACGTAAAGAGATCAAACAGGATCGAGGGACGGGGCAAACCATGCTGGCACAACTGACAAGAACTGATCATCCAGCAGGAGCTTTTGGAGGAGCAATTGATTCATTTTCTTTCAAGATCTGCGGGAGGGGGATAAAACCAGTCACGTTATGATGCTTCATTGAAGCGATTTACAGCCCAACTAGTTTATGGAAGGCTGAACCACAAAGAGGAAGGATCAAGAGGAGAGTGGCCTCATACTAGTCATCTTTCTTTACCTGATCTATCAAAAGACCCAAATTCGTGCCACACACGTACAACTCCGAACTCCTTCGTCTGCCGCCTGCTCGATACCAGCATCGTTCACTCCATTCCCGACTTCACGTAATTCTTCTTATGGCATAATATCCACCCCTCAGTCCCCTCTATGCGAAACTGGAGCATAGGGATGCTCCATATCGACGCCAATCTCCACTTGCAACAAATCCGTCAGTGTACTTCCATCGCGAAGGTACACCCAATCTGCCCTTCCTGTCCCTTCCTTGGCGTCTTGCCCCTCACTTAACATCACGTAGTCGAAGCGTTTGGGGCCTGTTTTGGGTGATGAGAGCCAGATCTGCCTGTTGGGCGGTTGCTTGTTGATCACGTATGTGCCGTTGGGCGGGAAGGAGAGGGTGAGGACACCCGCCTGTAGATACATCCTCGTTAGCAATCAGTCTGAAGCTTCTAATTCTTTCCAACCAAGGAACATGGGTGCTGCGAGAAGTGCACAAACGCTGTACTCAACATCGACTTCCTCGGTCTCTTCCTGCAGCATCTCCAGCTTCTCAATCAAAACCTCCAGATATGTATCTGCCAGTTCGTGGAATCGTTCAATTGTGATGTCCGCGGGCCCGGATGCTGATTCTGACACGTTACTCTCTGCTTCTCTCGGTGTGGGCTGCGGATTCTCGGTTTCCGGCGACAGACCTTTAAGGGAAGGTCTTGTTGTTGAGAAGAACCTGGGGGCTTGGCTAGAGCTTGCTCGGGGTCCATGTGCAAAAATTGACACGACAGCTGGACGGAACATTGAGGCTCTGAGAGCTGTAAAAGAGCTTCGAGATGGCAATGGTCTGATGCTCATGCTGGAGCTCCGGACAAGCTTGGAGAGTGCACCGCGTGTCATTATTGCAGAGATTGTATCGTAGAATGAGTGACTTGGTTGAAATACGATGGCTGAGATGGATTTGACGGCTTTTATGCTGGTGCTGGTCGGATGTTGCTTGGGAAAGTCTCGTGTTGATGATCTGAGCTTGAAGCTACCCCACACTTTTGCCGACAACTTCAAAACTCGGCTCAGCCTTCTCCCAAGCCTCGCCTTGCATCAAAATATTGCCACACAACCAACATCAAGCCTTGTATTTCGAGTGTGGTCTGTAAAACTAACATGATAAACGCCGTGTTGGTTTTCAACAATGCCGGGCAGCCGCGCCTGACAAAGTTCTACACGCAGCTGGTACACCCTCATCCAAGAATAGACGAAGGAAATGCTAACAGAAGCAGGAAACATCCGTCCAGCAGCGCCTGATATCCGAAATATTCACCCTCGTATCCCACCGCCCCGCTGGATCCTGCAATTTCCTCCCTCTTCCACCCCTCCTCGCCAGCTCCTCTACCTCGACAGTGCCAAGTAGCGAACACAACGATGTACCCTCCCTCGTCACATACCGGCACTACGCCACCCTCTACTTCATCATCATATCGACCTCGACGGAATCCCCGTTAGCGTTGATCGATCTGATACAAGTCTATGTTGAGGCGCTAGATCGGCTGTTTGAGAATGTCTGTGAGCTAGATTTGATCTTCAATTTTGAGACGCTGCATGCGGCGCTTGCAGAGATGGTTGTTGGCGGTGTGGTAGTCGAGACGCAGTTGGAGAGGGTTGTGGAGGGGGTTAAGGCACAAGGTAAGGTGGCGAAAAGACCCGTTAATGAGGGGAGAGGGGGTGGGTTGGGGATGGGGATGGGGATGGGTGGAAACTTTGGGTGGGCTGGGAGGTGAATTGTGGACGAAGGAAGGGATTTGCAATTTTGAGTAGATGATGATGATGAGGTTTGGTAGAAGAAGAGAAGTTCACCAGCCCTGGTTGGGGTCTCGTGCTGTTTTCGGGGCGTCCAGAGGGGAGCAGGGGTGCGAGGTTGCGGAGGGACAGGCATTGGACGAAAGGTATTGAGATGAGGGTGCCGAAGGAGACAGGTGTACTGCGGCAAAGTAGTGGACTTGGAGTCGCCAGACTTGATCCCTTCGACGAACGAGGCATGATCCATATATGGATTTCTCCACTGCAACAGAATGCCATAATACTCTCTATCAATGCCATATTCCCGTCTATCCATTTCAATTTACGGATCTTCGGAGAGTTCTGCCCATGAAATAACCTGGATCCTTCTGAGCGTCCACGTATACATACATGGCAAGGAAGCGCCCATGATCCAGACCATTCTACCGCGTAGGCAAACATGAGAGAAGAGTTTCTATTGTGCCTGTGTATAACCAAATACAATAGCTTCGTCATCGCAGGGTATTCATCATCTTCCAGATCCATGTAAACGCCAGCGCCATGCTAAACCACATTTCCTGAATCTACAGCTCCCCGCCGGTACAAGAAGAGTCTCATCTGCCCGTGCTTGCCGTTGGAGGAGCCTCTTCTGGGCTCTCTCTTCGGCGGACTTGATCTTTCGTCCAAATCGACCCTGTCAACCCAAAGAACCAACTTCGAATCTGTGATAGGTTAGCATAGAAATTCTGTTGCTCCATTTTGGCAGCATACCCCATGGAACGGTGGATTATCCGGACTACCCTGGCTATTCCAGTCCAAGAACAACACGCCATAAACCGCAACAACTATAACAATTCCGTCAGACGATGGCTCTAGCTCCTAATGTTGGACTACACACAAACAATTGACCCCATCTGCACAATCTTAACCGCTTTCGTCCATCTCGGTCTTGCCCACTTTAGCTTTGCTCTCCTCTTGTATTTCCGTTCGAGTCTGAATTGATGCTTCGGGGAGATCTTCGAGAAATCGGGGGGCCATAACTTTCTCGCCTTGTATGGATTCGTATACACATATGGCGGGCTCTGCTGGGCAGTCCGTCGTACTAATGTCGAGAACATATTGTTCCTGCAGTTGATGGTTCTGCAGAAGATTGGATCTTGGAGGTTCTCCAGACGAGGCTCGCTTAGTCATCCGGGTCGACCCCTGCACCAGCTGCACCGCACCGCCTCTTTTGGACCCCACCAAAACATCAAATTGTGTTACTCACACAGTCGCGAAAATCCAAGGGGAGGATAGTGACTAAGTAGATGACGTGAAGACGAGGACAAAACTTCTCGTCGGATCCTGAACGGCTTTCCAAGTCAATCGCAGTCATGGCAGCAGTCGAAGCCACCACCAAGGCCTTGGAATCGGCCAAGATCTCCAAAACCAAAGAATTGAAAGGCGTAAATACCCCACAAGACACCCCCTCTTTCAGCAACTTTTGCTGACTTTAGAGGGCTTCAGACCGAGAAACGCGACACCCTCACAAAATGGGAGAAGATATATCAAAAGAAATGGCAAGAAGAAGGAGTATTCCAGCCCAATGCGCCCTCGACCTCAGAAGTCCCCCTCAACTCCATCTCCGCCGCCGAGCTTCGAACCCAGCACCCCAAATTCTTTGGCACAATGGCGTATCCTTACATGAACGGTACTTTGCACGCAGGGCATACTTTCACCATCAGCAAAGTCGAGTTTACGGCGGGCTTTGCGCGTATGCAAGGCAAGAGAACTTTGTTCCCTCTTGGGTTCCACTGCACGGGCATGCCAATCAAAGCCTGCGCCGACAAACTCATAGATGAGATCAAGCTCTTTGGGGAGAACTTCGAGGGATATACCGACCAGGATGCTGCCGATGACAAGGCAAATACGGCACCGGCACCGAGTACACACCATGAAGATGTTACAAAGTTCACTGCAAAGAAAGGGAAGGCTGCCAGCAAAGTGGTCAAGATGAAGTACCAATTCCAGATCATGCGCGCCATAGGCATACCTATGGAGGATATTCACAGGTTCGCCGATACAGCACACTGGTTGGAATATTTCCCCGTCCTCTGCCAACGAGATCTTATTAGTTTTGGGGCCAGAATCGATTGGAGAAGATCATTTGTCACTACGGATGCAAACCCCTACTATGACGCTTTTGTGCGATGGCAGATGAATCGTCTCAAGGAGTTGAAGAAGATCAAGTACGGGAAGAGATATACGATTTACTCACCAAAGGATGGACAACCTTGTATGGACCATGACCGAAGTGAGGGGGAAGGCGTTGGACCACAAGAATATACGGCGTTGAAGTTAAAGGTCAAGGAGTGGGCACCAGAAGCTGAGGCGGTGATCAAGGGAAAGGTCCCTGAGGGCGTTGAAGTCTTTTTCGTACCTGCAACCTTGAGACCAGAGACTATGTATGGACAAACATGTTGTTTTGTGGGACCAAAGATTAAGTATGGCGTTTTCAAAGTTTCAGAAAAGGAGTTCTATGTTATCACAGACCGAGCTGCACGGAATATGGCGTATCAAGGCATCTTCCCAGGGAACGGCGTTTTCGAAAAAGTGGCAGAGGTTTTAGGTTCAGCCTGTGTTGGTACTTTGGTCAATGCGCCACTTTCGGTCCACAAGGAGGGAGTCCGGATCTTGCCTATGGAGTCTGTCCTTCCTACAAAGGGTACTGGTGTGGTCACATCAGTTCCATCTGACAGTCCAGATGACTACGCAACAATCATGGATCTTGCGAAGAAAGCAGATTACTACGGAATCAAGAAGGAATGGGCGGAGTTGGAGATCGTCCCAATTATCAAGACACCTTCATATGGTGATCTTGCTGCACCTTTCTTGGTCAAGAAGCTCAAGATTGCTTCACCAAAGGACACCAAGCAGCTTGAGGAGGCGAAGGAACTTGCCTACAAGGAAGGCTTCTATCAAGGTGTCATGACCATTGGCGAGTTCAAAGGCGAGAAGGTTGAAGCTGCCAAGCCTAAGGTCAGACAACAGCTTCTCGACGCCAATGAAGGATTTGCATATTCAGAGCCAGAGCGGAAAGTCGTCAGTAGATCCGGGGATGACTGCTGTGTGGCCTTGATGGATCAATGGTACCTCGACTATGGAGAGGACTCGTGGAAGCAGATTGCCTTGAAGTATGTGGACAATGCTCATGGAAAGGGGTTGAACACATATACCGCTGAGACTAAGAACGGATTCGAAGGTGTTTTGAACTGGCTCAACCAATGGGCATGTGCGAGGACATACGGTCTTGGGTCCAAACTCCCTTGGGATCCTCAATTCTTGGTCGAGAGTTTGAGTGACAGCACGATCTACATGGCTTATTATACCATCGCTCATTACCTCCATAAAGACATCTATGGGAAGACACAAGGTCTTGCAGGTGTCAAGCCAGAGCAGATGAAGGATGAGGTATGGGACTACGTCTTTGCACGACGAGAGCTCAGCGACGAGATTCTCAAGGATAGTGGCATATCAAAGGAGGCTCTTGCGTCAATGCGAAGAGAGTTCGAATACTGGTATCCACTCGACCTTAGGGTCTCAGGAAAGGATCTTATTCCCAATCATCTCACATTCTTCCTCTATATCCATCTCGCAATCTTCCCACAGGAATATTGGCCTAAGGGAGTCCGAGCGAACGGCCACTTGCTCTTGAACGGAGAGAAGATGTCCAAGTCAACCGGAAACTTCATGACTCTTGATGAAATGGTCAAGAAGTACGGTGCTGATGCAAGCAGAATTGCTTTGGCCGATGCTGGTGATGGAGTAGCAGATGCAAATTTCGAAGAGGATGTAGCAGACAACAACGTTTTGCGTCTCTTCACCCTCCGAGAATGGTGCGAGGAGCAGGTTAAAGATGAGGCTAATCTCCGTTCCGGACCAAAGAATGACTTCCTTGACGCCTTGTTCGAGAACGAGATGAATTCCCTTGTTCACGAAGCAAAGCAGCAGTACGAAGACACGAACTACAAGCTCGCTCTCAAGTCTGCTTTGTACGACTTCACCAGTGCTAGAGATTTCTATCGCGAAGCTAGTGTCGCGGCTGGAATCAAGATGCACAAGGATTTGATCTTGCAATACATTGAATTGCAAGCTCTCCTCCTCACAGTCATCGCACCGCATTGGTCAGAATACATCTGGCTCGAAGTCCTCAAGAAGCCCTCAACCATCCAAAACGCCTTGTATCCCGTCGTCCCAGCAGCTCGCGCCGATCTCACCGCAGCACGCGAATACGTCCGAATGACAAGCAGCAACATCACCTCTGCCGAAGCAGCTCAACAAAAGAAGAAAGCCAAAGGGAAAGATATTGGCTATGACCTCACGATGCCAAAGAAACTCACCATCTTCGCGGCCGCCAAGTTCCCGGCCTGGCAAGAAAAGTACATCGACCTCGTGCGGGAAGCTTGGCATCTGGACACTAAGACCATCAACGATAAAGAGTTGAACGGCAAGATCGCAAAGATGGGCGAGATGAAAAAGGCAATGCCGTTTGTGCAGGGCTTGAAGAAGAGACTCGTTGGCGGGGAGAAGCCTGAGTTGGTGTTCAATCGCAGGTTGGCATTTGACGAGCTCAAGACGTTGGAGAATATGGTGCCTGGCTTGAAGAAGGCGGCTGGCTTGGCGGTCGTGGAGTTGGTGCAGGTTGAGGAGGGGGGAAAGAAGGGTCACGTGGTTGGCTCGGGGAAGGCTGTCGAGGGGTTGCCGCCTAATGCAGAGGCTGCTGTGCCTGGCGTGCCGACTTTCAACTTTGAGAATGTGGAGGTTGAGTCTGTTGCTAAGGCTTGAGATTTGAGGAGATGTGGAGTGTGTGGTTGATTGGTTCTTTGTGGGTTTTCTATGAGTGAATAGACAAAACATTTCATGAATGCATTTGATTGCTTTGCGAATCGATTCGTCTCATTGGCTTCACTCTGCCCATCCAACCTTCCCATACGTTAGTCAACGGTTGTGCTCTGCTTGTGTCTGATGGTCATCTCGTTTTGCTCGGCCGTCGAAAATATTCCGTTTCTAGCATGAAGTCATCAATTTCATTCATAATATCAACCTCCAATAATGATCACCCTTCGACAGCATCATACCATTCCACTTCCTCACCATCTGTGTTTCTATTTTCGTCTCCCACGATAGGACTAGCTGTGGTCTATTTTCCCGATGTTGATGTGAAACTACGGTCACGCTACCTACTTAAAGGAGAAAAACTCCGGGACTAAAAAATTACCAAGAGGCAAGCACGTGCTTCATGTCTAGTGACCCGGTAGTTCCTTATCCTATTTATTTTGATAAAGAGGTGCATTATCAGAAAACTACTTGATGACGATCACTGGATAGGTGACCATACATGGCTTCAAAGTGTTCAACAAGGTATTGATAGTCTAGCCTTGTGGAGTAACTTGACTTGCAGATAGCATTTGCTATCGGCGAAACCATCTCGTAATCGGCATGGCGTTGTGGAAAGTTCCAGTTGGTTTTGATCTGAAGAGCCGCATTGGCGTTGGCCATGTTGTTGAGTTCAGCTGGTCTCAGAGGCTCGCCTTGGGTATTCGTCGCATGGCCTGACGAGGCTGTCCCTGGATACATATTACTCTACTAGGAAGTTCTCGCAAGAGCTGGATGACTTCCTTGGGTAGCAGTGACATACCCGCTTCACCGATGAGCAAGATGCACCCCTATCTACTTGCTAGTTCAAAGTTTCTCTCCAAACTGCCCTCCACCTCCTTTGCGGTTGTTCCGAGACCACCCAGGGCAAAGATGTTAGTATTTGAAATGATTGGACTCAAGGTATCGGCAGGCATAAACCGCAAGTTATCTAGAACAGTAGCTTTCTAGAAAGCTGGGCCACAGATTCTGTTTTCCCCCTATTAGTGACAGAAAGCTCATAATGATAATTAGATAGCACAGGCTACATCACTGACCTGCTGTGGTCGTTTTTATCAGCGACGGGAGCGCCGCCGAAGAGAATCAGGCCGTTTCCTGAGTAGAAATTAGTTTAATCCCTGATCACAGCCTGCCAGAGGAAATCTAGAAAGTTATTATCTTTGCCACGGACAATGTCAGGCGGGTCGTTATCTGAGCTCGCCGACTCTTTGGCTCGAAGATATTGTACAATGAGAGACAGGACCGCCATTTTATGCTCGTCTGGGATCTCTGGGCCTTGTGGCAGAGAATCGTGCTCTCTCGAGCCCGAAATGGCAGGAACATCATCGTAGGTCTCTGCGACCGGAGAATATGATCAGCTTACAGATCGATCATCTTCAGAAGCATGTTTACTTGATGAAAGGCGAAGAGTAGGACAAGAGGAAGTCAAAATTGAATTAGTGACCTGGTGGACGGTGGGGATGCTGACTATACTGGCTCTTTCACCACGTTCCAAACGTAAATAAGGATGAAGGAGCTCTTATAGTAGACGAGACTGCCGCAGTTGGCTGATCGAGGTTGAAGATATCTACCTGATTCTTTTGCCGTGAGCTGGAAGCCAATTGCGCTGTCCTGCCGCTTTTTGCTGCACCAACTTTGTGGTGGCTTGGATTGACGCTGCAGCTCGCCAGTGGCGAGACCAGACGATTGTCAACCCGAGGCTGGCCCCAATTGTTGCGACCATGGCTCCGTCCTTACAGCTTTGCATGGGAACCCGCGAGAACAGATGATTACCGTCTTGTAGGAATATGGCCATGCCTGCAGCTCCTCCTGCGGGCATGTCGCTCCCTTTGGAAACTAAGTAGGGCCAACCCACCCCCCTCCCTCCCGGACTGTGATGACTGACCTCAACCTAGGCTTTCGGACATCAAATCACCGCCCATTACGACTTCCTACAGATTCGGACATAATAGCGATCGCGATGCTTCTCCCACCGCACCGACGATACTTGCTAAGCTAGACGTCCCGGGGAATTGGTCCGGCAAAGGCCAACACATCGAGTTCGCGCGGGGCGAAGCTATACCATTAGAACAAGGAGAATTCTTGGGTCGAGGATCTTTCGCAGATGTGTATGAGGTGACGTGCCAAGGGATATCAGTAGCACGAAAGCAGATCTATTGCACCCGGCACATGAAGATCGAGGACCTCAAGCGAGAGCTCGATATTCTGAAGAAACTTAGTCACAAGCACGTGGTGACCCTGCTCGGCTCATACACGCAGAATAAGATTTTAGGATTGCTCTTGTATCCTGTCGCTGCCTGCGATCTGGGCGTATTCTTAGATGAGCTCGACGAAGAGCAGAGATCGGGAGCTACAAAATTGGGAGAAGGTCTGTCGAAATTGGCGGATCGTCTTGGCCTGCCTGAGAGCTTGTCTTGTATGAGAGAACGCCTCAATAAGGTTTACGGATGTCTCGCCAATGCTATCCAATATCTTCACGATCAAAACGTTCGGCACAAGGACATTAAGCCGCGGAACATTCTCCTTCATAGGAACGACGGTTTGTATATCACGGACTTTGGACTCAGTCGGGACATGACAGATTTGTCTAGCAGCGTTACGAATGGGATTGACATTGGCACTTATAAGTATTGTGCCCCTGAGGTCGCGCTATACGAGCCACGGGGACGGGCGGCAGACATATACTCACTTGGCTGTGTGTTCTTAGAAATTAGTACCGTGCATCGTCGACTTTCTTTGGCTGCATTCGAGGACTTCAGGACAGAGGATGAAGACCGCTCGTACCAGAATAACCCTCAGAAGTTGCTAGAGTGGATGTCGAAACTCCGTCAGATTAAGACCGATAACCCCGAAAGTGGAACAATCTTTGATATAGTTGATATTATCGAAAAGATGGTTTCTCCAGTGCCAAACGATCGCCCGGCAATCGAGACTATATGTTCGAGCTTGTACCTACTTGGTGGCTTGGTGTATTTTGGCAAATGCTGTATAGCATCGCGGTACCAGACTCTGATAGACATGAACAATGAACTGAGTTTGTTCTAGCGTTCTTTGCAAGGAAATCCGCTAATATCATTAACAGAGCAGCAAGCAAGACAGTTGCAGATACGGCATGAACAGTTGGAGTTCCTCTATGTTGAACGTACGCAGGAGCATGACGCGGAAAAGGCAGCGATGTCAAAGGTCCACGGTGAACAGGTGGCCAAGTTGGTACGATTTCACAACGAAGAGCGTGCTGCCCGCTCGACAAAGTTTCCCGGAACTATCAGCGACCAACGGGCTGAAAGAGTACGCGTCCGCAAATCCAGAAGTGCCAACTCATATGATGAAGATGTGGGTTATAGCGATTCATATGGCGGTGATTCCTCTAGTAGCGAACGTGTAACTGTTCGCACACACCGACGCGAGCGATCTATTGAAAGAAACACCCCATATATTTCGCACCGAGAAAATAGATACCCCCATATGCCACATCGATCGCGATCTCGTGAGAGAGACATAGAATCCCTTCCTGTACGGCGCATGCGATCACGATCACGATCTCGTGAAAAAGTCAGGACACCCCTTGTCGCACGGCGCGAGCGATCACCATCACCGCCTCGCGAAAGAGGTAGAGTACGTCCCCTGTGGCGGCACGAGCGATCTCTGGAGAGAAACCCTGTTAGAGAGCCCGCAAATGTGGTTGAGCGGAAGGTTCAGGCTACTGTTAAAAGAAAGAAGGACAAACCCGAACCCATTGGATCTTTTGGCACGACGAAGAAGAAGGAGGATAAACCCTCCAATGGCTTTGCTCTTTGGGGCAGCTCTTGGAAGTCGAGCAGTAAAACTAAGAATCGAGAACCCACGACCTCGCGAGAAACCTGACGAGCTCGAGAAATATCAAGAATAGATTCTAAACTATGAGCCTCTGGAGCCTCCTTGGGAAAGCTGGAGGTTGGTCTGTCAACAAATTCCGCACCATCATCAGCAAGAAATGGCTTACACTAACATGCGTCCTCACCAGTCGTCTATGGCTTCGAAATTCTCTCCCAGGTCAAGAGCAATACCAACGTATAGCGACAACGATCATCTGGCTAACAGTCGCTCAAAATCGCAAACTGATAGCTGAGCTGTGGGCCCTTCCAGATTCCAAACTTGAACGGCGCGAGGAGCGTCTCCAAGACGCCAAGTGTGATGGGCACACGTGACGGAGCATGGGCGGACATCAGGTGTCGTGGATTTGGTTTCCTATTTTGGGTAATGCTTATATCGGAATTGCACGGATTACGCGGGATTATGTTTTCTAATTAAGTAAGGGGCTTTATATGCTTGGCTAAGCACTAGGGAATAAATAGGGAGACGCACGTAGCTCTGGAAAGGGGCATTGATTAGTCTTTTATTGGAATTACTTCTTGGAATCAGTTACACTTGCAAGCGTAACTCTGCAGCTTACTTACCTTGACTACTTGTGCATTACCCTGCTATTACGTGCCTCACACTCTACAAGGTCTCGATTTGCAGCAAGAAAATACCGCGGTCCAAATCGTACTGTCGATCGTCCTGTCGACAGCATCAAAAGATATTTTAAGTACTCCCCCCTGCTCTATCATGAATACAGGCCTGTCTTTGGATTTCGGGGCTATAATACGAAATTTGCATCAAAAAAGAATACCGCCTCAGAGCTTTAAAGACAAGGAGCATGAGAAAATATACATGCCGAATTTATCCAGACAAAGGAATATGTGTGCATAAAGCGCCAAGCGTGCAAGTGCAGTCTCTGGTGAAAGAATTGATTTGATATATAGAATGCCGGTGTAATAGGTATTCTGTTCTACCAAAATCCTAAGTTTAATATTATTACTATTATATTAAACGCGCGCTTATAATACTAGAGTAAAAGCAATATAATTAGTTAAGAAATAAGTAATTAAACTATTTATAAAATGCGTTTTTATTATTACTTGCTTAAAGTAAATAATTAGTATATTAAATAATTAAATTAAATTTAATTAGATTCCCTTATATAAATTAAATCAAGTCAAAATCAGGCTAATTAAATTATTATATAATTATATATATATAACTTTAAAGCTTTAAAAGTTAAAATAAGGCTAAAATAAAATCTGAACTAGTTATATTTAGTATTATTAAAGGCATTCTTTATTAAATTAGATCTAGTACTAATTAGTAAATAAAGCTAAAAGTATTAAAACTTCTTTTATTATATAATAAAATAATATATATATATATATATATAAATAAGGGTTTATTTTATTTAGCTAGTTTTAAATAAAACTTAATAAATTATTCTTTATTATATATAATAATACCTTATTAATTATTAATTATAAGCTTTATATTAGCTTATAATATAATTCAAATTAATTTCTTACTTATAAATATTATAATTATATTATTCAAATATATATTAATATTAAATTAGTTTCTAATAAATATTATTAAGCTTATATATTAGCTTTAGAATATTATTAATAAGAATCTCAAACTTATAGAGTTTATTAACTTAAAAACTCGAATAATAATTAAGGTAATTTTATATAACTATTTTAAAAGAAAATATATTTCTGAGTTATAATTTAATTATTTTAATAAATTTTAAATATTTCTTGAACTTGAATTCTTTTTAATAAAATAGTTTAATAGTAAATATTTTTTTAATATAGCTTTATAATAATTTATTATTATAATAAAACTATTTAATATTTCCTTATTTAATATAAGTAATTTATAAAGCTAGTAATAAGTTTCCGAAAGTAATATTATAAAGAAAATTATAAGAGAAAGTATTTTTTCTAGTACTAGTATATAAATTATATAGGCTTTAAATATAAAATAATAATAATAATAATAATAAGATATTAGCTTTTTTAATTCGAAATTTATATATTTATAAACTAAATTAGAAATAATAATATAAATTTATAAATAGCTATAATTAAATAAAATCTATTTTCTTGTTTTTATAATAAAACCTTAATATAATATATAAATAAGATAAATAAGTTTTATTAAATTAGTTTTAAGTTTTTATAAAATAATATAAGGAATTAATATATAATACTAATTAAGAAATTTAAGAATATATTAAAGAAAATATTAAAGAAAATATATAATATTATAATTATAAGATATATAAAAGTTATTAAGATTCCTAAAATAATTTAATAGCTTTTTTGAGCTTATAATAACCTTATTTTAAAACTTTATATTTATATTTCTTATTTAGAATATATTATTATTTTTAATAGTTTTATAAAATAAAAAAATAGATTTCTAATTATAATTCTAAAATAATAAATAAAACTAGTAATAGCTATTTTAATAATAAAAAATAATAAAAATAAAAGAAATAAAGTTTATTAATATCTTATAATAAAACTAAATTTTAGATTAATATTTAGATCTTTTATTTTATATATAAATTTCGGATCTTAATATTCTTTTATTTTTTAATTTAAATCTAAAACTTATTTTAATACTAATAAAAAATCTAAACTAAAGCCTTTTTTAGTTTTAAAACTAAAATTAGCTTTAATAATAAATTTTATATAAAAATAAGAAAAATAAAACAAATTCTAAAATAATAAGCCTTATTATAAATCTAATTCTTTTAATAATAGCTTTTTATAAAATAATAATAGATTTTATTATTTTAAATATTATAATAAAATAAATATTATAATAAAATAAATTTTGTAAAAAATAATTATTATAATATATTTAAATAATATAAAAACTAATATAATAAGAAATTAAAAAAAACTTTATTATTAAAGAAAAATAATTTAAAATTAATAAATTCGAGAATAGGATTTATTTAATTATTAATTATATAATTTTTAAAAAACTTATATATTAGAAATATTAGAAATTCTTTTTATTTTATAATAAATTCTTTAAATATATTTATATAAATTTATATAATATTAAATTCGAATAGGGTTTTTAAGATTCTTAATAAAAACCTAATTTTAAATATTAGAAATTGCTTTTTTATTCGAGTTTCTATAATATAAAACTCTTTTTCTAATATTTCTAGTTTATTCTTATTTTATAATATTAATTTCTAAGGTTTTTAATATAATTAATAATTTATTTATTAAATTTATTAATATATTTAATATATAGTTTATTATAAATAAATAAAAACAAAAATTTATATTACTATAATTTATTTCTAATTTTTTATAAACAAAAATTAATTTATGAAATATTCGAATATTAATATTAATATAAAATAATTTATAATAATAAAAGAAATCGGATTTAGGCTATAATTATATAAGCTAGTAATATTTATATTATATATATTTAGTAAAATTAATAGCTAGAATACTTTTAAAAAAGTAATTATTAAAACTTAAATTATTAAAAATTTTAAGCTTTATTTATTTTTATAATATTATTATTAATTTAAAAAAAGTAATTATTATTAATATTTATTATAAAAGTAAATATATAATATTAAAAATATTAATTACTAAAATAATTATTATTCTTTTAATATATATATTATTACAAAAGAAATATAGTTATATATTTAAAGCTTTTTATAATAATACTTATAATATTATTATAAAATATATTAATTTTATTATAATTATAAATTCTTTTAATAAAATAAAAAAGATTTTAATAAAAATTAAACTTGAAATAGTAACAAAATTTAATAAAAAGCTATTATTTTATATAAAACCTAAAAGTAATAAAAGAAAATTAATATAAAAAAGCTTTTAATTTTAAAACCCTTTTTAATAATTATTATAAATATAGTATTTAAGACTTAGAAAATAAAATAAAAGATTTCTAATAAAATAATTTAAAGCTAAAAAAAAGAAAACTAGAATATAAAAAACTATATAAAAATATATATATTCTATAATATACTAGTTTTAAAGAAATTTAATTTTCTAAATATTTAATAAATTATAATATTTTTTTTTAAGTTTTATAAAATCTATTACTTTAATTTGATTCATTTTATATTATTTTTCTTTCTAAAATAAACTAGTATTTCGAATATAAATATTATATATAAAAAGCAAATATTTTTAATATATAATTCTAAATAAGTATTATTTTTATATAATTTAGCTAATATTATAAATTTTATAAAAGTTTTAATATATTAATATTATTATTATAAAAGCTTTATAGAACTAAGAAGCTATTATTTAATATTAAAGCTAAATATTATACTAAATTCTATACTTTAATTTATTTCTTATTAGTTTAATTATAATAATTTATTTAATATTATATTTTTATTTATTATTTTTTAGTATTAATAAAAGTAGTTCCGGGTTTATTTAATTTAATAAAGAATTCTAAGAATTCTTTAATAGCTTTTTTATATAGAAAACTAGATATATTTTTCTAGTTTTTAATAGCTTTAAAAAGAAATAAATAGTTATATTTTTCTAAAATCTTAAATAAGTTCTTTATTTAATTCTCTAGCTTCTAATTTAAATAATTAGATTTCTAGTATTTTATAATAACTTATATTTTATTCCCGACTTGGAAATTAATTAAATAGTAATATTTATTAGTCTATATTATATATTATTTCTATATTTATTTTATATAACCTTAAATAAATTATTATAATTTATATAATTAGTTTATTAATATTTTAGCTTTATTTTTTATTTTTATTTAGTTTTTTCTAAAAAATAAACTAGCTTTATTAAAAAAGTTCTAGTTTAAAGATATATAAGATTTATAGCTTTTTTTTTAGTTATAAATAGAAACTAGCTAATAGTTTTATATTAAAAAAGAATTATTAATAATTAATTATAGTAATTTATTTATTCTAATAATAATTAATATATAAATATAATTTCTATTTATTTATTTATTTAAAAGTAATTCGTTATTTAAAACTTAAGCTTAATACTAATTCTTATATAAAATTCGCTTTGAAATTAAATATAAATTAGAGTTTCTAATCTAATATAATTATTTCTGAAATATTTATTTAATATATTATATAAAATAAAAATAGAAGTATTAGTTATTTAATTATAATTATATCTTATATAGAAATTATATTATAGCTTGATTTATTTTTTAAATAATTCTTAAAATTTCTAATAATATATTATTAGAAATAATTAAAAACTAAAAATAAATAAAATAAATTAGGCCTTTTATTTCTTAATATATGTAATTTCCTATAAATATAATAATTACTATAATATTAATTAATATTCTTATTTATAAATAGCTAGTAATAATATTTTTTAAATAATTAATAAAACTTTATATATTTAAAATATTTAAAAAGAGATTTATTATATATTTTATAAATTAAAATAATTTATAAAAGTAATTCGGGAATTATTTCATTATTTATAATATTTAGATATTATTTTTAATTTAGGCTATTATATATAACTTTTCTAGATTTAATAA